TTCTGGTTGCCGTTTGCTGCGTTCTGGTTGCCGTTTGCTGCGTTCTGGTTGCCGTTTGCTGCGTTCTGGTTACCATTACCCTGGTTCCGGTTTCCAGCTGCGCCATTCTGGTTGTTGGCGTTGCCTCCAGCGTTCTGGTTCTGGTTCTGGTTCTGGTTCTGGTTCTGGTTCTGGTTCTGGTTCTGATTCTGGCCATTGCCTACTGTGGCGGTCTGAGTAGCGCCGACTGCAGGAGCAGCTGTGGCAGAGATAAGAGCTAAGATGAAGTCAGCTACAGCTCAGTCGTCTGACGAAGCGAGACAGTTGAACGCACCAGAGATGGCGCTTGCACCTTCGTTGCCACCTGCAAGGCCAGCTGCCTGGTTTGCTGCAATGGCAACGGGGAGATCTTGCTGGTTCTGCAGGATCTGGTTGGAGATGCCCTGCAGTGTTTGGGCGGTGTCGACACCTACCGGGAAGATAAGTCTATGTACTTGGGCTGATTGTGCTGAAGAGAGGAAAGAAAGGACTTACCAGCAGCAGTAGGGTCGGTACGGCCTTGGCCATCGGTCTGCTGAACAGCGAAGCAGCCACCAAAGGGACCAGCTACAGCGGTGTTGCGGCAGCGGACGGTGCAAATGTTACCAGTCGAGGCGCCGATACAGTTGAAGTTATCAGGCATGGCGACGTTGATGGTGAAATCCTGCTCCTTGGCTTGCGAAAGTCCGTTGGCACCAGGGACGTTGTTGGCGACCTTTAGCTTTACAAACTTTGTGGCAGCGTTGCTGGTCTGGTCAAGATCGCACTCGTAAGGTCCAGCACCATCAGCATTGACCTGGTGGATGGTGACAGTCATCACAGTGCCTCCCGAGACCTGAGTCACCCGGCCGGCAGCCAGCTCGTTCTCTGTCTGCTCGCCGACATCGATGTTGCCGCTGATCTCTGTACGTCCGCAAGAGTTCACAATGTTCTGCGTGATCTCAGAGTCGCGGATGATGGTCGAGTCTTGCTGGCACGGCGAGATGGTTGTGCAGTTACGAGCAAGGTTTTGGTCAACTGCAGCTGTATTAGTGGGCGGTCCGTCGTCGAGTATTGCAAGACACTTACCCAGGAAACCCTGACTCTGGCCTTTGTCTCCGACAGCGGCGAGGATGACTCCATGGGCCTGGACACTGGCGGCGAAGGCGACGAGCGCGATGGAAGAAGCTGAGTAATACATTGTGGTTGAAGTAAGAATAGAGAGGGCGACCAGCGCGTCGAACAGAAGATTAAGCAGTGAAAGAACGGAAGAGAACGACCGAGTGCGGAGAACTGTTGATCAGTGATGGAGCTCATAGCAGGTATCTAGTGGATCTATATACTCGCAACGTAGAGGCGAGGCCCAACGCTGCGGAAAAGAGCAAATCTGCTCAAGGCTCATGCGGTGCCCACTCCCACGAGACAAAATACGATCATGGTGGAGTGGAGGATGGCCATGTCGGCAACCTAAGGATGCCTTGAACCCCTGCAAGAGGGTCTCATCTAGGTGAATGTTGCATGCAACAGGTGCCCACTACACGGTCCTCTGCGGGATATACTCACCAGTGTGGTTGCGCGTAGCGGCCGTGATGAGGCGCACCCACCAGCCTCAAACTTTGAGAGCTCGTGCAGAGCTAGACACACCACTACGCAGCGAGCAGGAGGCTGTTGCCAAGAAGTCCTGCTTGCTGTTTGCTCAGCGCTGAGGCACTTTGGGTTTGGAGATTTTGTGTCAAGTTTCGAAGCGAGCGGTAACACGCCACGTCGAAACACGACAGCTTGGTCCCGATGTATCGCCTGTCCGGGCATGTACCGAGCTCTTGGCAATCCAGAGCGATCAAACACACTGCAAGTGATGAAGCGATGAGGTTGGATTAGCCTCAGGAAGATGGTGTCTGAGACGCAGGCGCCGTTAAAAGCGGGTCGTATCCGAGACATGCCAGTGGAGCTTCTGTGTCAGCGCCTCTCGAAAGGAAGTTGCGAGATGTGCTCGACAATGCGAACGGTGATATCAGGCGGCCGGTTGCCTTTTGCGGCAAGACGGTTGTTTGGAGGCGCTCGCTGAATAGCAACTGCTGCCGCGCGACAGCTACAGGGGATGCTTGAAGGCTTATTGCCGTGCGACCTGCTTGTTTTCGAGCATTGGGTTTCTCCTGACGTGCACACTAGGCTGTCAGTACCTTGCCCGGGTACCATGCGCTGCCTGCTCTTGATGGAGGGTGCGTGGCTGTTCGCGCTCGAGAAGCTTTAATGACGTAAGCCGATGCTCACGGCTTTTCAGTTTTCACTTTGTCGGCGCATAGTCGAGAGGCCCCAAGGACACTGCACGAGAAGACAGAGTCTGCAGCAGAGGTAGAAGTCGACATATTATGGTCGAGTGGGACACAAAAAGCGCAAGTTCCAGTCTGTCCTGGATGATGGCTGACCGTTGAGCATGCGGAGCTCCACGACGGCCACGCCAATCAGAGCGTCCCTCAGCCCTACGCATCAGACCACTTTCATCATGACCAGAAAACATTTCAGACCCTCACAGCGGCCACCTCAGCCGTCAACTCCCAGCCCTCCGTTGCAGACATCCACACATCCGCAATCATGAACACAGTAAGCGCTGCCCCCCCCCCCCCCCCCCTTGCCTCACAGTCAGCCAGCCAACAGCTCCAGGTCAAATCAGTCTAGTACGTCACAGGTCGGCAGGTCGGCACAGGCCGGCAGGTCCGCACAGGGCAACTAACACGCCAAAGCTACGGGTGGGCGACGCTCATCGCCGCGGGCGGAGGCGCGTACTACTTTGCGAAGAAGTCGATCAACGCCGACCGGGCGCAGAAAGCGGAGATGGACCGGGCCAAGCGGCAGCGACAGTATTCGCTCGAGCAAGCGCACGGGCTGCACGGCGAGGGTATGGCGTCGTCGAACCCGACGGTCAGCCCCAACGCAGTGGTCAGCGCGGACACGGCGGCGCCGCGGGCGGCGGACAAGGGTGCGCTCGCCGGCGAGATCAGGCGCGAGGACAGGGCGCACGAGGACAGTGGGAATCCGAGCTTGCAGGCCAGTCGCGATCCGGCGGCGACGCGGCATGCGGCTGAGATGGAGGGGAGGGAGAAGAGCAAGTACGAGGCGAGCGGTGTGTACAGGAGCAGGAAGGGCGATCGCTTTTCGTGAGCGGGGGTGGGTGGCGTTGGGAGAAGAGGGGTTTTGTAGATCAGACTGGGTTAACCAGTATTAGACTGGAGGGGGTTTTTGTACATTAGATTGGATTAACCAGTTTTGAACTGGAAGAGGGGTTTGTATATCAAGCTGTGTTGACAAGCATTGACGAGCATTGCTCCACAAGAGGCAGGTTGTATATCAAGCTGTGTTGACAAGCATTGACGAGCATTGACGAGCACTGACGAGCATTGCAAGAGGCGGGCTGCATACTAGATTGGCCTAACAAACACTGCTCCGGCAACAAGAAGCTCTGGGGATGGAGCATGTTCCCATCGCCAACACAAAGTTGCAAACTGCAGGGCTTGACTTGGTTGCTCGACGGAAAAGTAACAGGGCCGTGACGGCCAGGCGTCGTGTACAAGGTGTGCTGTCCTCAGGCAAACATGCCGCTCCGCGGGCTGTCCCTCCGCTTCTCGTACAGCCACTTGTTATTCAGCCCCACGCTCGCCCTGCCCGTCGCCGGCGTCGGCGTCCCCGGGCCCGTGCTGCTCCCGCTCTCCCTGAACAGGCTGCTCTCAAAAGGGCTGCCGCCGCCGTAGCTCGAGCGCCGGTCCGCGCTGCTGCTCAGGCCAGGCGAGTAGCCCGTGCCGCTCGCACTCCGGTTCAAACTCGCGGCGGGACTCCCCGACCGCTGCAGCGGGCGGTCGCCCTGGTGGCTGGCGCTGGTGCGCGGGGTCGAGCGCGTGTAGCGCGGGGGCGTGACGCAGGCCGACGCGGGCGAGGCGTAGGTCGACGCCGCGGCGCTGGGCTTCAGGCCCATCGAGGTGCGCTGCGAGGGCGTGAGGGCAATGTCGGCCATGTCGTCGGGGTAGTAGCGGCGCGCGAGGGGCAGCAGGGCGTTGAGCATGCTGGCGACGAAGAAGAGGCGCACGGCGAGGATGCCCCAGGCGCTGTAGGGCGTGTGGCGGATGAGCGCGCTGACGGGGGCGCTGTGTGCGTCAGCTCTGGGGCCGTCTCCGGCAGACTCGGGGGTTCACGTACGCAGCGTATTCCAGCAGCTTGACCCTCGCGGCGACGGCGTCGGCGCAGAACGAGGCCGCCAGGAGCGCGCCGTTGGCGACGACGATGCGCACATTGGTCTCGTCAAAGGTGGTTGCGTGCTGGCGGCGCGTGATGTCGTCAAACTTGGGGTGCTTCCAGGTGCCGCCGGGCGTGTGCAGCTGCGGCGCCGGCTGTGTTTGCGCCTGTGGCGTCGCGGGCGCGGCCATGGAGAGGGCCATTGGCGGCGACGGTCGCGGTGGGTGTCGCGGCGACGGTTGGCAAAACAACCCGCGTCCGTCGGAGCTTTCGCTCTGCCGTTGACTAGGTAGCGCGCCGGGTGGAACTACCGGCAGTCTACCCGCGGGGTCCGCAGCTGTCAGCCAGCGTGCCAGCTTCCCGCTGCCAGCTTCCCGCTTCCAGCTTCCCGCTTCCTGCCTCCAGCTTCCAGCTTCCAGCGTCCAGCTTCTCTCCGCACTCACTGCTCCCGCCTCCACGACTGCCCCCGCCTCGACGACTGCCCCCGCCTCCACGACTGCCCCCGCCTCCACGACTGCACCCGCCGCTCCGACATGGCCGGTCTCCTGGAGCAGCTGGACGGCGCCCTCTCCGGCCTGTTCCACGGCTGGAACGCCTACTCGACCGTCCTCGTCGTCGGCATCCTCGGCTTCGTCGGCTGGGTGGTCGCCAGCGACGCTGATGCAGACACGCACCCGCTGCTGCTGGCCCGCCAGGCGCAGGCCTCGTACGTGCGCCAGCCGCGCGAGTCTGCAGTCTTCCGCTCTCCCGAGACCCCCCACGGCTGTGCGTCTGCCTGAACACGTCCACGCTCCCGCACACTCCGCTGACCAGCCCCAGACCCGCTGCGAACGGGACTCGCCGTCAAGCCCGCGGGCGCGCCCATGTACTCGGCCGGCAAGGACGGCGATCTCCGCGACATCTGGCGCCGCGTCACGGGCGAGATACCGCTGGAGAAGAAGGCCAGCTCGCGCGGCACGGCGACCCTCATGACGGTCCAAGGCACGGAGCAGCTGTCGGAACACGACATTTCCGGCGTTTCCAAGGAAATGGCCATTGTCGGCAAGCATCTGCAGGACCACGCCGCGAAGCGAGTCGCCGTCTACCTGCCCAACAGCCTCGAGTTCCTCGCCGTGCTGTTCGCCGGCGCCTTCTACGGCTTCACCCCGATCCTCATTCCCTACAACCAGCCGCACGCTACGCTCACCGAGCTGCTCCACGCTGCGCGGGCCGACTCGCTCGTCGCACAGGCTGGCTCGGTCCCGCTGGCCGATGTCACCCGCAGCGTGCCCAGCCTGCGCCACGTCGTGTGGACGGTGGAGAAGACCAGCAGGCACATGGGCTGGAGCGACGTTCCCGAGGGCATCGGCGGCAAGCTCGACGTTTCCGTCTGGCACGAGCTCGTGCAAGACTCGCGCCACTCCGACGCCGTGCTGCCCTCGGACGGCGCCAAGGCTCCGGGCGTTGTCTTTCTCTGGCAGGAGGCTGTTGGCAAGCCGGCCGAGATGGTCGAGTTCACCCAGCAGGTAAGCAGCTGCCATGCCTGCGCGCCACGCACGCTGACTCGGACAGAACATTGCCGCTGCCGTCGGCTCGCTCATCACCTCTCTGCCCACGGTGCAGCGCTTGTCGCCGTCGGACACGTTCCTCCCCGCTGATGCCTTCACCGACTCGTACTGCCTCTGTCTTACCCTCGCCGCTCTCTTCTCCCACTCCACCGTCATCATCAACTCGGTCGCCGGCCCCGGTGTCGACCTGACACTGGCCACCCGCTCCCTGGCGCCCACAATCATAGTCGTCTCCGCCGAGACGGCGGCAAAGGTCCACAGCACCACCGCTGCGTCGGCCGTCGGCGCCCTGAAGCAGCTCGCCCACCGTCTCGAATCTCGCGTTTTGTCTTGTGGCCGCCTGCCCACCAGCAGCCTCCTGACGCCCGCAAGAGCGTCCATTGGCACCACCCCTGGCAGACTCCGTCTGGTCTTTACTTCGGAACGCGCAGGCTTGAATGCGCCTCCGCTCAGCTCCAGGGATCTGTCAGACCTTCGAGTCTACACGCAGGCGCGCGTCGTCTATGCCTTGACCGCCGCCAAGGTTGCAGGTGCCGTTGCGCAGACGAACATGTACGACTACAGGCTCGACGCATCGTCCAACAAGCACAGCCACTTTGGCGTCCCGCTCAGTAGTCTGGAGCTCAAGCTCAAGGACACGCCTACTCTCAAGACGACCGAGGACGAGTCTGTTGGCGAGCTCGTCGTCACTGGGTCATCTGTGGCTGGTGGGGAGGCTTCTCTTGGCTTCAACGCGACATTCCGCGAGGACCATACCCTGGCTTATGTCTAGACGTGGTTTGCGAGTAGTATGTTGACTATTTTGCAGCACGTCTGCTGTACCTCGGCCCATGTCTGGACAAGTCGTTTGCGAGTAGCATGTAAACTGTTTCTTAAACGCATCTTGTGGATTAACTTTTGTACGCATCTCGTGGACTAACTTTTAAACGCATCTCGCGGACTAACTCTTATACGCATCTCGTGGACTAACTTTTAAACGCATCTCGTGGACTAACTCTTAAACGCATCTCGTGGACTAACTCTTATACGCATCTCGTGAACTAACTTTTATACGCTCACATTCGAATCTTGTTCCGGTCCAGTCTGTCCGTGAAAGTGGGGCCAACGGTATCGACGCGGGGAACCTGTCCAAGTGGGAAAGGCCAACCGACAGCACGCGACAAACTGGCAGGACGACTACTTTTCTCCATACAGGCACAATTGTCAACAATCAATCAAGCAGGGCCCAGCGACCTCGGATTGACTTGCTCGATTACCTGTTCAGGCCCAGCAGCTGCCCCTGCACAAGCTTAACTCCCACCTTGTTGGGTAATTGCGTGAATGCGCGGTTGAAATTGACTTGGACGTTGACACGGCTGCTACGATGCAGGTTTCTTATCTGCGCACGAGTGGCATATATTTCCAGCCAGCCTCTAGACTGCCGGCCTGGCCGTGAACTCTCTGCGCTCGACACCTGAGTGGTCGAAACGCAATTCCAAGGACCGACGCGCTCGTCTAACCACCCACAACGAGGACATGCATGCAGTCTAGCGTCTGGCTTATCTTGGGACTGATAGCTGCAGGTAACCACGATTCCTGCCGGGGCTGGCTGCACCTCAATAAAGATGCGAGGCTCCCCTCGCGCGGAATCGTACTGCATTCGCGTCTGCCATCCAGCTCATAGCCATCATGCTGGGCGTTGAGCGACCCCACTTCTCGCTCGAGGTCGAACAGCCTCAGTCGACCTTTGCCGAGGGCAACGCGCGATGGTAACAACTAAAATCAAGTCCTCATGGCAATTCTTCAAGACGCTGACTACTACCTCACAGGACCAACAAAGATCTTGATCCAGTGCCAAGGCACAATCGCAAGTGGGGAGTTACGAGCTTCCTCGCCTACTGGATCTCGGACGCTTTCAAGTATGGATCTAGCAGTGAGATTGGCACTGCGATCAAGCGCTGACTAGACGGAAGCGCTGCGACATGGCAATTCGCCTCGAGCATCATCGCAATCGGTACTACCACCAGAATTCCAAACACCCTCAGTACGCTGACGACCTCGGTTCTCCAGGCCTCACCTGGCGCGAGTCCGTCGGCATAGTCGCCCTCGCCTTCTTCATCATCTCCTTCGTGATCGCGCTCAACGGCGCAATCGGCGTCATCCACCACGCGCCCTTCCCCGTGCTCGCGCGCGCCTCATGGGGCTTCTGGGGGTCCTACATCGCCATTGTCTCGCGCGCCATTCTCGCCGTCTTCTGGTTCGCCATCCAGACCATGAACGGCGCCAATGCCGTCAAGTGCATGATTGCCGCCATCTGGCCGAGTTTCTTGACGCTGAGGAACGGCATTCCCGAGTCCCAGGGCATTGAGACGAACACGATGATTAGCTTTTTCTTGTTTTGGCTCTTCTCTGTGCCGTTCCTGTGCATGCATCCGAACAACCTGAGGTGGCTGTTCATGGCTAAGAGTATCATTGTGCCGGCCGCCTGGATTGCCATCTTGATCTGGGCGTTTGTGTCGACAGACGGGGGGGACATGTGGAATCAGAAGGCCACGCTCTCCGGGTCGGCATACTCATGGGGTTTCCTATCGAGCCTGACGAGCGTCATCGGCAATTATGCCACGCTATCCGTGAATCAGGTGCGTTGTGACCATCTCCAGAGCCACTCGCTCTGCTTCTCTCACTCGAGTTGATGGGACTAACTGCCTCTAGGCCGACTTCTCACGCTACTCCCGCGTCAGTGTAAAATGGCAGATCATCTACGTCCCCTTCCTTCCGCTAGTCTTCACCTTCATCGCCTTCATCGGCATCGCCGCCTCTTCAGCCGGCGCCGTCAAATACGGCGAGCTGAACTGGGATCCGATCGCGCTCATCTCGCACTGGGACAACCGCGCATGCCGCTTCTTCGGGGCCTCCAGCTTCGCGCTCGCCGCCCTCGGCGTCAACATCTCTGCCAACTCACTGTCTGCCGCCAACGATCTAACCGCGCTGTTCCCGCGCTTCGTCAACATCCGGCGCGGACAGCTGCTCTGCGCCGTCCTCGCATGGGCGCTGGTGCCCTGGAAGATCCTCGCGAGCGCAGGCTCGTTCCTGAACTTCATGGTCGCGTATGCGATATTCCTGGGCCCCATCGCGGCCATCATGGTCTGGGACTTCTGGCTCGTACATGCCAGGAAGTACGACACGCTGGCGCTGTACCAGCCACATGGCATCTACCGCTACACGTACGGCTGCAACTGGCGCGCCATCGTTGCGTTCCTCGTCGGCGTCATTCCTAACCTTCCGGGCCTCATGCACAGCATCAATCCCGGCATCGAGGTCGGCGTGGGCGAGAGGCCGTATCACTTTGGCTGGTTCCTGGGGTTCGCGGCGACGAGTCTGGTCTATGTTGTGCTCAGTGTGTTTGTCGCCCCGCCGCGGGAGACGTTCATCGACAAGGCTGTGTTGCCGGATGAGATCTATGACCAGCACGGTGTTATGGACGAAGGTGCCTCGTTTGGTGGGAGTGGCAGCGGAGAGGAGGGTGGTGCGGGCGAGAAGGCGGGCTGGAAGGCGCGGTTGACTAAGATCTTGTAGACTTGTGGCCAAAGTTTGAACAAGTTTGAGCTACGACTTGCTTCTGGCGGGAGAAGCGTGTTCGCTCATGCGTGCACACTGTTGTGGTCTCGGAAACGTCGAAACTCAAGCCGTTGAAGCAGATCTCGAGCCAGAATCCTTCCCGCAGTATGGCACCATCTGTGCGATACTTTGTCGACCCACGATCCACCACTCAGCACCTACTCCCCACAGTCAAAACTCAATGTGTCCAATATTGTTACACATGGCAACCTACCACCACATCCAAACCGCGCGCTCTCAACATCACCTTTTTCTCTACCCAACCACGCGAGACAATCACAACCATGGCAGGCCCACAGCCCCCGCCAGAATGCCCTGGCGCGTCTACACATCATCACGGAACTCGACGCACTCAGAGCTCCCCTTGCGCCGCACCGCCATATTCGCCGCCCTGACGTCCCCCACAACCACACTGCTATGCCGCCTCATCTCATCCTTCTCACTCTGCACAAACCGCTCCGGCCGCTTCGACGCAACGACCTCCTTGTCCCTGAACACAAGCAGCGGCGCGTCACCCGCGAAATACCGATCCAGGTCTTCGAGCGTCCGTCCCGCGGTCTCGGGGTAGAAGAAATACACTTTGCGCGTCAAGATGGGGCTGGAGTGATAGAAAGGGGGGGTGGGTGACTTACCGATGGGTATGAATGAGAAGTTGAAGACGCACCATATTATGTAGAAACGCCATTGTAGACTGCGGATGCCCGGGGGCGTAATCTCGACGACCATAAAGTTGAAGATCCTGGCGCTGTTAGCTGATTTCACGAATTTGGGGAGGGGGTAAAGGTACCAGTTTGTTGCGGTGCCCAGGGCGGCGCCTTTGGTGCGCATCGCCATGGAGTTTATCTCTGTGGGGTAGAGCTGGACGCAGTTAGCAATCGTATCCGCGGGATCAGCAGTAAAGCAAAGCATACCCATGGCACGCCCTGCCAGCCGATGCCGAAGAAGACGTAGTACAGGAAGAAAAATGCAATGGAGCCTTTTGCCCAGGACTCCTGCGTTGTGCGAGACAGTCGCTCGTCTTCGTTGTACCGGATGCACAGCGTGATTATGCAGTAGCAGAGGAACTGACCCGCAGCGGCGTACATCATCATTTTGCGCCGGCCCCAGCGTTCGACGTTCGGGATCCCGATGAGAGAGAAGAGGAGGTAGGAGACGGAGTTGCAGGCTGCTAGCAGACGGGCGAGGTTGTTGGTCAGGCCGACGGATTCGATCAGGACGGTTGGTAGGTAGTAAGATGTGACATTGATGCCCGCTGGTGTGCTGTTAGCAAGATTTCAATCAATACCTGGCGTGAAACTCACACAGCTGTTGCATGGCCTGGGTGCCCATGCCGAGAACGACTCGTCTGATCGTGTGCGTGCCGCCTTGGTCTCCGGCGCGGCCCCGTAGCAGATCGCGCCAGCGCACGGCATGATCTTTCTCGTACTGCACAGCCCATTGGATGTCTTTTGACTGGGTGATGATGAATGGATCATCGACCTTGGTGGCCTCAAGGTCAGCAAGGATCCGCTCGGCTTCTTCCACACGGCCCTTGGCCATGAGCCATCTTGGCGACTCTGGCAGCCACGGAACAGTCGAGAAGAGAACGAAGATGAACAGGAATTGAAAGGCTAGAGGAACGCGCCAGGAAGCGCTTCCACCCACAAACCTGGGAGATGTCAGTGAGCACTTCAGCCCAGGTGTATATTATTGGAGCGTACGAGAATCCATATGTGACCCAGTTAGACAAGGAGAATCCGGCAATGTTCATGATCATCTCGATGACGATCAGTTTGCCGCGCCAGCTGGCTTTGGATGTCTCGCCTTGCCAGACAGGTGCTGAAGTCGTCAGTCCAGGTCGCCTTGATACAGAGCTGTGTCATACCCGTCGAAGTATTGATACCGTTACCTATGCCTGCGATGATTCTGCAACGGTCAGCCATTGAGGTGATTCAAGCTATCGGGGGATACTGGCCTCCCAACTATCATCTCGGGTACATTGAATGAGGCAATCTGGATGATAGCGCCTATGCTCATGATAGTCGTGCCTAGAAGCACGCATTTCTTTCGCCCGAGTGGGTCGCCGATAGCGCAGACTGAGATCGCACCGAAGAAACATCCAATGTCGTAGATAGCTGTGACGGTGCTGATGAGCGATGGGTTGTTATTCAGATTGAGCTGGTCGAGAAAGTCTGGGGTTACGACAACACCACCTGCGAATGCTCAGTCATGTCTGTATCCAGAAGATCAGTGTCCATACCGAAAACACCTTGGTCGTAGCCGAAGAGTGTCTGCTTGCATGTTAGTTACATCATCTTAAGATCGATGTCGTGGGGGCTCACCATGTCAGTAGCACAGGCTACGGTGACCCACACAGTGAGCCATGTCCCTGTCAGGCCAAAGTATGGCCTTTCAGAGCCTATACCAAACATAATGTCGACGTCTTCAGCGTGTGTGTAGATATCAAATTAGTGCAGTTGGAAAGTCAGATTGTCTACACTTTTGCGAGGCTCCCTGTAGGTCCTCAGCTATTTCAACAAAGCACGCGAGCCTCAACTGGCATTCTGATGCCCTCCCGTCATGACGAAATTCTGCATGACGCGCTCGGCGCAATTGGTCGTATTCAATGATCTTGAATGCAGCGGCTCGTCAGTCTTGTTGACTTCCCCGCGCTTTAGGCCGGATCGGCAACGGCGATCCCAAGATCTGGGGAAATCAGACAGCAGACAGCCGTGTGATTTGCTTCACGCACATGTCGTCTCCACCCTTTGGAGAGAATCTCGAACGATCTAGAACGCTGTCGTTGATACTCCTCAAATTCTGCTGCGTCTCGTTGTCGAGGCGAGCCGCTGCGCGAGAGGGCCTTGCTGCAGTGACGATGATGTAAGGGTCGTGCGAGCTGAGGTGAGTTTGGACCCACGCAGTCTGTGTGTCGAACATCTTCGTCGCAACGGCTTGGACGGTTCTTCTTATTCGGACCGCCATATTTTGCCAATCGCCCATTCAGCGCATGTCTCGTAGATCTGGATAACCTGCGGGTCAAGAAGTTGGCGAAATCGTGCATTTCACCGAAGTCGAGACAAGCACTGCCAGAGCTAGCGAGACGGCCGGCGGACAAGCAAGCTTCACAGGGCTGCAGGTCAACCAATCGCGCATGTCTCTCCACAACTAAATGCATTGCGAGGATAATTGTCTGTGCTGAAGGCGGATGACACGAAGATCTGTACCAGTAAAGATGAGGCTACAAGCTTCTGCGTTGGTCAAGGTAGGAAGTACCCGAGGCTGAAGGAGTGCAATGGTCGTCAGTGACGTCATTTTGTCGAACCGAAACTGTAAATCTCGGTTGGAAATCGGTAATGAATTGCAATGCGTCTGTTTTGGTTTGACGAGGAGAGCAGTCTACTCGTCAATGGGGGGTGGTGTTTGTTTCCTCTCACGAAGGAGCGGGTGTTGTTTCGCGGACCGTGCAGGCTTAGTCAGGCAAGCGCGAGTGCGGGCTCCCGAAGGCCAGCAGTTCAATGAATTCAGGGTGCTGCAGTCAGGGTGCAGCACCAACAACACATCGCCCACAACGTCCGCCTCTTCTTCCCGTATACGCATAATGACCTGTTGAGCGACTCGAATCAGCGACCCGTAATATAGCGACATAGACTTCCCAAGATGGCGTCAGCGGTGTTCTTTCTTGACCTGAAGGGCAAGGTACGCTCGTGGGGTACCCGTTGTGGAGGAGCTGCCTGCTGACAGGCACGTATAGACCCTGCTGGCGCGCAACTACCGCGGTGACATTCCCATGTCAGCGGTCGAGAAGTTCCCTGTTCTGCTCAGCGAAGCCGAAGACGAAAGCTCCGCCGTGCCACCGTGCTTCTCAAATGAAGGCATCAACTACCTCTACATCCGCCATAACAATCTGTACCTCCTCGCCCTCACCAAGCGCAACACCAATGCCGCCGAGATCCTCCTCTTCCTCCACAAGATCGTCGAGGTCTTCACAGAGTACTTCAAAGAATTGGAGGAGGAGAGTATACGAGACAACTTCGTCGTCATCTACGAGCTGCTGGACGAGATGATGGACTTTGGATACCCGCAGACAACCGAAACAAAGATCTTACAGGAGTACATCACACAAGAGTCGCACAAGCTTGAAGTACAAGCGCGGCCGCCTATCGCAGTCACCAATGCCGTCAGTTGGCGAAGTGAAGGCATTCGTTACCGCAAGAACGAGGTGTTCCTGGATGTTGTTGAGTCGCTCAATCTCCTTGTGTCTGCCAACGGAAACGTGCTGCGCTCCGAGATTCTGGGTGCTATCAAGATGAAGTGCTACCTTTCTGGCATGCCTGAGCTGCGACTGGGTCTGAACGACAAGGTCATGTTTGAGACAACAGGAAGGGCAACCAGAGGGAAGGCGGTCGAGATGGAAGACGTCAAGTTCCACCAGTGCGTGCGCTTGTCCAGATTCGAGAACGACAGAACGATCAGTTTTATCCCACCAGATGGCGAGTTCGAGCTCATGAGCTACCGTCTCAATACACAGGTCAAGCCATTGATCTGGGTCGAGTGCATAGTCGAAAGTCACTCTGGCAGCAGGATAGAATATATGTTGAAGGTGCGTGCAGCAGAGTCAGTCGTCGACGCGCGAAGTTAATCCATCACAGGCGAAAGCACAGTTCAAGCGACGAAGTACAGCAAACAACGTTCAGATCTCGATTCCCGTACCCGAAGACGCAGATACGCCCCGATTCCGCACAAACATCGGCACTGTACACTACGCGCCGGAGACGTCCTCGATTGTGTGGAAGATCAAGCAGTTCGGTGGAAGCAAAGAGTTCCTGATGCGCGCTGAGCTTGGCTTGCCATCTGTGCGCGGCGACGATGAGAAGGGCGGCGGTATGATGGGTGGCTTTGGTGGAAGCATGGGTGGTGTTGGTGGTGGAAAGGCAAAGAGGCCGATCAACGTCAAATTCGAGATCCCGTACTTCACAACAAGTGGTATTCAGGTCCGGTATTTGAAGATCATCGAGCCCAAGGTAAGTTCTAGTGCGAAATCCTGTTCAACTTCGACTGATAAGATTGCAGCTGCAATATCCATCTTTGCCCTGGGTGCGATATATCACACAGTCTGGCGATATCGCTGTACGATTACCGGACGTAGCTTGAGACAAGAAGTACGATTGACGATAGACACACTGAATGAACCGATGAAGCACGCGCAATAAACAAACATACGTTTTCACTAACGGGCGATAGTGAGGCCCTTTTTTCCAGGAAGTGACAGGGCACTGCGCAGCTAGCTGGAATTACCTGCTTGTAGAGGGAACAGTTTCTGAGATTCCATGGAGTGCTACAGAGTGAGCGACACGATGAAAGCATTGTCTCTCGGATGTAAAGGGGGACAACGAACTTCAATCTCCGCTCGCGGTCCGGACAGAGTCGTATTAATGCCGCCTCAGCTTTCACGACATTCGCCTTGAACGCATGATGCTAGATGCAGCTTGGCGTTCGCACATTCTGCTGTAAGCGGTATGCCCCCCTGTTTAACTTGCCTTAACGAGCACTGAGCCGAATGGCGTCATCGGCGGTTACTGGCTGCCGAGATGAGGAGCAACAACACGAACATAAGTACGACCGGCAGTGCCTACAAAATCGCTACTCGTTGTCAATACTACAGCTGACCCGGTGTAAGCGACTTGATCATGCTCTCGTTCACAGCATTGCTGGCGCTATCGGCGACTGCGCTCGCAGCACCTTCTAAATATGCTTCGCCTACTGTTCGCGTCAAGAATGGCACTATTGCGGGTGTTCACTCGACGTCCTACGACCAGGATTTCTTCCTAGGAGTACCTTTTGCTCAGCCACCGCTTGGTGACCTCCGCTTTAGGCAAGCTCGGTCACTGAACACAACGTGGCAAGGCACACGGGATGCAAAGCAATACGCTACTCACTGCGTTGGTTACGGGGTAAGTCTAAGTATCCGGCAAGAGGTCCTTCCGTACTGACGAATCCAGCTTGATCAAACCTTCTACAAAGCCTCAGAAGATTGCTTGTATCTGAATGTCGTTCGACCATCTGGTTACGAGAACAAGGAGCTGCCGGTAGCCTTCTGGATACATGGCGGCACATTCACCAATGGTACGAAATCAAAAGCCCTTCAATAACTCAAAGACTGACCTCTTATTGCAGGCGGTGGAGCAGATCAACGCTACAACCTATCCTTCATTGTCGAACAGTCTGTCAAGATTGGCAAGCCAATGATTGGCGTGTCGATCAACTACCGTCTGAGTGTTTGGGGCTTTACTAGCTCGAATGAACTTGCTAGCGAAGGCCTGCTCAACATCGGTTTGAAAGATCAAAGGTTGGCGCTGCACTGGGTGCAAGAGAATATCAAGGCGTTCGGTGGTGATCCTAAGAAAGTCACAATCTTCGGAGAATCAGCTGGTGCGGCTTCCATTGGGTTTCACGTATGTCTTAAGACTCCAACCTCTGCGGCAACCCCGGACTAACTTAGTGCAGCTCACAGCCTACCGTGGACGTGACGACAGCCTCTTCCGCTCCGCCATCCTGCAGTCTGGTAATCCGATTTTCTACAGCGCCCAGGGCGGCTCCAATGCCTCACAAGCCGCCTTCAACACGGTGGTGTCCAAGGTCGGCTGTTCTTCAGCGTCCGACAAGATCCAATGCCTCCGCCAAACCCCCTTCGCAAACCTCAACGCAACAATGAACGGCACACTCGCCAATACCGGTGGCTTCGTCCCCGTCACAGATGGCGACTTCATCCAAGACTACGGCTCTGTACAACTCTCCCGCGGCGAGTTCGTAAAAGTCCCGATCATCGTCGGTGCTAATAGCGATGAAGGCGCATCCTTTGCGCCCACGGGAATAAACACAACAGCTGAGTTTCAAGCCGCGCTTGCGGCCACTGGTCTTCCAGTTGCTCTGCAGAACATTATACTTCAGGCGTATCCAGATGATCTGACCACGAACGTCATACAAGCACTCGGTGACCAGCGTCCTGCTACGAGCTTCGGAGAGCAGTTCCGCCGCGTGGCGACGTATGTAGGTGACCAGCTATTCATTGCGCCGCGGCGACAGACGACTGTGAGCTGGGCACAGCACAATGTTACAGCATATGCGTACCGGTTCAACGCCGACCAAGCGGGATTCGCGACGGAGATGGCTGTTAGTCATTTCAAAGAGATCGGCTTCGTATTCGACAACATCGATGGCGTCGGTTTTAGACCGGATATTAAGCCCTTCGAAGGGAAGCCCCAACGATACATCGATCTCGCCGAATTCATTAGTAGGACTTGGGTTAGCTTTGTGCATGATACCGATCCGAATAGTTGGAGGAAGGGCAACGCAAGTGTGCCGGTATGGCCAAAGTACAGTCTGGAAACGCCGGAGGACTTTGTGTTCGAGGTCAATACCACCAGCAGGGTGGAAGCGGACACTTGGAGAAAAGAGGGAATTGACTTTATCAACCAGAACGCATTGGCGGTATATCGTAGGTAAAGCAGAAGAAACAAATTTCCGAATCGACTTCACAATAGTACCCTGTATTCATCTCCTGTGTCCCCTCTCTTCCTCCCCTCCCCTCGCACCCTCGAATTTCCCCCGCTAAAACTTGCACACACACTCGCAAATCTTTCTGTTATCACCACAGTACGGAAGAAACTGAACATGCATATGCTTCCAGGTCGGACATTGCACGCGCATCTCGTCCTGGCACTGGTCCCAGCACTTGTTGCCCTTGTACCAATCGTCGCTGCAGCCGCCTACGGCGTTCCACCAGTGCCTGGAATGCAACGTCTTGATGGTGATATTTCCTATATGGGAGGCAGTGGCGTTGTGGCTTAGGTTGATGTTAGTGTAAATGTTGATGATCGTTGAAGGGGGAACGGCTTACTTGTTATCCGTGACTACGGGTTGGACAGGCATGGCTGTTGCAGTCAAGGCCAAGGCCAGGGCGATGAGAGTGGTGAACTGCATTGTGGGTCTGGAGTAGGGTATTCTTTGAACTTGGTGTGTATTGGAGTTGTATTGTAGAAGTGTCTTCGTTGTTTGACGGAGGACGTTGCAAGAGGGTTGCACAAAATATGTAGATTGCTGCAGCAAAAATTTGACGAATCCCCACTTCATCTACCTTGGTACGCTATCTAGCCTTTTCATGATTTGGTCTTTTATGGCCAATGTTCGTAATGTGAGGATGTAGATGTATGGTTCACGAATTTCAGGGTCATAGTACCACGAATACCTCCAGGGTAAGGAGGTTTGACTGTGTGAGTGCCTGCACAGTACTGTTCAGGGCATGTCCCCTGCCTTCCGGATTTTATAGAACTGTCACTGGACTGTAAAAGGCGGTCAAACGATCTCTGGAGACCTCCATGCCAGTCGATTTGGTGAAGGCTTGGTAATTCATGAAAAATAAATCTATTTCATGTCAACGAGTGTAGCTGTTTGGCAATATCCATGCGTCCCCAACGCCACGCAATAATTTGGAACCGGAATCATTACAACCTGTCTCCTCCAATGCTTTATCTGGACTTCAGTCATCGGTTCAGAGAACGACAGCTAATCCAAGCACAGCAGCACCAATAGCGAGCCCCAAACTCGCGGTCTTCACATCAGCCCCACCAGTACTCCCTGTGGTAGCAGCGCCTGTACCACTAGCAGCTGCAACCTGAAGGCCGTACGCCGTAGTTGGTGTAGTCGTTCCGTTCACAGTAGCAGTTCCCACGCTCGTTGAGGTTGTGCTAGCTGTACATCCTGACCATGTCGTCCACGGTGCCGCAGTGCTCCATGGTCCAGCAGTCCAACCTGGCCAGTCTGAAGGCGGGCATGCACTGCCGCCCCACCATCCTGTCCAGGGACCTGAACGCCAGTCAGACTTGGTCGCCCAATCGCTCCAGGGGCCGTAGCTGCCTGTTCCCCATGGGCCGGGTCCGTCAGGTCCTGTCTGATGTTAGTATGCACGTCCTTCGATCCGATCGAACGATGAAAACGTACCTCCCCAACGTCCGGGACCGCCGCGACCTCCAGGACCGTCATTATCATCATCGTCATCGTGTTTTCCCGGACCCCATGGTCCTGATCCAGGTCCGTATCCACCAGTGGGCCAAGGTGCGGCTGTCAAGGTTGAGGGAATCTTGCCGGCGGAAACGAGCGAGTTGTAGAACGACGACCATCTAGGGAGATCTGAAGTCGCCCATGGAGGTGTTACCACAGGTGTGACGGGTCCGGCTATCGTGGACTGTGAAAATGCTGGTACAGCGAGCGCTGCAAGTGCGGCGAAGCTAAGCTTCATGTTGTTTGTTCTTGATCGTAATGAGGTTGATCTAATAGTCCAGTCTGGCGACAGTGAATATATGATGATGCGAGGAGGAAGCTCATATGGCTGTACAATGAATAAGAAGCAGTTCGCTACGCGACAAACACGCCTTCAAATACAGCAGCGTCGCATACGCGGCCCACAATATCATTGGGCGCCCCTCGCTGACTTGGAGGCCGTCATAGAGTCCGGAGGGGTCCCGCGAGGCTCATCTCATCGACCTTCTCACAGCGAGGGAGTGACGTGCGCCAGCTGACGCGTTTCAAAGCCAGGCAGTCGCTTACTATGAAGCTGCAGGGCCTTCAGCCTTATGGGTAGCGTAGGCAAATTAACGAGTCTGGGGTGTCGGAGCAGATGCTGGCGCGGCAAGGGCAAGAAGCTGTGAGACAATTGCGAGACATGTATGTGGTCTGATTGGGTGCAGTAGCCCATTTATTTCCAGCCATTGCTCGTTGTGTGGTAGATGTGGAGTTCGGAGAACGGGGTGGGGGAGAAACGCGGAGGATGATCTTCAGGGAAGCACCGCGCCTGCGTCTGTCAGTTCTGTCATCTGTGCTGTGTGCGTCATTCTGTCGTGCAAATACTCCGAAGAAGCTTTTCAAACTGCAGCTACAATCGAAGATCTAAAAATTCGAGGATGCTCTGGCCTGTAGAAGAGATGGCTACTGGCTGTGAGGTCGTATTGATACTCGAAGCGGAAGGACAAGTTGTTGATCGGTCGGTGAAACGGGGCTTCGGCGCCGGCATCTTACTCTCACTTTTACACCTGCCCATCTCACCACAAGAGGAGGTGAACATTCGCGAGCGTCGCGTCGTCAGCCGGAGTGTGTGCATGTCTCGACGTTCAATATTCAGCTGGTGAGTTGTCGTCGCTAGCACACACCGTGATGGAGCGAATTCTGGATCGTGACGTTCAAGTCTTTGGGCCTGAAGTAGCAAGGTTTTGATCCGTAAAGCTCTATCTGTGGATCCTGAGCTTGCATCTTGCTTTGCTTCAGCAGAGGCATAGCGTATGTCAAACGGATGTGGTCCGTAGAGAGTGCACAACAGTGGTAACGCCGTGCTTGGCAACTTGCATTCGCAGGCTACAATCATCTTCTGGGCTACTTAAATTGCTCGGGTCCCAACTTTGCATTTAGGGTTATTTTCAGTAGCTCCTTCTCTACGATCTCGTCCTTCCTGCCCACCAAGTCCTCGACATCCCAGTTAGAGGCCACGAATCTGCCGCTCAGGAAGCTTCGGTCCAGACCTTCCCAACCAGCAAGCCAGACGCCGATGCCACCGACAAGGTCCGGCGTATCGAGGGCAAACCTCTTGAACATTTCTTTCGTCATCTCGGTGTCCACAATGCCTGGGTGCAGCGCTATCGCAACCACATTCGGGTTCTCGACTGCGACATATGCCATGAGCTCGAGGACTGCAAGCTTCGATATGCCATACGCGCTCGATCCAGGAAAGACTAGGTAGGCTGCGCCCGTTGTAAGGGTGATTATCCTAGCTGCTGTGTCTGGAGAAGGAAGCTGCTTCAGGAACTGCTGCGTGACAAGGAACGTGCCGTGAATGTTGATCGTCTGGCTGAAGTAAGTAAATGGTCGACAGGAAGGACTTAGGGCGAGCATACCATCTCTTCCCACCATATATGACGGTCAGCATCCCTGGCAGGCTTCACTTCCTTGAAGACGGCCGCGTTGTTGACGAGCACGTCAGCGTGTCCGTACTTCTGCTTCACCTTCTCGAATAGAGCCTGAACTGCAGCTGGATCTCTAATATCTGTAGGCACCACAAGCGTCTCAACTGTTGGGTGTGAATTTGCGATGGTATCGGCTACCTCCTGGAGTTTGTCGGCTCTGCGAGCGACAAGAACAATCGCCTTGGGGCCAGCGGCTGCGAATGAGGGTACGAAACCTCGAGCACCGAGGCCCTGACTGGCACCAGTAACCACTATCACCTTGCCCTTCTGAGACAGCGCAGCCTGGTTGGGATCGATTGCAGCGTAAACATCTCGATGAGTCCTTGCGGTAAATTGCATGCTCGTGACAAAATAATCGACCGGAAGGTTCTCCATCACTGTTCGCGATGACTTATTTTTCTAAGTGTATAGCAGATGAATGATACTTTGGGTAGGTTCTGGTGAGCTGGATGATGTATGAGAGGAGCAGCCGTGCTTACTGTATTTATCCTCGATCTCAGTCGTCGGGGGCAGTAATGAGCGAGGGGTGGGTAAGCATCCTTACTGCTTGGTAATACGTTGTAGTATCCTTCCCAATGCGTTGAGAAGCTTCTCCCAAGCCTTTAGTCACCTTAAATCTAGGTACAGCTTGGTGCAGAGTCGAGTTGGTGGAGCTGAACAGTAAGCAAGCACGAGGCTAATGCATTTGCAGGGATATGAGACATTCCAAAAACAGCTTGAATCTCTGGTATGCTCCTGTAATACCTCCGAATAGAGTATATGGTGCTTACTCCAAAACTGATACAGGGAACTTTCGTCCGAAAATCTGCATGGCCCCATCCCTAATCACGCATCACTGCCGGCGGAGACATCGTCTACCCACAACGCGCCTTTGACAACCTCCATCAGCTCGCCTAGCTATGAAGCTGCATGCTGCTCATGACCATTTCCGGCAAGAATATAAACTGTCTGCGCTCAGCCAAGATCGCTCGTCTCGACCGCTGCGAAATTAAGTGGCCGGAAAAGAAGAGGGTTGAGCTCATGCCACATTGTCTTATATTGCAAGAGAACGAGTCAGAGATTTCTAAAGACGACTGCTGTCCAGACCGGAGTATGCCCCAAGGCTCGCCGATAAGGAGCTAGAAAGAGCAGTGTGCCAAGTCGATATGCCTGCTCAAGTACATTCTCGCGATCGTCACCCATCAGTAAGGATTTCTATACATCGTCGGCTCCATCCGACTGCCATTTGTGACTGCGAGTTCTAGCTAATAATGTGGTTGAAGAGGACGCTCAGGTTGACGCTGCCCCACGACGTCAGCGAGCACCACCAACGTGTAGCAAATGCCACGTGCAAGGTCACAATAGGACTCAATGTAGAGCTATCTAATCTATCTTGCTTCAAAACCTCACTTAATTTGACCATGTGGTTGTAGAGCAGTTGCACGGCAAGTAAAGCGCGTTTTGGTGGGGTGCGCAGGATACTGATATGCGCAGCTTACTGATAGAACACGTTACTTAGTGACTGCTTATGTAAGCCGTACTACGCTACCACTACGGTTACTGTCAGTAGTACGCCCCGTTGGAAGCGCTGTAGGCTTGGTCGAGTTACTCAGCGGGTTCCTCACTATATTAAGCGCTTTCTGGTGGTGCGTTAAGCCCTGGTCGTTGTCAATGGAAGGAAAGAAACTTTTCTTTTCCCAGGAAAGGAAGTTCTGAGTATTAGCTAAAGTGTTGTGGAAAGCTGCTGGGCCGTCAAGCCCGGTTGGAAACCAGGATCCCCTCATAGGCTCGCATGTGTACTATTAGGAATTCCAGACTGCATGGGACCAGTCGTCACCTCCGAAAGGGTCGATTTGTCCACTGCCCCAGCGATCTATGCTAGGCTGCTTTCGCGTACCGGTAGTTTGAAGGTGACGACCTCGTTCCGTCCACGCTTGCTCTTCGGTTTGTGTCGCGCCTTACCAACTTCTGTCAATGGCACGTCGGCGTATGCGAAGTCCCGTTTCCATATCTTTGAGATCGTCTACATACTTGAAGTTCATAAAGCTGAAGCTAGGTTTCAATGATTGGTCCACGGTAAAACATGATGATGCTGCACTTGGCTCTGCCTTAGCTCTGATTTGAAGTGCATCAAATATAGACTATCGCGCCCCGAGTCCATGAAGAGCAACACCAATGCTATGAGCTTTCGACATGCTCCATGGTCGAGGAGATCTCAGCACGGGCGGGGCTGGACGAGGCTGACTGCAACACAAGGCAGGGATTGAGCCATTGAGGTACCGCGTGCAGCACAGCTACCATACAGCGCAATAACTAAACAACGGAGAAGATATATCGAAGCAGCAATGCTCAGCACCTGAGTGCCGACGTTGCGCGTGTATGGACAGTGGAGTCCATTAGAGCCGCGGTATTGTAAGCGTGCATGGCTCTTGTGCCAATGCAATCAAAGCGGCAGGAAGTGTAACGAGTAGACCATGGTTCAGGCCACCTTCCGAGGCATTCTGAAAGTGCAAAATGATGGATTTCGCATCCTCATCGGCTTCACGCGCCTGCCTTGACATTTGGTCCGAGCCCTCGCTCCTTCCTTATCGATTGCTTAGCCCGGCTGACTAACGCATGCATCTTAATAAAATTCTCGCTGCAACAGACCCTTCGCTTCTCCAACGCACCATCAGACAGTTCATCCGCCTATCTCATCAGCCTCTTACGTTTTGTTCGAGCGCTATCGAGTTCACCTATTGGGCGGTTGCGATTCAGCGCTGCGGAGAGGGAAGCCATCGAGCACCATTAGAGCTGGCTGCGCATTTTTCACTGTTGCGCAGGCGGTGTCATAGGGGCTGTACATACCGTTAATTTGCAACGAGCTTTTGTGATGCTTGGACTTGCGAAAGAAGATGTGATGAGGTATCGTCTACTCACAGACGACAATTATTAACGGACCCTGCGAGAAGACGTTTTAGACCATCGCGCAAGAAGTACGCTACAATTGTGTCATGGAGGCTATAGTGTCCGTGCTCAGGGTGAATACGTTCGTACTTCGGAGTTCGATGAAGCATCATGTGAGCCCACAGTGTCAGCCTATTGGCAATGCGAAGTGCTCGCACGACGGTCGTTGCACATTGGTAAACACTGTTTACACATTTCGACCTTGGGATATTTCATAAGTTAGTGTAAGTTTGTAAGATATATCATTCACAACTTCATGCATGCATACTCAGACACATCAAACTAGCTTCAACCAACTACAACGACTTTCAACATACCTTACAGCCGAATTTGCCACATGTCTCAGTAATGACCGTTTCTCCGTCTCCATCGCCTGACATACAGGCTCGTCTCTTCCAGATCGCCAACTACGTAGTCCTCAGGTATGCTCAAGAGTACCAATGGTCCACATGGCACTCTTGGAACGTCATCGACGAAGCTGATCTCAATGACCAGTGTGGTGTAGGCGGGAGGGGTCGCCACTTTTGGTCATTGACCAATCCTTTTGGAAGCTGTCTCGGCGCATCTTCGCGCATCTACACTCGACTCCAGAGCGAACTGGCTAGCCATTCAGACTTGGTAATACGTTGCTTTACCGACAACGTACAGCTGACGACATCTGCGCAGCATGCAATATCAAATGTTGACCACCACGCTGTGGTAGCCATGTGCTTCGAAGACTTCGCCATTGTCATCGGCCACGCTCTTTACCCTGCGGCATTCCGAATTCCTCTCGGTGGAAGATTTGACATGGCCCCATATATTCCTCCTTTCGAAGAGCCAGGCCGGGAGCGCTTCTCATATATCTAGCACGGCGGGAAGCTTATGCTAACCATGAACAACGAGCAAGGTTCCTGTCACACTCTCTTCTTCTCTGAGAGGACGTCGACAATGCAACCGACCAACTCGCCATTCCAGCCGCACAAGAGAAGCAGCCAATCAAGAGCTAGGAGCACATCCTTATGCTGACTTGTGAGTACCTTTCCATCCGCTCACTGCTTAACGAAGAACCTTTTCACATCCACGCAGAGCGTGCCGAAGACGGCTGGCTCGTAACAATAATGTGTATCCAAGTCCATTTCGAAACCGCCGAGATCTCCATACAGATTCCCAACCATGACTGGCTGATGCGCCGTCAAGGCCACGAGTGGCACAAAAAGTACAGCGCCGATTGGATCAAGTTTCGCGACGCCATGCAGATGCAGATGAAGATGGAGGTCGTCCTATTGACGCTGCCTCTCAATGCACGGACGCAAGACCAGCCGGGCTTTGATAAGTATCGCGGTCTTGCGCTCATGCAGATTCTTGCGTTTGAGCCTGGGCTGAAAAATGACGTGTTGATCCAGATGATGTGGTCGGTGTATCGAGTGTGGGCGCTGTATCGCTCAGATCGTGCGGACTCCATCATTGAAGGCGAGGCTTCTGATGCTGGGTTTACAGACGCTTACAATATTTCAATCAATCTTTGACCGCGCTGGCTCGTGGTTGGTCGATGACAAGGTAGTCTAAAAAAAGCCACGATGGAGTCAATCCTCCTTTGAACCCTCGTATATGGACCATCTTCTCATGCTCGGGTCGTGTCCACGGTGTTGATCATGATCAATTCGAATAAGGCTGATGTTCGTGCGGGGATGAAATGGAAGTCAGCGTTGCACCTCGAAGCTCTCCACACCTCGGCAACTCCAGCTCTCCCCGCGGGAGTGGCATCAGGTAGCCGATCTCACAACCAACAATGTCGACGTCGAGCATGAGCTATTCGAATAAAACAAAATCACTCAGATGTTTTCAGCTATTGTAGTATCGCCTTAATATCTGAAACCACGACAAATACACACGCACACACACAATGTCGAACGCAACGTACCAACCACCACCGCTCACAGGCCTGCGTGTCCTCGAGTTTGCAGGCCTGGCGCCAGGTACATAGCGACAGCATACGCAATACAGCAGCCGACTGACGACAAGTAGGTCCCTTCGCAGGCATGCTCCTCGCCGACTATGGCGCAACCGTCCTCCGCCTCGACCGCGCACCCGCCCACGACTCCGGCGCACCCAGCGACCAACTCACGCGCCGCAAGACAAGCATATGTGCTAACATGAAGACTGCCTCTGGCCTCGCATTGATCAAGAAACTGATCCCAAACGTGGATATTCTCATCGACCCCTTCCGACCCGGCGTTCTTGAGAAAGCTGGGCTTGGGCCAGAGGAAGTGCTGCTGAAGCTCAATCCGCGACTCATCGTTGCGCGCATGACGGGGTTCAGAAGAGATGGGAAGTACAGCGCGATGGCCGGGCATGATATCAACTACATAGCCGTGTCGGGTGTGCTGTCGTTGTTTGGTAGAAAGGGCGAGAAGCCGTATCCACCTGGCAATCTTATGGGTGACTTTGCCGGCGGAGGCGCGATTTGCTTTATTGGAATCCTGCTCGCCCTTCTGAACAGAGAGAAGAACGGGATCGGGCAGGTCGTCGAGGCGAACATGGTGGATGGCAGTGCGATGATGGCAACGATGCCGAGACTGGGGATGAAAAGTCCAGTTTGGGGCGCGGAGAGGGGTACGAACATGTTGGATGGTGGTTCGCCGTTCTACGACACATACGAAACGAAAGACGGGAAGTACACAGCTGTGTAAGTGCCCTAAGTGAGCGTGGGATCAAGACTAACAAAGCGTCAGTGGTGCGATCGAACCTCAATTCTGGGCCGCGCTGCTGAAAGGCCTTGAGCTGAAGCCAAGCGATCTGCCCGGAAACCGCGACAACAAAGATGACTGGCCGAAGCTGAAAGAATACTTCACTGGGGTGTTCAAGAAGAAGACACGCGACGAGTGGGCGGCGATCTTCGATGGCACAGATGCTTGCTGCACACCGGTGTTGACACATCCAGAGCTAGAAGCGCAAGGGTTCGATCAACGGCCGGCTGTGACACTGAAGTCGTCGCCGGGACTAGCCATTCACGAGGGTGATGATTCAAGACCTGCCGCGGTTGGACAGGGTATCGGTATAGAAGGCAGTGGCTGGGCGGTGCGGGGACTGCTAGCTGGCGACGGCGGAGAGGAGACACTTGCGCAGTGGACAGGCTGGACGAAGGGTCGGCAGTTCGTGGACGAGAAGGGCCTGCTTGGGTGGAAGGACACTGCGAAACTGTGAATGATTCTGACTATCGATCAGTGCGGAGTAAGTTCCCGAATGTTTGTCTGGTGGCTGAATATGTGGTGCCAGCAGGCTGAATGTACAATGCTTCTGTTGTTCCTACACATATAGTTATACACCCAAGAAATGCGATCAAGCCCTCTGCTGCCTCTTCTTTGGCTTCGCTGTCTTCTTTCCAGCGTTCCTCAGCTTCTTCTTTTCGATGTTGGCCTTTATCCTGGCCTGCGACTTGCGCCACGCCGCCCATCGATCGCCGGGTATGAACTTCTTGACCTGTACGTTTGCCTTCTCTGCCGCACGACCTATCTCCCAATTGGCCTCGCGGTAAGCGTAGCCCTTGTTCGCCTTAGCAATAATCTTTACTTGTCGTGATGTGTCCTTGATGCTGCTGTCGCTGCCGGGGCCTTCCCCAGTCTGCAGATCGTTGACCACAGCCTTCGCCTCGGCGTCTGACGGTGTGACCGATACGGCAACAAAGCCTAATCTCCTCGCTCGCGGGACGTTTCGTGCATACGGCAGCTGATGGTCTTTCTCGAGAGCTACGCCAATGTACTGGCGCTTGGGGTGCTTCAGAGGGTCCTTGTAGTACCGAACATATCCGGACTCGGTGGCGAAGACGCAGTGATCGCGGCCAAATTTGCAGTTCTCACCGGGGAACCAGTGTGTCCCGCGCTGGCGAAAGATGATGTTGCCCGGAATCACGTACTCTCCTGTATGGCGCCGTCAGCATTCCGTCCCTTTCGTTCCGTGCGCACATGGAATCCCGTACCTCCACTCTTCTTCGCTCCCAATCGCTTTCCTGGCCCATCCTTGGCGCCGTTGGCTCGTCCCTGAGCCTGATGTGCTGAATGTCTGACGAAAGACAAGGTCGGTACGTGTGCGGAGGCGCCATTGGCTGAGCGGATGGCTTCGATGACGCGAGAGGCAGGTAGTATAAAAGTCGATGGTGTCTGTATCGATGCGCGTACCGGCGCAAGTATCCGTGGGAGCAGCATGGCTGCGCTGGTGTTGACGTCGCTGATCGTGCTTGCTGTCCGAGAGTTTTCGAGGGCAGAAGGCGCGTTCTTAATTGGGCCTAGTGCTTTCCTTTGTTTGGTCGCTGCCCGCACCTGCAGCTGCTCACTTGAGAATAGCCCTTGAGCAAGTCACGACAACAAACTTCGACAGCAATAGTATATGGATTGTTTGCATCGAGTTGCACAGTAAGTACGTTGCTGAGCCACCCCGGGCATTGGATTCAACTGGATTAGCTGTCTCTTGCACACAGACCACGTGTGTATTCTCTCGCATACATCTCAATAACTTCGAGCAAGTATTCTCAGAGATGCTCACTGCCTACCGCCCTGGGTAGCACATAGTAACCGGTATCTCGTCCTCGACGTTACATTGGCTCTTTCATCACAAGGAATGTTACCTTGCCAGCTGTTCTCTTGACTGTCTACGGACAACGTTTGACAAAAGATAGTAGCAGCCTCCGCCTTACTCTACGATCACGAATTTGTCATTAGAGTCATCCCTAGATTCACACTAGCTTGCCGCTGGGCTCACCGCTTGGGTCTAGCGTGAGTGTTCCATAGACATCAAGAACAACTCAATATTGCAATTTTCGAAGCCTTTAGTACGTTCGTTACATTGAGCTGTAAGTGCTGACAGGGGCTCTACAAGCTCTTTAACTGAGAAATAGGTGTCTATGCGCGCGAAGCAAGCAATCTAATACGACGCTTACACGTCAAGCCGCCGTCAAACAATTCCAAATCCAGCTCCGCGAACCTCGACAACGCGACACCTTGATGTCCAACGCCACCAGCTCCAAATCGAACTGAGATGCAATATTATGGGTATCGTAAAAATATGCTGGTCCATCAACATGACTCGCCGGCGAGTTCAGTGCGTCGAAGACATGCTCACGGCAGTGTGTCCTGTCTGTAGCGACGATTTAGATTGTCGCTTTCTTCGAGTCGAAACATTCGAGTCGATGAGCTTACAGCAGTGATCGAAATCACCGTGGTTTCAGGCACATGCTCAGCTAGACCTGGTATATGTTGAAGAAGCAACTTTTGAGAAGAGAGCGACTTTGAGTTGTAGATAAGCCTCAATGGCAGCTTGTCGAGACATGGCGTCTTCGTTTGAGGCAGATCGTCGTTGGGGGTTACGTTCGATGGAGGATGTCCACGATGTGATGGTGGATGCTCGTCCTGGTGTCAAGTATGGGTGCTGAGATTGCTGAGATGACACGGAGGCCATGGTATCTGAGGAGCAGATGGACGAAGTTCGTGATGATGGTCGTGACAATGTTCTTGGAGCCATTGTGTTGGCAAACAAAGAGGATGGGAGACGAGATATACTCAAAGATGGACGATTTGCAATTGTCGCAAGTGGCCGAAGACTACTACCTCGGGTGGAAGCCTGCGACACGGTTTGTACGGTGTGATAACCGAAAGCTACGGACGAGGCTCCTACTCGACTACAAATAACATCTTGTCCCAGACACTAGGACGATAAAAAACGCCATGTCCCACCGGAAGATGATGACTTGTCCTTGGAGGATTTGCGAAAGCACATGGAAACGTTTCTAGTTGAGCATAAGATTAGCGAGCGCAGCCCAATGAGCGTGTAGCAGGTTTGATGGAGCTTGGTTTCATCCTGCAGATGATTTCACCGTCTGAACGGTAATCAGGCAGTCTTGACAAATCATTGATGCACGCGAGCTCTCCTGCAAGCCGCGACACTAGTTGCCTCGCAGTGGTATTCCAAATATTCCAAATCGGGGATGGTGCTAGGCACACCTTCTCGAAACAAGCCCTAACCATCGCTCCGTTGCAGTCGCGCACGCAGTCAGATCTCGTCTGCACTTGATCCTCGAGGAGGCTTAACTTCTCCTCAGGCCAATGTTCATGCGACATGGTAATTCACCCGGCTCGACTTGCACGGCGCTCACGGTCGCTTATACACCGAGGACCCTTCTACATACCTTTCGGAGCCAAGCCTACCAACGTTACTCCATCGTGCATTGCTCCATATATTCGCCATCATGTCAGATTGACTCGAATGTCGCTATGTACATGCATCTCAACACGACTTCAGCATGCACCTCGAGTAACACTAACCCGAGAGGCCTCCACTTCCTTCACAGAACCTATCATGACTTCGACAGGGTTCAATGTGCCGCACTAGATTTTGCAACACATCCACATGCTGCTCCATCGACGATGACGCGTCCTCAAACCGCATCCTGTCGCCGACAATTTACCCCAGACTGCTTACACCTAGCAAAGTGACAAATACTGACGACCTCCAACACGACGCCGAGCAAGCTGAACAGTACAACTTCATCACTCTATTCCCACTTTTTCGATCTCCCATACACCGCCTCTGGTATGGCTTCATCGCGATGCATCGCAATATATCACTGCATAGGATTTTCTGTTTTTAGCCTCGATTGGACACCAACCGCAGCCTCGAAGTGGAGTTAAATCAAATGCCTTGCGACACGGACACAGGTCCTCTCCAGAGCTTCGGATCGTGGACTCAGTTATATCTTTCCCGTGCCATATGCAAGGAATAAGAAACCATGGACCCAAGAAGGCGGCAAACTGCTGAGACTAACATGTCTCCATCGTCGGTCAGCAACTGCATTGCACTTAACACAGTGTGGTGAAAGTGATAAGACAACCTCAATGCGAGGCGCAGCCGCTAATCGGTACTGCTCACTTGTTGACCTATCTGACGTTGAAGGAGACGCGAAATCTGCCAGCGTCTTGACACCCGGTTGGACAACAATCTTGTTGTGAAGAAGCCGGACTGTTACCCTCGGGTTCGTCACATCGCAGACGTGCATAAGTCACGTGTTTGGTTCACTCTTATTGAGAACTACGCCTGGTTAAGTTTCCAGTTTGGCAATAATTCCGTGTGGTTGCTGCTAACTACGGTCCTAGTCTTACAGCATGTAATCCTCAAAAATCCTATGAGTCATCACCGGACTATAACGCCTTCAATATATTGCTGCGCAACTAGACTGTAGTGGTGCATCATCGAGGTAAACCAAGGGAGCTACAGTCGAAGTACGGTGGCAGTCCCACCTTATGTCAAAACTTACGACAATGTGTAGTGATCCCGCGACCAGACTGCAATCTCTTCTCAAGGGTTTTGGTACGCGTCGGTCATGATTGTCTCGCCTGTCTGGCCGCTGCACCCACCATGTATCCCAACCGTCAAGAAAGAAGATACAGAGAGGCATTAGTCATTCTTTTTAGCTCTTCCCGTGGACGACATGTGGTCGCAGAATCCGAACCTAGGGACGCAAATCCTGTGATATCTTCACGTGGCGAGTACCTTGGGGGGGGGGGGGGGGGGGGGTTGCGTCACCGATACACATTCAATAACCTCACATCTTTCCGATCACATCTAAAACTGCTAAAAAGACGCTTCGAGCAGACTCTTGGGTATGCATTATTCGTAGAGCATTTGGTGAGTGTCTTGGAGGTGAACGCAGCTACTGTTTTCGGGTGTCTCACATTGGCATGCTCAATACTTCATCTAGCTCACACTTTACGCAACCCTCAACATCATCACACAATGGACACAAATTCTCCGAGCTGGTTTGTAGCGTCTCAGCAGGCAACGACGAGCCTTCGGGGATCGGCCTTCATCGCGGCTCTGATTTTCACGACCCTTGCTTTCATCATCGTGATTCTACGATGGTACAGCAAGATTCGCCTTGTGCCGGGTACTTTGCGCCTTGAAGACTTCGTTATCACGGCCGCAACTGTAAGTACTCGTCCGAATGAAGAGGCTTCTGACTGAATCTGCATCAGCTTCTGTCCGTGGGTATGACCGGTGTAGCTGGCATGGGTAAGCTTCCTTCACCCGATTTTCATTTGCTAGCTCAGGAGTTCTTCACAGACTTCGCCCGCGACACAACACCCGTCGTTGACGAACAGGCCATCCTCGCCAGCCTCTCAGATAAGCTCAAAGTGCAATTCCCCACCGCCCACTAGTCACTGCTAATGTCCTGCAAGCTCGTGTTCGCAGAGTCGTTCCTCTATCAGCTTGCTATAAACCTTGTCAAGGTCACAATAATAACCCAGTACCTGCGAGTCTTTGCCCAGGTTCCCTACGTCAGATTCTCATGCTATGCACTCTTTGCCGTTGTCCTCGGCGCAACTACATGGGGTGTTTTCGGTACTATTTTTCTCTGTAACCCCATCAGGACATACTGGGACGTGACGGTTGAGGGACGATGTATGAACACGGAGCGTCATTTCTGGAGCACGAGTGTAATGGGTATCATCATTGATTGGGCGCTGTGGTTATTGCCTATGCCGGTTGTAGGGAAGTTGAGATTACCGGTGCATCAGAAACGGGGCCTTTGGGTGGTATTCGGGCTCGGGGGGTTTGTGTGCGCTGTCGGTATCCTGAGGTTAACGCTCGTCGAGAAAGCCCTTCACGAGGGCATGATAATTCGTAGGTGCAAGTATTTGCGTATTGAGCTGCACTGACTTGGCATAGAGTCCGGTACATATGCAGTGGTGTGGTCCACGATTGAACTCAACGTGGCCATCGCATGCGCGTCGCTGGTCGTTATGAGGCCGTTATTGACCCGTTGGATGCCTCCTTCGGTGTCAAAGCAGCGTGTATCGGCTAGCGACGACAGGAGAGATCTGAAGTAGTTGACAAACCTGTGATTATAGAGCTATCAGGCTGGCGAATTACTGTGGCCGTGGGAAGAGGGGAGCGAAGTACACGCAAGGATCGACGCATGCAGAATTTCGATTCTCAAAACGAGTACGGTAGATGTATAGGTAATTAGCAACGACACCATGCAGCGATTATTCGCCTACACTGTGACTAGAGGTCTCCAGTTTGCGGTAGAGCAGGGCCGCTGTCGCTACCATACTGTGTCTTTAAGTCCCACTGTGGTAGTTCAAGACACTCGTGCACTCGTCGTGTCAAGCGCCATTGTCCGACTCCACAGCCAGGCTCCAGAACGCGAATGCATGTATTTCCTGGGCGATGGAAGGCCCGCTCGTTGCGCTGTCGAAGTGCTTACCGGTATGACGTATGTCTCGTTCTCTAGCAGCGATGTAGCTCTTGCAAGCGTGTGTCAGAATTCACACGGGAGCCGAGGGTGCACACAGAGCGGCTTTGAGTCTGCACACAGTCCAAATCATTAGACTCTTGTCGCGCCTATAGACATCGCTGTGAACGGGCATATGACGAACGTGCCTTGCCAGGAGCTAGGGCCCACACGCTAAGGACATCACGACCCGCCCGCCTGCCATCTTCAACCTTGATGCTCAATCGACCTCGCCTCCACAAGCGACCCTCTCTTCTCGACTTGATCCAGAAGAAGAACATTTCCTATATCTCGACTTTCTCGAGCAGCAGCAGCCTGTTCGAAGACGACGTCGAGCCGCGCACCGTCCCGCTCCCACGGAGCCCACCGATAACACCGCAGCGCGAAGACGTCACGGAACCACCACCGCCACCCATCGCATTGAACGACGACAGCAATAGGGAACGCAAAGAGATCCCGGCAGCAAACATGGGTCCCGTAAGCTCTTCGCGGATGCAGCACTGGCCCAGCGCAGGCAGCTAATTGGCGGGGTGGCAGAAACCGAAGAAGCAGCAGGAGAAGCCTCAGCAGTCGCAGGCTGAGGAGAAGACACCCGATGGTAAGTGCTCAGCAGCAAAGGTTTTGATGCATTCCAGCAATTGCTAACACACTCCAGGCCAGGTCTTTTCCGTCTCCGGGTAAGTCACGACCTCGCACGTCTGCGCCGCCTACTAATCGGCTTAGTCCCGTCATTGTCGCCGAGAACATGATCGGCGTTGCCATGTACGAACTTGTATGTAGCTCGAGGATGCGCTCCAAAAGCATAGGCTAATGGTTGCAGGTCCGTGTTGGTCACGACAACCTCGTAGGAGAGGTCATCCGAATTGAGAACGACAAGGCCACCATCCAGGTCTACGAGGAGACCGGTATGCCAAGCACGTGAAAGCTTCACTGGACCAAAAACTGACGAGACATAGCTGGTGTCACTGTAGGCGACCCCGTCATGCGATCTGGACAGCCTCTCTCCGTCGAACTTGGCCCTGGTCTCATGGAGACTATCTACGATGGTATCCAGCGTCCCCTCAAGGGCATCTCGGACGCCTCGAACTCGATCTACATTCCCCGTGGTATCGATCTGCCCGCCCTTGACCGCAAGAAGAAGTGGGACTTCACACCCGGTAGCCTGAAGGTTGGCGACCACATCACCGGTGGTGATGTCTTCGGTACCGTCTTCGAGAACTCCCTGCTCAGCGAGCACAAGATCCTACTCCCTCCCCGCGCGCGCGGAACAATCACCCGCATCGCTGAGAAGGGCAGCTACACCGTCGACGAGAAAATCTTGGAGATTGAGTTCAACGGCAACAAGACTGAGCACAGCATGATGCACCGCTGGCCTGTGCGAGTACCCCGTCCTTCCAACGAGAAGCTGTCCTCCGATCGGCCTCTTATTGTCGGTCAGCGTGTCTTGGATTCGCTCTTCCCCTCCGTTCAGGGTGGTACTGTCTGCATTCCCGGTGCTTTCGGTTGCGGAAAGACTGTCATTTCTCAGTCACTGTCCAAGTTCTCCAACTCTGACATCATTGTCTACGTCGGATGTGAGTACTCCAAAAGAAAGCGTGGAGGTACCCAGCTAATCAGACAACAGGTGGTGAGCGCGGAAACGAGATGGCTGAAGTCCTGATGGACTTCCCTGAGCTGACTATCGAGGTCAACGGCAAGAAGGAGCCCATCATGAAGCGTACCACACTCATTGCGAACACCTCCAACATGCCTGTCGCAGCTCGTGAGGCTTCTATCTACACCGGTATCACTGTCGCAGAAGTACGTAGTGCTATTGCTTTCATTTGAAGGGATTTGCCGCTGACCTATTGCAGTACTTCAGGGACCAGGGCAAGGACGTCGCTATGATGGCCGACTCTTCGTCTCGTTGGGCTGAGGCTCTTCGTGAAATCTCCGGTCGTCTTGGAGAGATGCCTGCTGATCAGGGTTTCCCTGCTTACCTTAGTGCTAAGCTTGCGTCCTTCTACGAGCGTGCTGGTCGCGTCACCGCTCTTGGCAGCCCCGAGCGTCATGGATCAGTTTCCATCGTTGGTGCCGTCAGTCCTCCCGGTGGCGATTTCTCGGATCCTGTCACAACCAGTACACTCAACATTGTGCAAGTTTTCTGGGGTCTCGATAAGAAGCTTGCTCAGCGAAAGCATTTCCCCTCGGTTAACACTTCGATCAGTTACTCGAAGTACACAACGCCGCTCGACAAGTACTACGCCGAGAACAACCCCGATTTCCCTCGTCTCCGGGACCGCATCAAGGAGCTGCTTACAACTTCCGACGATCTCGACCAGGTCGTGCAGCTTGTCGGCAAATCTGCGCTGGGTGACTCTGACAAGATTACCCTTGATGTAGCTACATTGCTTAAGGAGGATTTCCTGCAACAGAACGGTTACTCTGATTACGATCAGTTCTGCCCGTTGTGGAAGACTGAATGGATGATGAAGAACATGATGGCGTTCCACGACGAGGCACAGAAGGCAGTATCCCAGGGACACAGCTGGCCTAAGGTCCGTGATGCGACATCAGAGATTCAGAGCCAGCTGCGAAGCATGAAGTTCGAGGTCCCGTCTGAGGGCGAGGAGGCGATCACAAAGAAGGTATGTCGTGCTCACTGTTATGATGCTATGACGTTCGCTGACAAGAACCGCAGTACGAGCAACTGTTGCAGAAGCTGACAGAGAAGTTTGCGTCTGTAATTGACGAGTAGACATGTGTACAAGGAAGCAGAGTTTGCATAGCGAAGTAGTTCCGAGTACATTGCTGAACGTAGATTGTGAATTGGAACAAGTCCCAAATGTTGTCGCCTGAAATCGCATACGACGCGTGCTCGTGCCCGGTGACCGCAGACCCCGACAAATGATTGGCTACTCAACCCCCGGTTGGGCAGGAATATGCCCGAAGAGGGCAGAACAGGCTGCCTGCTGCAGTTTTCATAGTACATGAGGTGCTGTAGGGAGGCGACCTAATCACTTGCAGTCGCCAAAATGAGCTGTGCAGTGGAACTCGGCCAGGGTCTCCCAGCACGGTGACGGAGTGCGCTCAGCCACAAGTGGCGCTGCTAGCTCGGGACATGTGCGTCGACGTTGATTGAACACCCATTCCCAAACACTCCCGCGCCGGTGCCCGAACGCACTACTTCCTTCTACCTACATATTCTCTCCTCCGTGCGCTCACCGACTTCATAATCTAAACCGCCGCGCACCCTCGCCCACCATGGCGACAAACCCTAATGCGTATGTTCTGCGTTCGAGGGGCATTCTGGGGATGCGGTCTGGGGTCTAAAGCTAACAAGTGACAGCATCAACGTCAACGACCCAAGCTTGATCACCCTCGTCAACAAGCTGCAGGATGTCTTCACCACAGTCGGAGTATGTCGCCCCTATACACCGCCGCGAATGCGCCCGCGCCGCCTTATCCAGCCCGCGGTGCATCCACGCCGAAGTTCAATACTGATACCTGTCGCAGGTACAAAACCCCATAGATTTGCCCCAGATTGCCGTCGTTGGATCGCAGTCCAGTGGAAAGAGTTCCGTGCTTGAGAATATTGTCGGTCGCGATTTGTGAGTGTCTTGCGCTCTTGCGCTCTGTCCCAGCTGCTGGACACCACCACTGACCACCTTGCGCAACAGCCTGCCTCGAGGCTCTGGTATCGTTACCCGAAGACCGCTCATCCTGCAGCTCATCAACCGTGCCTCGCAATCGAACGGTGTCAAGTCAGAGGAGATCAAGACCAGCGATGCCGAGTCCAACGTTGACGAGTGGGGAGAGTTCCTGCACATTCCCGGCCAGAAGTTCTACGACTTCAACAAAATCAGGGAAGAGATTATTCGCGAGACAGAGGCAAAGACTGGACGCAATGCGGGCATTTCACCAGCACCCATAAACCTGCGGATATATTCGCCGAATGTCCTGACCCTCACCCTCGTCGATTTGCCCGGTCTCACACGAGTGCCTGTCGGGGATCAGCCACGGGATATTGAGCGACAGATCCAAGAGATGGTCCTGAAACAGATCAGCAAGCCCAACGCTATCATCCTGGCTGTCACCGCCGCGAACACCGACTTGGCCAACTCGGACGGTCTGAAGCTGGCTCGAGAGGTTGATCCTGAAGGTCAGAGGACAATTGGTGTATTGACAAAAGTCGATTTGATGGATGAGGGAACCGACGTTGTCGACATCCTTGCTGGACGCATCATTCCGCTGCGACTGGGTTACGTCCCTGTTGTCAACCGAGGACAGAGGGATATCGAGAACAAGAAGGCCATCTCCCAAGCTCTCGCGCACGAGACATCGTTCTTCGAGAATCACAAGGCATACCGCAACAAGGCTTCGTACTGCGGTACACCGTACCTAGCCCGCAAGCTAAACTTGGTAGGCGTGGAAGTTCGCTTCACGAATGACTCATTTGCTAACACAACCAGATTCTCATGATGCACATCAAGCAGACTCTTCCCGACATCAAGGCGCGTATCGCCTCGTCGCTACAGAAGTACCAAATCGAGCTGGGTCAACTTGGAAACTCCATGCTCGGCAACAGCTCGAACATCGTCCTTAACATGATCACGGAGTTTACAAACGAGTACAGGGGTGTCCTTGACGGAAACAACCAAGAACTCTCTGCAACTGAGCTCTCAGGTGGAGCGCGTATCTCCTTTGTCTACCACGAGCTATACGCAAACGGTGTGAAGGCTGTTGATCCTTTCGACCAGGTCAAGGATGTCGACATTAGGACTGTGCTCTACAACTCGTCTGGTTCCTCGCCGGCACTGTTCGTTGGTACAACAGCTTTCGAGCTAATTGTCAAGCAGCAGATCAAGCGTTTGGAAGACCCCAGCTTGAAGTGTGTAAGCTTGGTCTACGATGAGTTGATCCGCATTCTTGGCGGGCTCTTGAACAAGCCTACGTTTAGACGTTACCCAGCCTTGAAGGAGAAGCTGTACGCTGTTGTCGTGCAGTTCTTGAAGAAGGCTATGGATCCCACCAACAAGCTCGTCCGTGATCTGGTCGGTATGGAGGCTGTATACATCAACACTGGTCACCCCGACTTCATCAACGGATCGCGGGCCATGGCCATCGTACACGAGCGTCATAACGGCGCCAAGCCACAACAGGTTGACCCTAAGACGGGCAAGCCTTTGCCGCCCCAGGTACCACCACGATCGATGTCGCCGTCTCTTGGAGGAGGATCGTCCGAGGACGGCGGCGGTTTCTTCGGCTCCTTCTTCGCCAGCAAGAACAAGAAGAAGATGGCGGCTATGGAGCCGCCGCCACCGACACTGAAGGCTTCCGGAACTCTCTCGGAGAAGGAGGCTCAGGAAGTCGAAGTCATCAGTGAGTGCTTGTCTATACGAACACCTTCGAGTCGACGCTAACCTTCTACAGAACTCCTGATCACATCCTACTTTAACATCGTCCGCCGCACAATGATCGACATGGTCCCTAAGGCCATTATGCTGAATCTCGTTTCGTGGTCAAGGGAGAACATGCAGAGCGAGCTGCTCACCAACATGTACAAGACCGACGAGCTCGACGAGCTGCTTAAGGAGTCCGAGTACACAGTCAGGAGGCGGAAGGATTGCCAGCAGATGGTGGAGAGCTTGACGAAGGCGCAGGAGATTGTCAACCAGGTGCAGTAGATGGAACGATGAGGCGGTTAGATTTCTGCTCCTTTCTCCGGGCTGGCATTCTCTGTAGGGTGTTCTGGCGCTAGAGTCGTGTAAAGGCAATTGAGCACGGTTGTATTCGCAGTGAGCAGAGAATGAATTGAGAGGCAGTGACAATCTATGACACAGTCGAGGCCCTCGCTTGACAAGGCTGTATCGCCCGTTTCGAGTTCTGGCTACGAGGGAGTGGTGACGCTTTTATAGGGCTGCCACGGTAAGCACTGCAGGACTGACTCGTCGACCAGTGGTATGAGACAAGGACGTGTTTCTAGATTCTCATTCACATGTACTGCAGCAGTAGTCGCGATATCCTGAAATTGCGTTGTGAAATCAAAACGGCAGCTTCTTCGGACTTCTACATTCGTGGCTCCACATCAAGGTCAGTGACACGGGGAAATGAACTTGCCTAATAGGGAAGGTTTTTAGAAATCTGGATTGCGGTGGATCGAGAAGTGAAAGACCAACCAAAGCTTGTTATTCATGAGATCGGCAAAGGTGGGGCTGCGGGTGCCTCGGCCCTTCGAGGGAGACAGGTTTGCGGCCCGTTTTCTACCAGCACACAATTTTCTCTTTTACATTCTCTGGTGCAAAACGTTCTGAGGCAATCGTTTCGCCCCGCAAAATATGCAACGATCTTGCATGTGAGAACTTGGTAAGCATGGATCTTGATCCGGTACTAGCACTGCGCCATGGCGACAACACATAAGCGAACGAGAACCGGATGCTGGACTTGCAGAGAAGCTGGGTACAAGTGTGATGAACAGAAACCCTTCTGCCAACGATGCACTCGACTCGAAATCGCTTGCAAAGGCTATGGAGTCAGACTCAAGTGGCAAGACCAACCTATCGGAACCTTGGTTAAGAAGCCTCGTGCCCCAAGGAGAAAGAGGGCACTCGAGGCCAACGGCATTTCGACTCCAGCGAGCACCATCAGCAATGCGTCGATATCCTCCCCGGACACAAGCTCGTCGGACATTTTCCATTCACCCATGTCAGCAGTTAGCGTACCACGCACATCAATACACGGTGTAGGTCTTGGGCCGGAACTGTCTGTCAGCGACAGAAGACTTCTTCACTACTGGGTTGACCAACTCTCTTCGTTGATCTCTGTTGCTCCGCGCAATGGCAAGCCGACACCGTTCCAGCTTCATCTTACGTCAATGGCATGCGACTCAGCCGCACTTCGATCAACTGTACTGTCTATGGCAGCAAACCATCTATCTCTGCAATCATCGGACCCATCGCTACGCGTCCAGGCTTATCGGCATCAACGCGATGCTATTCATCTGCTACAAGCTGTTATCCAAGATCCTCGACAGGCATATTCCGAGTCTGCACTGGCAACCGTTTTGATGATGCAAGTCTCAACACGTCTTTTTGGCGAAGACAACGAAGCCAGTATTGTCAATCACTTAATGGGGGCGAGGGCCATGATATCCAGACGCGGACTAGACGACTGGCTCAGTTCCTCGAGCGCACGCTTCCTCCTAAGTCTTTTCGCATATCACGACATTCTCTCGTCTGTCTCACGAGCACACCAACCTTTGTTCGACCACGATGCAGACTTCGAAGCTGTAGAGGGTGCGGATGACATGCGTGGCATAGCTGAAGTTCTCCTGGTCGTGGCACGCACATCTCAATTACAACATGCCATCAAAGTCCGACAAGACGCTGGAGGAGAAAATGCGCTTACAGAGACGGAAGATTCCACGGGCCGGGATCTCCAACAGAAGCTGCTCGCAATGCAATTTGATGCGCAGCGAATCGAATCTCACGGCAGCTCTGATATCAGTTTCACGGCTGAAGCCTACCGCCATGCCGCATTCATCTACCTGTACCGAACTTGGCTTGGCGTGGGCGCTCCCAACCCTATCAGTGTCGAGCACATTCAAAACTGTCTGGCATACTTATCGCGGGTTGATGTAGCATCACCTCTCATATCATCGCATGTCTGGCCTCTGTTCAGCGCTGGTTGCGAGGCCATCGATCCCGCCCAACGTCAGTTCGTGAGAGACAGGTTTCAGAGCATGTACGCGTCCAAACTGTTCCCGAGTTGGAACAGGGTCATGCGGGACGTCGAGGAAGTATGGACTGCAAAGGATGAAGAGGAACGCATGAAGGGCCAGGCTGGCGCGGAGAAGGTTGACTGTATACAGGTCATCCTGAGAAGGAAGGGAAGAGAGGTAGACTTCTCGTAGCGGAGTGCTGGCTGATCCATTGAAGAAGATTGTTTGGGCTTGTACGTCTGTGGCAGTATCTCGCGTTCTATCTCAGGAGGATTGATAATTGACGGAGTTGGCATCGTGGTGTTGTGATTTTTATCTCAATTTGATCGATGGACTTAAGTATGCAATACACTGTCTTGCTTCACGGTAATTTGTACATCACGGCGTGATTAAAGCGTCCTACAGCTTCGAATCTTAGGGTATTGACCTTAGGTATAGCCTACCCATGACTGTCTGCTTACATTTTCTATGCAGCCTTGTTGACGTTCACAGGGAAGGCGGAGCCGGACAGTCCTAGCGTCATGTCTGGGCCCACTTTTCAAAAGTTCCAATGCTCGCGACTCGGCGATCAACAGCCGCAACACCGCAACACACATTTCACTCGCGCAATCCTCAGTTGCTCGTTGCACATAACCACAATATATCCACAACCTAAAGCAGAAGTGCACCTCCCCCCTCATCATGTCCGGCAACACGCCAAAGTCGATGTCGAGTCGGCTCATGACAATGAAGGTAAGCTTCTCTACGCGCATGCTGCACAACAAACGCCAACAGTGCCCAGTTCATGCAGCGCTCGGCAGCAAAGAACGTCGCATCCTCGCCAACAACACCGAACGGACCCGCTTCGAAGAGAGTGCGCCTCTCGAACGGTGGCTCCGCGGCCGCAGACCGACAGATCCTTGAGTCGGCGCTTGCCGAAGATGCGAAGAAAGAACAGGAGGCGCGCGACAAAGCTGCGCAATACACAGGCGAGACAAAGTGGGTGCTCAGCTATACGGATCCGTTGGAAGGCAAGCGAGGCGATGCTCTCACTGTTAGACAGGCAGGGTTCGCAGAGCTTGATGCAGACGACAGCGATGACGAGGACGAAGAGCCAGCACAGCCAATAAGGAGACAGTATGGCGGTGGTGTCAAGAAAGCAAGCGTATGTTTGACGTGCGGTTACTGTGCTGGACTTGCTCGCTAATAAAGATCAGAAACATGTGTTCGAGAAAACCGAGGGCTCCGATGGCGAGACAGAATCCTCCTCCGAAGACGACTACGACTCAGACGATCCAACCGCCGAGCTCATACGCGAGACGAAGCGAGAGATGTCCTCGAAGAAACGTGAATCGCGAAAGAGCCTGGGAGACGCATCACCAGCTGCCAGACCGATAAACGAAGACGCCAACCTCGATCGCCTGACATCGCTCAGTGGAGGCCGTAAGCCTGCAGGACGTGACATGAGCAGCATGGAGTGCTTCAAGTGTGGGCAGAAGGGACATGCTAAGGCTGATTGCCCAAATCCTGGACGCAGCTCTGCTGGGCGGGGTCGAGGCCGTGGCGGACGAAGGTAAAGAACATGCCATGCAGCAGGTCCTTCTCTATATTCGGAGACGCCTGATACTATCTGGTCAAGTATTGCTACCGTAATCTGGTGGCCCACCGGACATAAAGCCATCAGTGGCTCTACACCGGTCATCTTGCGCCTAAACAGCGATCTTCTGGCCTAAATGCCTCGCCATTGGTTCAACACCGATAGAGAGCTGAGAGCTCGAAAGCCTTGTCCATAACAAAGCTTTGTAGGCTTACGTGGACATGAGGGGTCGGTCTGATGTCTCTCTTCCCCGCACTCTGTCGCTGACCGCTAGACGTTTGCCTGTTCAGCCACAAGCCATCTCACTACTCTCGTGTTCTAGCACTGCAATGGCGTGCTACACGTGCATCGACATTTCCATGACTACGAACAGCGAACAGCGAAAGGCAAATGGCACTGGTTCGGAGCGTCACTGCAAAGCTTATTCCGCTCCAGCTTTGCTTCCCTGTGGAGCTGAGATGTCCCAGGATGATGCTGTGGAAACAGGAATCGGCCACGAGCTGATTTTCCAGTCCATATGAAACACGTAGTTCTCTCTGCTGCGATACCACTTAGCAATCGCGATCGAAACAATCATACAACGGACTTTTCTCTGTGCCGCAACAACCGCAATGTCTTTCTCAACCAAACCAGCATTCGTCCACTACGGAACCTGGGATGACGAGACCCGCTCCCACCCAGCCATGAAGTGGATGTCCGTCGCCCCTGGCTCCCCACTGCCCTCCCCACTAACATCCCCCAGGGAGCACTACACGAACCAATTTGACGCCAAAGCCGTCGACGATGTCAAAAACAACCTGTTGACCCACGACCACGTCCTTGTCCGCACCACGGGCCAAATGGACGCGGGCGCGCAAGCCTCGGTCGATGCGCTGTACAAGGTACTCTACGCCCCGTTTGCGAAATGGGCGCACATCCCCCAGCACGTCATCTGCTACGCGGTCGAAGATGGGTGGGAGATGATGGGGCACGCGACGCTGTATTGGACGCTTGCTGTGCCGGGCAAGCAGGAGAGTGGTGCTAATGTCAGGGATCAAGAGGGGAATGAGTGGGATGGGGCGAATCCGGCCGCGTTTAACTTCAGGTACAGGATGGAGGGTGGTGAGATTAGAATGTGTAGGATGGAGATTGCGGCGGATCCGTCGACGGTGATTGTGAGCATGTTGAAGAGAGGGATGATGAAGGCCGAGGATTTGATGAAGTAGAATTGGTCTTCGAGGGTGGGTGGTTGTGCTACGGCTTTCGAATGTGCCTTCTTTCTGCTGGTTGTGTGTTTGCAACCAACGCCGTCTCGTTTGTTGGTATGTCCGTGTCGTATCTACACTGTTCAGCCTACTTTCTGCCCATCCTCAATCAACATGTACTCGTCGCCGACCATCATCTTCATCTGGCTATCGTCCATGAAGTTATCGTGATCGCTGTTCAGTGCAGCGCCGTCTTTGTCGTACAGAAACTTGGCCAGCGCAAGGTAGTCTGGAAACACAAAGGTGCATATCGCATCGTAGTCCATCAGCCTCGCGTTGCCATGCATGATGTCCTGGAGCATTTTCCTATCACGGTCTAGGTGGTAGGACAGGCTGTAGCTGACGATCCCATGGCGCTGCAGGATGGGCACCGCGCGCTGGGCGTGGCTGTGATTGTAGTACTCGACGAAATCCGCGTCAGACATGCCCGCTTTCTTCTTGATGTAGATGGTTGCTTTGACGACTTTGCGGAATCCGGGTGTGTTCGGGTAGCCTGCCTCGAAGGCTTTGGGCACCATGATGGACGGCCAAACGCGCGGCGAGATGGTGAAGAAGATGCACGGGTTCAAACACTGGACCCAGAGGTTCCTGTCAGGCGGCACGAGGCTCAAACATGCTCTCTAGGGTAGTCAGCCTCCGCATGTCATGTCTTGCCCCACGTAATCGAGTCTATTTAGCCTTGCTGGGTGTTGATGATGATGTGTAAGACTAGGGCGTTTCGCGCCCACCAGTGCACCGGAACCGAGGCGTGACTATTACTGATACGTAGCCATCCATGCCGCATCGTGCATCTTCTCTTACATTCCGTGGTATATTACCCAATTCCTTTCACCGCCCTTCGTTGCCTCGTGCGAACTGTCCGCTCCCTGGGCGCAATTGATTGGCGTGCACAAGCGGTTGTGGTGGGTTTGACAGCACGTTACAAACGCGCGCTCTGGAAACATCTTGGCCCCACTGCTCTTGCTCTTGTGCGTGAATGAAGAACGCCCGGCGTCTGGGGAACAAGTGCCTCGTGCCACACGCTCGACCGGTCCTTCTCGCACGCTCGTCCGCTGTCTGTGAAGTTGCGCGACTCACGCCATTGACGTGTCCCACCACTAGCTACGCTGTGCTTCGCTATAAGCACCAGCACCCGCACCAGCACCCCTCAGCCAGCCCTCACACTGTCTCACACCCCCCGCACACCCCTCACACTCCTCACACCCCGCAAACTGCCCGTCGACACTACTCACACTCGCACACGCCCCGGGCAGCTCGCACAAACACGATGGGGGAGCCACTGGCACGGGAGGCGGCGCGGGAAGCGGCGCGAGAGCGCATTGAGAACCTGGAGCGCCCGCAGCTCGACGACCGCTCGTACCGCATCGTCACACTGTCGAACAAGCTCGAGGTGCTGCTGATCCATGAGGCGGGGAGCGACAAGGCGGCCGCCGCCCTGGACGTCAACGTGGGCAGCTTCAGCGACGCAAAGGACATGCCGGGCATCGCCCACGCAGTCGAGCACCTGCTGTTCATGGGCACCGAGAAATACCCCAAGGAGAACGCCTACAACACGTATCTGACCTCGCACGGCGGCTACTCGAACGCCTTCACCGCCGCCACCTCGACCAACTACTACTTCGAGCTCTCCTACCAGCCCGCGACCGACGACACCGACCTCGAGTCCAAGGACGAGTCGCCGCTGTGGGGCGGACTCGACCGCTTTGGCCAGTTCTTCATTGCCCCGTTGTTCCTCGAGGACACGGTCGACCGCGAGATCAAGGCCGTCGATTCCGAGAACAAGAAGAACCTGCAGAACGACACATGGCGCTTGCACCAGCTGAACAAAGCTCTTGCGAACCCAGAGCACCCGTACTGCCACTTCTCGACAGGAAGCTGGGTCACGCTGCACGACGACCCGATTGCGCGAGGCGTCAAGATTCGCGACAAGTTCATGGAATTCCACTCCAAGCACTACTCGGCGAACCAGATGAAGCTGGTCGTGCTGGGCCGTGAAAGCTTGGACACCCTCGAGCAGTGGGTCGAGGACATCTTTGCGCAGGTGCCCAACAAGGATCTTCCAAAGAGGCGGTGGGACATGCCAGTCTACACAGAGAGGGAGCTGCTTACACAGGTCTTCGCAAAGCCGGTCCTGGAGTCGAGATCGCTCGAGCTTCAGTTCCTGTACCGCGACGAGGAGGAGCTCTACGAGTCACATCCCTCGAGATATCTCAGCCACCTGCTGGGTCACGAGGGACCGGGCAGTATCTTGGCATACATCAAGGAGAAGGGCTGGGCGAACGGACTGGGTGCGGGAGGTTCTACACTATGTCCCGGCTCAGGCTTATTCAGCGTCAACGTGAAGTTGACCGACGAGGGTCTGAAAAACTACAAGGAGATCGCCAAGATCATCTTCCAGTATATCGCCTTGATCCGCGAGCAGCCACCCCAGGAATGGATAGTGGACGAGCAGAAGCGCATCAGCGAAGTCGACTTCCGTTTCAAGCAGAAGAGCCCACCAAGCCGGACAGCAAGCGGACTGGCTGGCGTCATGCAAAAGCCGTACGATCGTACGAAGCTGTTGAGTGGTCCAGCAGTCATCAGCAAGTTCGACTCCAACCTCATCAGCGAGGCCATGTCATACTTGCGACCGGACAACTTCAGGATGACCATTGTCAGCCAGAATTTCCCAGGCGACTGGGACCGCAAGGAGAAGTGGTACGGCACCGAGCACAAGGTTGAGAAGATCCCCGAGGACTTCCTCAAGGAGGTCAGGGAAGCGTTTGAGAGCGAGAACAGGCCGAAGGAGCTGCACCTCCCGCACCGCAACGAGTTCATTCCCAGCCGACTGGATGTCGAAAAGAAGGAGATCGAGACACCTGCCAAGGAGCCGAAGCTGGTCAGACACGACGACAACGTTAAGATCTGGTGGAAGAAGGACGATCAGTTCTGGGTACCCAAGGCTAACGTTCACATTTACTTCAAAACGCCTATTACATACGTTAGCGCGAGAGTAGTGCTCCTTTGTACACTCTTCCGCGAGCTCGTTAACGACGCGCTCGTCGAGTACTCATACGATGCCGATATCTCCGGCCTAGTATACGACTTCAGTAATCATATCAGCGGTCTTTCGATCACTGTTAGTGGGTACAACGATAAGCTGCACGTACTGCTCGAGAAGGTACTCCTGCAAGTACGCGATCTTGAGGTACGCGAAGACCGCTTTGCCATTATTCACGACAGAATGTCGCGCTCGCTGCGCAACTGGGATATCGGGCAGCCGTACGGTCAAGTTGGCACTTATTCGCGCACATTCAAGAGCGACAGGAGCTTTATGAACGAGGACCTGACTAAAGAGCTGGACAATGTGACAGCTAAGGATGTGCAGGAGTTCTACCCTCAGATCCTTGCGCAATGCCAGATCGAGGTTTTGGCTCACGGCAACTTGCGCAAGGAGGAGGCATTGAAGATTACAGACAAAGTGATTGAGATCGTAAAGCCCAGACATCTGCCGGATAGCCAGTTGCCCATTCGACGGAACCTTATTCTGCCTCCTGGGAGCAATTACATCTACGAGAAGCAACTGAGGGATCCCGCAAATGTGAACCACTGCATTGAGTACAGCTTGTACGCTGGCAACCGTTACGACAACGACATCCGGGCCAAGTTGCTCCTAATCGGCCAGATGACCGATGAGCCGTGCTTCAACCAGCTACGAACCATCGAGCAGCTCGGCTACGTCGTCTTCTCAAGCGCAGCCTTCCACGACACATGGGCCGGCTACCGCATCCTGATCCAGAGTGAGAAGGACTGCAGGTACCTCGAGGGCCGCATTGAGAACTTCCTCAACTCTTTCGAGAAGACGCTGCAAGAGATGAGCGAAGAGGACTTCGAGGGCCACAAGCGAGCGATCATCAATAAGCGTCTGGCGAAGCTGAAGAACCTAAGTCAAGAGGACAACAGGTTCTGGAATCATATCTACAGTGACTCGTATGATTTCCTGCAAGGTGTGTTTGTCAATTTGCTCCAACTTCACTTTTACTGACTCAAACAGCCGACACCGACGCTGAGTTCATCGGCAAGCTCACCAAGAAGGACCTCGCAGATTTCTACGCACACTATATATCCACCGCCTCGCCGCATCGCGCAAAGCTTTCAGTCCACCTGCAAGCGCAGTCCAAGCCCAAGGAGCCCACCCTCGACGAGAAGAAGCAAGCCGCCATCGCCGCGCTTACCGTCATCTTCAACGAGCACAAGATTGATGCCAATGCGGATGACGTGAAGAGCCGCATTGAGGATGTCACCTCTGCTGACGGCATCCCCAGTGCCATTGGAACTTACCTCAATCATTCCCTGTCGCTCGACAAGGAGACAACAGACAAGATCCTCGACTCAACGAAGGCTGCGCTAGGTGTTGCCGACGCCGGGCTCCCCGCTGAGCCGGAGGTCAAGGCTGATGCAGCGAGCCCTTCGGGTGCGGGCCAGCCCGTTCTCATCAAGGATGTGCACGCGTGGAAGGCTGGTATGCAGGTTAGTGCTGGCGTCAAGCCGGTCAGGCCTTTGGAGGAGTTCGTCGAGATCGCAGAGAGGCTTTAAGATGGCCTCAAAGCACTGGATACAGGAGTTTTTCTGTCGCAAGGTGCAAATAGAACGGGAAGCAGTCTCGACGTACTCCCAGATCGAAAATTAGCGATTAGGTAGATGGCGTGGGTGGCTACCTGCTACCCATTGTACAAACAATCTCCAACCCCCTTCTCCCCCTAAATACCACCACCTCGCTATCCTTCATATACCTTCCCACCCAACCCATCCAGCCTGTTGTCTGCACAAACAGGCACCCCCAAGCTCCACGCCCGCGGAAACACCATCCCAAACCGCCCCATCAGCGCCCGCAACTGCGCCTCGCTCCCCGGCACAATGTTCACAAACACTCGCTCCGCATCGCACATGGGCTCGGAGTGCACGGCGCCCTGCTCACCGCCCGTGCAGAATAACACCACCTCGCCAGCTTTCGCCTGCACCATTTCCTTGTCTGCGAACAATGCGGCCAGCACTCGGCGCACGGCAAGACCAGTGTCGAAACAGCCCGCGCACCGGATCGAACTGCACGTGTGCGGGCGCTTCGCTGCTTCGCAGCGCGCTACGGAGCGCAGTGTGGATAGCGCTGTGGCGTTAGAGGACGGGGGGAGGAACAGCGTCGGCGCGCCCAGGAGCGTGGCGCACAGTTTCCAGCCCCCCTTGTCACCTCCCTTCATGACAAAACTCGGCGCATCTCGCGCTGCGCTTCCTACCGCCGAGAAGAAGTCGTCGTCGACGTGCCAGCGCCGAGTGTCGTACTCGTGGGTTGGCAACGTGGCGCGCAGGGTGAGCCAGTAGTGTTGCACTCCTGCGCCGCGCAGGAAGGTGTGCAGGAAGGTTAGCAGGGGGTGCAGATGCTGCGCCAGCGAGGAGGGAGAGGAGGTCGCGTGGGTGCTCCAGGTTTGCAGTGAGGGGGGGAGGGAGGCTGGTGTGAGGAGTGGGCCGCAGTACGTCCATGTTGATGTGTGTTTGATCTTGAGGGATGGGGGTGGTGGTGCGGTTGTGGAGGCGTAGGGGAGGAATTTATAGGCGCCGTGTTTGGGAAGGCTATCCATCGTTTGGGTTCGAGTTTTTGGTATTGGGGTTTGGTGCTGTGTCGCTCTTTCTGGGCCTTGCTTGATTGCACTTAGAAACGGTGTGGTTCAGGTTATGTCACATGTTTTTCTCCGGTCCATGATAGAGGCGTTAGCATACTCAAGGGAAGTCATTCTAAGATGCTTTTGGGGATGTGAAGTGGTCCTCTTCTGGGCAATGCGTAGGGCGCCTGGATTGCCCTGTTGATGTTCAAGGTGTGCAGGATAGACAAGGATGTGGAGCACCGCGTCGACGCGTCAAGCCGAGGCGCACGACTCCAAACGTCATACATCGACTGTACGCAGTAACTTTCTCTCCACACACAGTCTTTGCCCTCGAGGCCATCCGCACGTCTAGAAAGAGCTTCCCAATAGGCGAGACGTTATGTTACGACGCACAATCTTGCAAGCGACGCAGCATCGCATAGCTCCATCCTCTCGAACCTTCGCACGCAGACAATTTGCAACCCAACCCACTCCACCACCAACGTCCGCATCCCGCATCGACCGCTTCAACCGCCGGCTGCCCAAGTTCCTGCACAAATACACGTCCGCCCTCGCCTCCGCGCCCCTCTCGCACATAACCTCCTTCCTGATCCTGCACGAACTCACCGCCATCATCCCCCTCTTCGGCCTCGCAGCCACATTCCACTACACGCACTGGCTGCCCTCGTGGTTCGCAGAAGGTGCATGGGTGCTCGCCGGCGTCGAGCAGTTCGGCAAGTACTTCAAGCGCAAGGGCTGGATCCGCAGCGAGGACGTGGCGGAGGCGGAGGCGGAGGTCGAGCTGCGCAGGAGGGATCATGTGTGGAATCTGGGCGAGGGCGGAGCCAGGGTGCTGGTCGAGTTTGCCACGGCGTATACGATTACGAAGGTCTTGCTGCCTGTTCGGATTGTGTTTAGTGTCTGGGGCACCCCGGGGTTTGCGATGTGGGCGGTTTTGCCGGTTACTAGGAGGTTCAAGACTGTGTTTGTGAGGGCGAAGAAGCCGGATGTCAAGCAGGCGGCTGGTACTGGGGTGAGGGAAGGTGGGGCTGTGCCGTTGAAGGCTGCTGAGAAGGTTACGAAGAGTTAGAGATGGATATCATGAGATTTAGCATGATCGAGTGATGGAAGCGCTCCAGATCTCGATAGGCGATGATGAACCACTTGCCTTCAGATGTCGTAGTACGAAAAGGAACGACTTGATAGGAGCTTGGAAAGAGTGCTGAGTGACCACGTGCACGAACACCCGGGTAGAGTGGAGCAAGCACTTGTGGTGAAGGCGTGCTGCCGAGCGATACGTAAGATACGTAAAGCGCGGTTTGGCCTGCACTCCATACTGATCGTCCGAATCCCCTAAACATTCATCCAACAACGCATCCGGCATGTGCTTCGACGACAGCACCAGATACACCACGAGAACTCGCATTGAGAATGGCGTGCGCTTCAAGGAGGAAGTGGTCGCGCCTCGTCATCGAAGCTCCTGGCGCCGCAGGTATGGAGCTCGTTACTATCCCTCGAAGTACTACACCCGCCCTCCTCGGAGTCACTGCGTAGGAGGTGGCATGTCCTACCCTGCCCGCTATCCTGCAAACGTTAGCTACCCTCGAGCTGTGGCTGCGACAGCGATAGTGCCTCGAGGCTATGGAAATGGTGCTGGAGGGTATATGTCTGGTGGTCGCGCTCTGATGCCGAGCTCGTACAATATGGTAAGTGTCACCACACTTTCTTTTCTCTCGTTTGTTTGGTCTCCGTCGCGCTTGCCCGTCCCACGCCGTTTGTCCACGTGCAGTGACGAAGATTGGGCCTTGACCGCTGTTGGACGGTGTGACTCCCCTTGCGCACGACACAAGTCTCTTGTCTGCCTGAGACTTGTTCTCACCTGCCTTCACCTCGCCTCACTTTGCGCCTTCTCTGCCACGAGCCATATTCTCCGCCCCACACACTTCCACCATCGTCCAAACACTTCCACCACCACCACTCGTCGAATTCCTCAGAGCCTCGAAAAAATGGTCACCGAGGGCTACCCAAAGCCTCGCCATAACTACGTCTACACGCCTCGATACGGCCAGCGCGGCGTCCTCACCTACGCAGGCCAGCAGGCAAACGGCGCTTACCCCTCCGGCGTTGCAGGCGGCGTCATGTCTGGCTACGGCTACGGCTACGGCGCTGGAGGTATAGGCTATGGCGCTGGCGGTGTAGGCTACGCAGGCGGCGCATACCCGGTATACAACACTTCAACTTACTCTTACCCCTACTCCGGCGCCAGCTACTACGGCTCGAGTTACTATCCAAGCTATTCCACCTATGGTGGACTTGGAAGCTACTACAACTACGGACTCTATGGCTCCATGTACCCACTTGCTAACTTCTATGCTCCATATCAGAGGTCTTACTACAATACGATGCCCACGTACGGTCAGACAGCTTACGTCTACCCACCTGGTCCGACTGCGACGACGACGACCTACCACGTCACCAACAGCCATGCCGGAGTCACTACTGCGCCACCAGCTCCAATGAGGACGGCATGCGCACACACCACCACACGCGAGGACGTCCAGATGGAAAACAGACGTATTGCGACCGAGCGCGGCGCATACAGCGCTAGGAGGATCAAGCCTGCCGATGCTCGCGACGATGACCCTTTCTGGTGCAAGGAGCGCAATGGCGAGTGGCATCTGAGGACCTTTTACCAGATCGAGAACGAGTGCTACCCGGGCCAGTGGCTTATGGATGCGGAGAAGGGCTTCCTCGTCTTCCATCGCGGTTGACACCCCTCTTTAGTCTTCTGAATGGGCCCTTCGACTGTTGGATCTTCGGCCGCAATCTACTTCAATTTCCGATACCTCGACTCCATACGAACTCCCCCATAGGCCACCCAAGTGTGACATGGCCTCTCCTATCATCACCACAATATCCCTCGCTGCAGGGCTCTCCGCCTACGACACCGGAGGCCTCCAGAACCGGCACCGCTTTGACGGAGGCTCGTGAACGACTTCCGACTGGCGTTTGGAAATTGACTGTACAGCCGGCTGCTTGCTATACTAAATAAATTTGACACACTTGTGTACATTCCAATGTGACGCCGTTGATGCCTGTCCTCCTCACCTTGGTATTGGTGCAGCCTGCAGACTGAATTTCGCCCCTCTCCATTGCGACCATTCTCACTTCAGTTCTTCTCACCCTGGATCGTCGCAACGATCTTCCTCGAGTGCTTCATATCCCTAAACTCCAAATACCAGATCCCCTGCCACGTGCCCGTGTTCAACCTGCCATTCGTGATAGGGATAGTAACACTCGCGCCAACAAGCGCAGACTTGACGTGCGCAGGCATATCATCGCTGCCCTCTGCGTCGTGCAGATACAGCCCCTGCCCTTTCTTGTCCTCCGGAACGATTCGGTCCAGCGCCGTGCTCATGTCGGCGCGCACATCTTCGTCCCAGTTCTCGTTCAGAGAGAGCGCGCACGATGTGTGCTGGATGAACAGGTGCAGCAGCCCAGTTTTGTAATTTTTGATTTCTGGCAGCTCCTTGAGAATCGTGTCGGTTATTAGGTAGGAGCCCCGGCTGCGTGAGGGGAGGGTGAATTGTTTCTGGGACCTGTGGTTGCGTCAGTTGGTTGATCGAGAGATTTGGATTGTGTGATTGGGGTCTTGAGTAGGTTCGTGGGTCGATCGAGGGGATTGGAATTGTGTGATCATGGTCTTGAAAGGGCCGGGAGGACGGAGACGTACCAAGACATTGTCAGCGGTGCTGTGCAGATGTTTGGGCTCGAGCAGAGTACGGTGCTGCGGGGCGCTGCGGCGGGGAAATAGTATGCGGCGAGCGAGTTATAAGGTGCCCAGAGGATGGGGATGAATGTTCCGGGGAAGAGTGAGAGTAGAAAGAAAGTTGCTATTAGAAAAGTGGCCAATGGGGAGATTGAGGTATGTTGTTGTGGCATTGCAGAATTGCAGCCTGTAGAAAGAGGCGCGAAGATCTGATGTCATGGGTGCAGGTGGGGCAGGCGCCAGCGGCTGAGACGAGCGCCCAATATCCAACCTACATCACTTTTCCTCATTCTCTCCGAGAAACGAAAAGAGTCCACAAACACATGGCGGGTAGAAGACAGCTATCAGCAGTTTGGCAGCTCTAAGGACCAGACTGATCAATTCATCCACAAGGCTGAAATGCACATCTTGATACTGGACAAGCTGCGACAACAGCAGCCGGTTACTTAAAAGTCCAATGTTGATCGACGCTTCCGCAATCTCGAATATCAGCAGCTTCTACAGACACCTCAAGACGCAATATTGATGACCAGATCACTCGGACTGACCCACGGCCCACCTATGGGTTGATTCAGAGGTGAATGGGCGACGGAAGCAAGAAACATGACAGACACCTACCCGGAAGCCTACGTTGTTCTAGAAGCTACAGGTGCAAACGATTTAACCGAAGGACTTTTGATCGCCGCATGCAGCCTGACGATATAACCTCCCGTATCGACTCTGCAACCCCCATTGCGGTCAGGGCAAGAATAGCAAACACTCATGATCCATTCCAAACGCGAGGACTTGATCAGTACTGTTGATTTCGGGCAGTTTCCATCTCATATCTAATCAGATTGTCTCTCTACGTCTTGCTGTGTGTCTTAAACAACAAGCAAGCTTCTGTTTCTACTTCCTATAGATAGGTAGGTTCTGCTCGTAGGTAGAGGATATACAAATCATATTATCTTGCACCTGGCGCTAGTTCAACAAGTATCCACTATCTAAAAAGGGATGGCCGTTGCCGAAAGGCTTCTGGCTGTTCGGACCATAAAATTTGCTAATCCTAATGACAGTACAGCACTTCGGTGTTGAATGTCCCTCACCATATTATCTAAATGGCGATCTTTTAAATACAAAAGGGATGCCTTGCCGGTAGCTCAGCGTATGCTTCCACTTGGACCTGGAAAATACATCGCGGGTATGTTGGAAAAGGGTATCGTCAATCAACTATGTTGAGTATATGTAGGGCCCGGAAATGCAATTATAGTAGCAAAGACTGGAGACCCCAGTCTTCGACCTACATTTTCTTGGATCGCCTGTCCGGGTGCGGTCGATTACTTACCATTCTATAGTCGGGAGCGAACTTGCGTCCTTCTTACTGCCAAATGTTTTCCGGTGTCGGGCGACGTTTACGGCCAAGTTGAAGAAGCCTCCTTGCGGAGGCGGGACCAAGTCATACAAGATTTGGATATGGTGTCAGAATACTGGCCAACAAACCTACGGAATGCTTCAGAGCGCAGATGCAACAGATCTTCGGAGTAGCAATATATTTCGATGGGATGCCCAAGATTCCTCGACTCAAAAAACTCACAGTTGATCGGGAGACGTGGTTTAAAGGCTTAGACAACGTAAGGGATTGGGGCACAGTATTATACCTTGGTCTCGTCCGGGATCACAGAGTTCCTCCACTGCTCCTGTTGCAGCCAGCGACGGATAAGGTTGTATTCGAGCGCATAGGACTTGTAACTAGGTTTCCTAGTGGATGGTCCGATCAGCTCGCAACTGATCGCATTGTGACAGTCGTGTGAGGGAAGTCAATGGGCCAGTTTGTGCAGCGAGCTTGGTCTCGGAGGATACTCGAAGATGGTATGATGAAGTCGGCGAGTATCGAAACGAATTCCTTTTGTCGCTATGGTATCTAAGGGAGTTTGCACACAATTTTAATATTCTGGGTCGTGAGCAGGGCTATTATGAATTCAGGGTCTCGGTCATCTGGAGCTTTACAAGGTTTCTCGAATGAATAGTGTCTTTTTGATTCAGTGAAATGCATGTCCAACTTCAGCATACCCAATCCCTACGTCCCCTCGTTGCTTACCAGAGGAAGCTCACCGTGCCCACTGCCCAGAACATCGGAAACCGAGAAGCTTACACCGTCGAATGCTCCTTAAATGATCTGCTGGTCGGCTTCGCCATGACTGTTCAGGTCGGAGACGCCAGTCTTGCCCCGGTGAACATCCTAAAGTGTTGCGACGCAATATGCACGTTGCGCAAGACTGTTTATTTCTTTCGGACAATCAGATAGCTCTCGTCACAGTCGTGCAGACCAACCAACACCCGCGCTATAACAAACACAGGAAAAAGTGACATCCTCCGATATAGTACCAAACTAAATCTTGAAGGCCATGGTACCTCTAATGGCTACACAGTATACTGTCTGCGCCCCGAACAACATCATCAACCGCGCGAACGCCCGTGATCCTAGTTAGAGCTCATACAGCGGTGGCAACCTATTTTTCCTGTGTTGGCGGCGCATATGACGTTTGAGTAGCAAGTCAGGGGTACGACGAGGATAATTGCGGCCGGGCCTGTGGATTCAGTGAGCAGATTAATGGAGGAAGCTGTGCCCTATGCCTTTCTGCAACTTGTCTGGGTGCGCTGCCCTTCACAAGTCTCCAGATCTCCCGAATCAACTGAGCTCTGGCCTGCAATTATTGTTGCACATGTCGAGGACTGGAGCATTTGAACGCACACGATAATCGCGGTCGACTAAACTCGCCTTTGACTGCTCTCATCTGCGCAAGATCTTCGTTCAGCCTCAACTGCACGTGATATTACTTACCACATTTGCATCACAATAACTGAATAAGACGATCCAATGGTGGTCAACATTCCATTCCGTTCTTGCAGTACATATATACAATCACACGCTTCTTCGATTCGTCGATATTGCTCACCGTTGCGCCAGAGGCTCATTTGTGACCTTTTGTGCCTCGTTAACCTCAGCGGCGTTGCCCTTAGGTCCGAGCGGGTATGAAAGCTGGTCCGCAGGAAGGGACTCGAGATGTGCGCGGTGGTGCTCGTGCGCCTATATTGTGTTAGCTCTCAGCTTCTCAAACTAAATGACCTGATTCTTCATTTCTGGAGGGTTGACGCACGAAAGGAAGACCACAGTATGTGCACCAGCAGATCTGGGGCTTGTCGGTGTTGATGAAGATCCTGGGGTGGCCGAGAGGGCCGCCTCCACCGTCGCAGGAGACGATACGCTCGTGCGTCCAGCGAACGGGCTGCTGGTGGATGAGGTCGATAGCGGCGTATGGGCGAGGCTGCGCATAGTTCGTTAGCAATTGTCCTATCACTCCCTTCAACCGTCTGTCTGCCGCCTTATGCTCCACCCCGCACAAACCTTCAATTGCACCTTCACCGCGCCAGTTGATCTCTATGACGTACCTGGTCCTCAATAATGCTCTGCTCGAACCTCGGTCCGCTCATAGCAATCTCCCTGGGCTGCTGGCTCCTGCTCCAGATACCCTCACGGTTGGGAGCTTGCTGCTTCCTCAGCTTCTCGGCCTGCTCGACGCTCTCCTGCAGAACCTTGTCGAATGAGCCCTCCGAGGAGGTAGCGGTGGCATTGGTCTCGGAAACGGTCTGAACTTCTTGGCGCGCGACGGGGTCGTTGGCGGGCACTTCGGCCTTCTTCTGCGACGAGTAGGTGGCCCGGAAAGTCGGCTTGGCTAAGCGCAGGGCGCTGCGCGCGCGGAGGGTTCGTGAGAGCATTGTGTGGTGTGGACGGGCGGTCGACCGGCTACAGGTGCTGAGGCAGGCGTCGTGAGCTATGATGAGGTTGCTGGCGTCGCGAGCGCCGGTGCCAAGTGCGTTATGTAAGCGCGACGTTCATTGGCTCCGTGACTGCCACAATCAAAAAAGGATAAGTTACACTTCCCCCAAAGTTTCAGAAATGAAGACAACGGCTAATCGTGCCAAAACGTAGATTTCACTCTCACACAGTCATCAATAGTGACCATGTTGTAGTGGAAAGCCATCAAAGTCCCCAAGGCTTCCCATTCACGCGGACATACTTTCAGTGCAGGGAGAGCATTTGCCAGATACACAAGAAGAGAGCATTGCTAGTGTTCGTTTTGTAAGACCTATACACCCTCTGGACCGCTCGTGCGAACACCCATCATATTGCAGAGGCTACCCGAAGATTATCCGGACATCAATGATCGGCTCTCCTCGACACCCGGATCCATCAGTATATCCCACTTGAATCCCCCAAACATCGAACTCGAAAGACGAACTAACTTCCAAACCTCAAAATGGTCGCATCAATACCCAACGACATCTTCCAATTCGGCACCATCTCCGCAGTCGCCGCCGGCTTCTCGCAAGGCCAGCCACGCACGTGCGACCTCACGTCCCATGGCACAGACGGGATCGGCAGCTACGAAGACGGACGTCTGATGATTCTGAATAACGGGGAAGCTTTCGCCCTGTCGTACGACAACAGGGCCACCCCAGCGCCCACAGACACTCGCCTCCCCTTCGCAATGGTCACCATCTTCCGCCCCACATTCCGCATGGAAGTACCCTTGCTGGACATGGAATCTCTCGACGACCTCTTATCATCTCCAAAACTAGCGCACGCCAGGGCTGTGAATACCCTTGCACCATTCAAAGTCGTGGGCATGTTCAAGAGCGTCGAGTTCACGGATGGAGGAGAGCAGAGCAACTTGAAGGGCATCATTTTTGGGTATGCGGTGCCGACCTGGATGAAAGGCATTTGTGGGCCACGGATACATGCACATTTTCTGGCGGACTCGGGGGAGGTAGGGGGCAAGGTTGAGAACTTCGAGACGAATGTTGCAACGTTGAGTTTTGCGAAGACGGGGAGGTTTCATTTGGGCTTCTCTCAGAGTCCGGACTGGGAGGATATGAGGTTGTAGAGTACACTAGATTTGTTTCGCTGAACGGCTTTCTCGTGATGACCATTGGACAACACACGATATCTTGAGGTTTGAACAATTGTCCGGATTGTAGTCCATTCAACGCACACCTACGGTCTCTAATCATCGCACACATTGTACCTATACTGACCATCAGCGTGGCCAGAACCCAGCCCCACCGGTATTTTACCGGGACATCATCGGTCTTATCACATCTGGCTTACTTTCATGACTACGCACTCAGCTGTGGCCATATCAAGTATATCGTACGGGTGAGTCAACAGTCAACACAATTGTTATCCAGCAGAGCGGGTCATCGCACTTATTCTCGCTAACACCGTGGCACAGGCGACTACAGTATAGACGCCACTCTTGGTATTCAGAACTGGTAAAATAGCGCCCAGCTCATTGATGTGTGCTTTGGGATATCGATTCAGACTCTTCAGCCAGAGAAACAGCCACCGGAAGAAACACAGAAAAAGGTGTCCAGAAGTAAGGAAGCCCAGACAAGCGGCGATTTGGCGATCTTCACGAAGGCCCCGATGGTGACATTGCCTTTGACGTTACGGCCACCACGCTCAAGGCGGTTCCTTGCGATGCGAGCATCGGCTCAGTCAGAATAAACTTACATATTTGGCTTATCTGGCGTGCCAGGAAAAACACAAGGCCGAGAAGTCCCACATGAATGGTAAGAATGGCGAAGGTGATGTGCATCCAACGCCATCCAGCCAGCCCATGAACACCGTCGAGACGCGAAGTCGCTCAGATGAATCAAGGCAGCTATAAGAGTACCCAACGTAAGTCTAACATAGATAATACTACCGCGGCAGCTAATCTCATCATTACTGTATCAGGATCGTATTACATGATCAGCTGCACGATTTTGCTTTAAGCGCGATGAATTAGATGTAGTTGATAGCTGGGGAAATAGCTGCTTCAAACAGTCCCACCAATAATCTGTACGCTACAAGCTCTGCAAACGAGTGGACTCAATACTGAAGCAGGACGAGAATGCCCTAGGATACGTGTAGGAATGAGATGCGGCAGAGCATCGGAATACGTGTGAATAGATGCATAAACGGCAGTTAAATAGCACAAAACCGATGACATACATAAGTTGGAGTCGAACCGGCTGTATTGGTTGAATAGCATTGATCCAGTGATGGACTATAGAGGCCGGTAGAAGTACTATATATGTGGGTGGCTTAAGGTCACCTGACCTGGCAATCTCCCAGCCTCAGACAAGCTGAAGTAACGAATCTGCTACCACTTGCGGATTTTGCTTGTTGCATACATATCGGTGTTATATCTCGATGGTATTTACCTCTGCAGCCCAAGGCATGCACTTCTGCAACCCTATGTATGTCCATTTCCACAAAGCCTGGTCCAATCGCAAGGAAATTTGATGCCAACATTGTCGCTTGTGCGCAAGCCATGCAGCGCTCGAGAGGCAGGCCAGTTGGTACAATACTTCGCAGTTACAGGGTAGTGGGCACGACAGCCAAGCTGACTGCCACATGGCACATACCGTCAACCTGTGGGGTGAAGGCGTGATTCCCACCATCATGCCGAGCTGCGATGGCGGAAGACTAGAGAGATACCGAGCACGGGGCGATAACGAATTCAATCTGGCTCGGAATTGGGCCGCGAGTGCGTTCAGCTGATCTTTAAAGCCGACATGGATGGGCGCCTCATGTATTCACATTGTTCGTTGTTACAGAGAGCAAGCGATTCTACTCCTCCCACCAATCATCTCGAACTAACCCGAATCGTCATGGCGTCCAACGTTATTCCCACCGACACACTCGGCAAGACGTCACCATCAACAGATTCGACGCGACGCGTCGCGCAGTTGACAGAGCATCTCGCGCCTGTAAGCGAGACAGAACGAGTCAGCACTCATCCAACTCTACCCATCGGATATCCTGTCTCGCGACTGCGATTGGACTCCAGCCACCACATAGATGACATTCGACCGCTGAAGGTAGCCGTCATTGGCGTACGTACCGTATATATTCAGTGAATGTTGAACCCTCGGGCGCTAACAGTGTGTAGGCTGGCCTGGCGGGTATCAATGCTGGCATCCTGCTCCCGGCCAAGGTACCAGGTATTCAACTCACGATCTTCGAGAAGAACAACGACGTAGTGAGTCTCGCTATTTAAAAATTGGTCGACATGGTCTGACATTCTCAAGAGTGGCACTTGGCTAGAGAATCAATACCCTGGCGTTCGTTGTGACATACCAGCACACGTCTACCAGAGCACGTTCTCGCCCAACACTCAATGGTCAGAGATTTTTGCCAAGGGTGCTGAAATCAGAGACTACTGGCAAGCAACAGCTAGAAAGCACGACGTTTACAAATACGTCAGGTTACGACATCGTGTTGATGATGCTTCATGGGATGACGGAAAGTCTAAATGGAATTTGGAAGTCCACAACTTGATCGACAACACTACCACGAACGAAGACTTTGACTTCGTGATTACAGCGATCGGGCGATTCAACGCCTGGAAATTGCCAGACTACCCAGGTCTTGATAGCTATAAAGGGCATCTGCGGCACACCTCTAACTGGGACCCAACCTTCGATCCCACTGACAAGAAAGTCGCGGTCATCGGCAACGGAGCCAGTGGGCTACAGATAGTACCGCACCTGCAGCGAGTGGCGAATCACGTCACCCACCTGGTTCGTAATCCCACTTGGATTGCCACGTCTTGGGCTGGCGATGAGAGAACTTTTGAGCCTCAGCCGTACCCACCGGATCAACTGGAGTCATTTAAGGATCCGGATACGTACCTCAGATTCCGTAAAGACATTGAAGAGAGATATTGGCGGCACTTCCGTGCTATGGTACGAGGGTCTGAGGAGAACGAAGGCATTCGCGAGACGTTCATCGAGGTGATGAAAGCGCGAGCTGCAAAGAAGCCAGAACTGCTCGATGGCTTGATTCCTGAATTCGCGCCACACTGCCGAAGACTGACTCCAGGACCTGGCTACCTTGAGTCGCTTACCGAGGAGAATGCAGAGCTGGTCAAGACGCCCATCAAGCGATTTACACCCACTGGCATCGAGACGGTCGACGGCAAAAATTACGACTTCGATGCTATTTTCTGTGCTACTGGTGCCAATACCGATCTTGTACCACCCTTTCCCATCAAGGCGCGCGGAGTTGATCTAAGCAGAGCTTGGAAGCCGGATGGAGAGTTTGGCTTTCCATACACATACTTGGGAGCTGCAACACCGGGCTTTCCGAATCTATTCTTCCTCGCGGGACCGCATGCAACTGGTCCATCTGGTACCGTACCACAAGCTGTAGAGACAACGATCACATTTTTCGCAAAGGTTCTGCGAAAGGTCTCCTCACAAGGCATCAAGTCAATCACTCCATCGAAAGAGGCCGCGGATGATTTCGTGGACTACTGCGATGCTTTCTTTCCAAGTGTGGTCTTGACAGACAATTGCTCCTCCTGGAACAACGGTGGACTTCCAGGACAGAGAATTCACGGCCTGTGGCCGGGTTCTGCTGCTGCGCTTACGCTTGTGCGGCGCGACCCCCGTTGGGAAGACTGGGAATATGAACACTTCAACAAGCAGAACAGGTTCGCATACTTTGGCAACGGATACACCAGGGGAGAGATCGATGAGACCTCTGATCTTGTGTCATATCTCAGAGCGCCTGGCCAAGAGCCGGAATTGAAGGACGTGCATGAGAGTTGGTGGGATCTCCCTGGGGCAGTCAAGAAGTCGGCTTAATTCCGCTTTCGACGCTTCGTCTCTGGGCAGTTTTCGCAATAAGATTGCCTACAAGTTCACAGTTTGTTTCTCAATTTGCCCGGTGTATCGGTGTGCTTCTACGATGCTCGTGTGGTTCCAAAGACTCGGCAGCGAGTGCATGCCCAATCAAGTAATCCCGTTGCAGCATTACGTGGCCACTAGTACATTCATTGGTACCGAGATCACGACATTCTCTCTGCTGGAATCGTCAGCGTACTCCCGCATGAATCAGTTGTTCGATGTTCTTATCTACATGTGGTGATTCGCAAATGGCAGGGGGGATGGCGTGCTACCCCATCAAACTACCAACGCCCACGTTCTGCCGCGGAAGGCCCGTGGCAACGTCAAACGACAGTTGGGATTACTTAGACGCGATACACAAACATCTGCACCGAGCACCGGCGACATGGCGTCCGGGCCGTACGGTACTCGTGCGGAATCCTAGCATGCATGTGCGTGCTTACAAGCCGTTGGCGTATGATGCCTTCGGTACTTGCTAGCCTGTTGTAAAAGCCTCCCGGTACCGCGAGAAGATTGCAGCACCTGATGCAGTATATGAAAGTCCATCCTTCCACAGCTCGATCGGCATCTGCAGGTTGAACATCGTCGGACATGGCTTCTCAGAACTCATCATTGGAATCTGGCAGCGATGTCGAGGTCGAAAGACGCGACTACCCAAGTATGAGAAGCCTCGTACCCCACAGCATGCTCTAAGCTAACACACACAGCAAAATGGTATCGAAGCACGTTCTTCAACATGACCATCCTCGGGCTTTGCAACTTCTCTGCTCCGGGCATTTGGGGCGCGATGAACTCCCTCGGCGCTGGAGGAGCACAATCGCCCCATCTCGTCAACGCTGGAAATGCTCTGACTTTCTGCTTGATGGTGGTCAGCTGCTACTTCAGCAGTGTCATCGTGCACTACATTGGGATCAAAGGGGCGCTGATCTTTGGAACGTGAGTCAGTGTGGACGAGAGACGATAACGCTCATACTGACAACATACTAGTCTTGGATACGCACCATACGCAGCAGCTTGTGAGTATGAATTCCATACTCCCTCCAATAGCTACTGATCTACGGCAGTGTACACGAATAACCGCTTTGGAACAGAGTGGTTCATATATCTCGGAAGCGCACTGTGTGGTATCTCCGCAGGTGTATTCTGGATGGCTGAAGCGGCCCTAGCGCTTGCATACCCCGAACCCTGGAACAAAGGCAAAGCGCTTGGCTACTGGCTCACCTTCCGTCTGGGTGGTCAGATCCTCGGCGGCGCAATCAACCTTGGTCTCAACGCAGACCGCGATCAAGCCGGCAGCGTGTCGTACACAGTGTACCTTGTCTTCATCGCCTTGCAGTGCGTCGGGCCCTTTGTGGCTCTCTTCCTGACCAAGCCCAACGATGTCCAGCGCAAGGACGGCAAGAAAGTCGACCTGGCTATTCTCAACAACCCCTGGTTCGAGATCAAGGCCACGACCAGGCTGTTTTTCACGAGGAGATATCTTCTCACTGTGCTCTGGATCGGACAGGCAGTCTTCTCGGAGGCCGTCTACTTCACCTATCTAGCTTGTAAGTTACACTCGCGTGGCACAAAATTGCACTGGCTGACTGCAACAAAGTGTGGTTCTCCGTCCGCTCTCGAGCTCTGGGCTCTTTCTTGTCTGGCATCGTAGCCGTCATTTGCGGCAACCTTCTCGGGGCTTATCTGGACCGGACATCCATCTCCCTACGCTTCCGTGCCCGCAGCACATTCTTTTCCATCGCCGTGCTGCAGGGCGCATGGTGGTTGTGGGCGACCGTCCTGGCGACTGAGTTCCGGTCTACACAGCCCACATACGACTGGTCATCTTCCGGCTTTGGTCGCGGCTTTGCCGTCTTCATCTTCCTGACCGTCGGGTTTCAGCTCAACTACCTCTTCCTCTACTTCTTCATCGGGCAGCTCGCGGAGAACGAGCCAGAAGTCATTCGCTACGCTGCGCTGCTAAGAGGCACCGAGTCTGCCTGGCAGGCGATCAGCTATGGGATCACGTCCGTCACCGTCTTTGCCGAAGTCGGCGCGATATACTGGAATTTCGCGCTTTGGGCTGTTGCCATCTGGCCAGCCTGGCTGGTGCTCAGGGAGTTTGGCGAGAAGAAGACATTCGAAGATGCGATCGATTCCAAGGGGACGGTACCGGTCGAGACGGCTGTCGTTGAGTCGAAGCACGGAGGTACAGACCTGCGTTGATGAGAAGCATGGGGACCCATTGGTCTCGAGGAAGATGTAGATTGGGCGACGATCAACCCAGCGTGGTCACTCGCGAAAAGCTAGAATAGCCACGTACTAGATTTATTCTATCTTTCGACACATTAAGATAAATCAAGACGGTATGTTGATGGGTTGCGCTCTTCGGAAAATGAATTGTCTCTTTCAGTGGCGCATTACTGTAGCGTCATTGGTAACTTATAGGCATTCTAGTCAATATCCGTGCTAATAAGTACAATACTCCAGCTGTCCAACGGCTAGAATATTGTAAGATATATCAGCTCGTACAGCAACTAATCTATAAGTTTTGAAGTATGTACCGTGGGCCAGTGTCTACGTCTCAGCTCAATTTCCGGCGCGGAGAAAGTATGCAAAGGCAGTGCTCATCCTAACCCCACACAGCCCGTTTTCATTTGTTCCGATAGTCTTGTATTTACAGAAAACGCCGATATTGCGCATGAGACAGAAACGAGAAATCCAACTATTGCAAGACAGCCACAAGTCTCCCCCCACTAATCTCCCTCCTCCTCATCCTGTCCAGCCCATCGTTGATCGCGCCCAACCCCTCCACAGTCCCCACAACATCCGGCGGCACCAACAAGCCTTTCACAAGCAAGCGCTCGCACCACGCACTCAGCGCCTCCCCAACCTCCGGGATCTCATGGAACAGCTTGATCGGCACATTGTGCAGCGTCACGTCCTCTGGGATATCAGTCTTGGGCAGCCCCGTCAGTCCGACCAAGTGCGATCGAGGCGCTTCTTCTGCGGGCTCAAGCGGCGTCGATGGCGGCGTGGGGAGCTTGGAGTCCTTGCGTTCGTAGTTGCGCGCTTCTTTCGGCAGCGAGGCGATCGAGGACGAGGACGATGCGAGCGCGCGCAGTAGCTGCGCGGCCGAGTCTTTCCCCGCCGTGTCGAAGCCGAAGCGCGCACCGTCGCTTGTCGCGCGCTTGATGATTGCGATTGCTCGCTCGGGATCGTGTGAGTCGACTAGCAGATCTGCGCGTGTGGTTGCGTGTGACGACAGGCGGATCCCGTGCTTTGCGTGGTCGACGACGGACACGATCTTCAAACCTGTCAGTCTCGCAACCTGCATCGTGAGGTGTGCGCTCGTCGAGCTGCCGCCCCAGATGACCAGGTAATCGCCGGCTTTGGCGCGATCGGCCTCGCAGATGTTTTCCAGACACTCTTTCCTGATGTCCGCGGGCAGTCTTGCGGGATCGATGCTGCGCACGATGCTCAACAGATCGGGGCCGTCTTCGACGCTTTCAAAGCTGACGCCCATGCAAATGCCTAGTGCCAGCACAGCGGATACGAATGCAACCCCCAATATGCTTCCCGACTCGGCCGAGACGCTGTGCGGTAGTCGTATGGTGTTGAAAGACGAGGCTATGGTGTACTCCTGAAACGCCGCTTTGCGCAGGTCGCGATAGTCGGTTGACGGGATCGTCACCACATCGCCTTCGCGTATGCGGGCGTGTGGAGTGTTGGGAGCCTTGACAACGACCCCGGAGAGTTCGCGGCCGGAAATGAAAGGGAACACGGGCACGCCGAAATTGAAGTCACTGGGGAACTGTCAGCATATGTGATCGGATGGACGTTAACAGGGGATATAAACTTGCGGTGACTTCCAGTCTATCGGGTTCAGTCCAGCAGCAGTGACCTTGACCAGCAGCTCCGTGTCGTTCTGGATCTCAGGAACAGCATGGTCAGAAGCCACCTCATATGGCTGGCGGATGGCATGCAGCAGCAAAGCAGATTGTTGTTCCGGACGGGCCCCATCTACTGCACTGCGCTGGAACTGATCCTGTGCGTCATCGGTCGTCCTCTCTGGTGTTGGAGTTTCCGGCTTGATCTGCGTCGGTGCTTTGGAAATGCTCTTGGGTCGCCAGCGCCAGGGAACCATGATGATGTGGGTATGAATGAGTCGAAGAGGTCGTGTGTTGGATATTCCAGATTCACGCGTTCAAAAAAGCCCAAGAAAAGTTAGAGAGGGCGCAAGATGCGACTTTGACACAGCCGCCTGGTCCTGACTACCGAAAAGGCAGTCCCGGATAGCCGACTTCGTCATCCTACCGGAAGGTCAGCGAAGAAGCTAGCGTACAAGTACATGCATACTTCACGCGGTCGCTCGGCGTCTACGGCCTCTTCGCGGGGATCGTTCTGTCGGCATTGTGGGCCCCAATGGCGTGGCATTCACCTTGGTGGAGAAGGCCCGCTAGAGCCCGACTACAGCTTGGGTAAATTGAGGGACCTTACAAGACGTGTGTCAGGGACATAGCGCTTCCCGACGCCATGTTCTGGTATTCGACGCTGATTTGCGCTGGCGACGGCAGATAAGCGATGGCGTGAATACAGAACGAGATGATGTGCTTGCCCCATCGAATTGTAGCAACATCAACAGCGACATCGGATTCGCATGTACATAGGTATGCAAACCTCAGTAGGGGCAAGATAATTCAACTCGAGAGCACGACATCTTCCTGGAAATATACGGAATCATGGTGCCCCAGAAGAAATGGATCGTGAACGCGTTCGTGGAGATGTGTAAGTCGACATGCACGTGACCGCGCGCCAACGCAACGTCATCCCCACCTTCGCTGTACTTGCCCGCGAGGCGGATACTGTCTCCGGTTCATATTGGTGGCGATACATATTAGCAAACAATAGACTGACCCCAAACAACCAACAGGCAGTGGCCATCAGTCGCCTGGACTATGGAGACATCCCGAGGATCACTCGCACGAATTCGGCGATGTCCAGCACTGGGTTGAACTGGCAAAGCTGCTAGAAGAAGCTAAATTCCACGGCATATTCATCGCCGACGTGCTCGGTGGCTACGACGTTCGTACTGATCGGCGCGCAGTGTGAGAACAAGCCCTAACCAAGCTCAAGGTATACAACGGCAACCTCGACGCAGCGCAGATCTCTGGCGCACAGTGGCCTGTCAACGAGCCGCTTAGCGTTGTGAGCGCAATGGCAGCAGCGACCAAGAGTATCGGGTTTGGCGTGACTGTGTCGACGACGTACGAGCAGCCTTACCACCTGGCTCGCAGACTGTCGACTGTCGATCACCTCTCGAAAGGGCGACTAGGCTGGAATGTAGGTTTGCAGCTTGTCACGATGAGCGCGAGGCTGACGTGCCTGTAGATTGTGACTAGCTATCTCGATTCGGCTGCGCGCAACATGGGCTTCAAAGAGCAGCTTGCAGTGAGTCCGACGAGCATATCCGTGGCGTCACGCGCTAATAACAGTAGCACGACGAGCGGTACGCGCAAGCCGAGGAGTACGTGAAGGTCATGTACAAGCTCTTCGAGTCTTCGTGGAGAGACGACGCGGTGGTGCTCGACCGCGAGAAGGGCATTTACACCGTCCCCGACAGAGTCCGCGAAATCAACCACCGCGGGAAGTACTTCACAGTGCCTGGGCCGCACATCTGCCAGCCAAGCCCGCAGCGCACGCCCCTGCTGCTCCAGGCGGGCACATCCAGAGCCGGCAAGCAGTTTGCAGCCGAGAGCGCAGAGGCCATTTTCGTGAGCGCTTTCAGCCCTTCGGTGCCCGCTAAGAGCATCGCGGAGATTCGAGAGCTGGCCGCAACGCAGCATGGGCGCGACCCCAGCAACATCAAGGTCCTGGCTCTGGTGACTCCGATTATTGGTCGGACAGAGGAAGAGGCGCAGGCGAAGTTGGCCGATTACAGAAAATATGCTTCGCTGGATGGCGCGCTGGCGTTGTTTTGTGGCTGGACGGGCATCGATCTGGGCAAGTATGGTGACGATGAGGAGCTTCGTGAAGTCGAGAGCAACGCGGTGAGATCAACTGTAGAGGCATACGCAAAGTTCTCCCCCGGGACATCGAAGTGGACAAAGCACACGGTCGCGGAGCACGTGAGCATCGGTGGAAATGGTCCCATCATCGTTGGCACCCCGGCTCAAGTGGTGGACGGACTCCAGACCTGGGTCGATGAGGCTGATGTCGACGGGTTCAACTTTGCCTACGCTTTGTTCCCGCAGTCTTTCAAAGACATCATCGAGCTGCTGCTCCCAGAGTTGAGGGCGCGAGGCTTGTTCTGGGACGACTACGCCGTCCCTGGAGGCACGTACAGGGAGAACTTTTACGGGAAGCCGGGGCAGACAGGTCCGTTGGACGAGCACATCGCATCAAAGTACCGTTGGAAGGCCGGTGTCGAGGCCAAAGACCATATCATCCCTGAGTAGGAAGCGAATGCAAAGGATAAGGATCATGTCGATGATGAAATGCGTGCTGCAAAGTCAGAGACTGGCGTTTGAAACGCGTCACTGACCGGACTGTGCTGACTGACATGCGTACGTCGAATCAGATGCTTTACGTCGAATCAGATGCTTTACGTCGAATCAGATGCTTTACGTCGAACCAGATGCTTTACGTCGAACTAGATGCTTTGCGTTGAACCAGATGCTTTACGTCGAACTAGATGCTTTACGTCGAACCAGATGCTTTACGTCGAACCAGATGCTTTACGTCGAACCAGATGCTTTACGTCGAACCAGATGCTTTACGTCGAACCAGATGCTTTACGTCGAACTAGATGCTTTACGTCGAACCAGATGCTTTGCGTCGAACCAGATGCTTTACAGCGACATTAGCCGCGCACAGCATCAAAGCGATGAGCGGCAAGTCAGCCAGAAGAAAATAGCAAATCTCTGCCCGTTTGCACACAAGAAACATGGAGTGTATCGCTTCGGAAGTCCAGCTGCTGCTCTCTATGCAACAAGCGTCGATCCAATAGCCATCACCTTCACATCTCGCAACACATCACATCGTGTTGATCTGGTACCCCTTGAGCCAATGGTAGTTGCCAGAAATGCACTGTCTGTGCGCCACCTCCTCGTGCTCCCAGGTGTGGGATGGTATCGCACAAGGTGGAATGTTACTGCCAAAGTATCCTTTGACAAGTCGTGTTTTCACATTGATCAGCCACATGCCTGCAGGCGCTCATGGCTGAGGGAATTCAAGCGGCACTTGACGCTACGCCGAATGGAACGGGGGAAGGCTGGGCAGCTGGTCGCAAGCAATCGCGCGGATGAGGGTGCGTATGCCGTGGTACAGGGGATGGTCGGATGGGCTTTGGACACGCGAGTTCGATGCGGGTGCTGCCCAGCACGGCAAATGGGGTGATGCAGCCTCGCGCACCAGCCTTGCGACAATCACCGGAGACTTTTCCCCTGTGGTTTCCACGGCTTCGATTCGCAACTCAACGAGGCGTCGCTACGATTTGACGCCAACCGATATTTTTCTTGGCGTCATATGATCAATGCAGGTACGCGAGCCTGAAGGAAACCGCGACGCATCCATCACTCGGGGGTTCCTTGGCAGGCTTTTACTGCATCAGTGTTGTTCACATTGGAGCTTGTCATGGGTCGCTGCATGCGATGCGGGCATGGTGTTTACCTCTACATACAGAGTCAGCGCAAAGTGATGTCGTGTCCGGACATTGTCAGCTGCGTGATACTTCTACAACGCACCAGCGCTCTTCAGGTGCTCGTCGTAGAGCTTCTTCTGCTTCTCCCACTCCTTCTTGACCTTTTTGCTCGCGCCCTTGGAGAGCTCCTTGCCCTCCCTGTCCTTGAGCGGCAACCCGTCAGCATCCCATGCGCTGTACTCGGCGGTCCTGAACATGTCGCTAGGGTTGATCCTGGCTTGCGCAGCCAGCTTGGCCTGCTTCTCTGCCTCCTCGCGCTGGCGCTGGAGCTTAGCCTCGGCCTTTTGGCGGGCGATGGTCTCTTTCTCTTCGCGTGCGAAGCGCAGCTCCGCGTCGACGGGGCGAACCATCGAGGGCAGGTTCTCGCGGTCCTCGAGGTAGATGCCGAGGTCCCAGAGATGTGTGTCGCGGAGTGCATCGCAAAGCGCAAGGAAGTCCTTGGCGGGAGCCTTCTTCTCGGAAAGATTGCGCAGGCTCTCCTGGAACGTGGAAAGGACTTTGGCGTAGGGGATGGCCTTGGCGTCTTGTTGTTGCGTGGGCCTGTGCTGCGCGATGATGGACTCGAGGACCTCGCCTGACAAGTCGCCAGCGACGGCGTGCTTTCGGACTTCGTCGCGATCGCGAGCGGCAGCGTACACAAACTCCTTTGCCTCTGAGGGGATGTCGATGCCCGCCCAGCCGATGCCGCCGTCATACGGATCGGCGTTGCCATCGAGACCAAAGATGCGAACGATGCGTGTGATGTAGCGAGCAACGTCGAATGCAACGCTGTCAGACAGGTCGACGGGCTTGGCAGAGTTGCAAGCTGTGACTAGCGTCGAGATGGCGCGAGTCGCAGCGGGTGTGTCGAACGAGTCCGCAAGCGCATTGTGAATCTTCTGCTTCGCCTGCTCAAAGGCCTCCAGGATGCTCTCGTCCTCGTTGCCGGTCGAGTCCATCATGGGGTTCACCTCGCGGTCGCGAACCTTGTAGAAGAAGTTGCTGATGCTGCTCTCCCACCCAGAGCCGCCCTTGCGCATGGCGGGTGTGATCTCAATGCCGTCATGCCACCCTCCCATCAGGAAGATGATGCGCAGACTGCGGGCGGTCCAGTCTCCTCGCGCCAATGCTTCCCGGATGGTTGTGAAGTTCTTCAGACTCTTCGACATCTTGCTGCCAGATATCGACAAGTGGCCCATGTGCAGGAAGTAGTTGACCCACTGGTGACCACCCTTGTCGCCGGACCAGTGTGCCTCTGACTGTGCGAGTTCGCTGTGGACGTTAGATGCTGGCCACTCAGACTGTACGGTGAACTCACTTGTCGTGGTGAGGGAAGCACAGGTCGATACCACCCGAGTGGATATCCATCTGGTTGCCCAGCACATCGCTGGCCATGACAGAGCACTCGATGTGCCAACCCGGTCGCCCGGGACCCCACGGCGACTTCCACGCTGGCTCTCCGGGCTTGCTGGATTTCCACAAGGCAAAGTCGGCCTCGCTGCGCTTCTCCGATGTCTTCTGCTGCGACAGAGCCCCCTCACCGTCGGCCTGCAATCCCTTGTCTCCCCGGTTCCAAGGCTCCAGGCGGGCGTAGTGGTTGCCAGGGATCTTCTCAAAGCTGTCAATGTCAAAGTAGACGGAGCCGTCCGAGGTCTTGTAGGCGAAGCCATTGTCGACAATCTTGTCGACAAAGGTGACAATCTGATCGCCATACTCGGTGACTCGAGTTACGACATCAGGATCGAGGACGTTCAGGTTCCTCATGTCTTGCATGAAACGCGCCTCGTACTTTTGCGTGAGCTTGGTGAAAACAGTGTGGTCACTAGCGTCGATCTTGGAGCCGTGGACTGAGTCGAGGTAGGGCAGCAGCACCTCTTCGGCGCCGCCGTAGAACAGCTCAACGTCTTCTGGAGTCGTTTTCGAAGGGGCGAGCAGTGCTGTTGCCGCCGTGCCTACTGTCTTCAGGTGCATCTTGATCTTGGCCTCCTTGTCGCCTGGCGCGCCGGATCCGTCCTCCGACTTTCCAGCGATGACGTGGGCGTACTTTTCAGCCGACTCCTTGTTGAAGTCCTCCGGTGCAAGCTCGGCGCTCAGAAGCGGGAGGTTCTTCTTCACGTAGGCATCGAACGCGGCCACGGTTGTAGCAGCGACCTGGTCTGATATTGTCGGGTTCTCGGCCTTGTACTGTGCGAGGACATGTTGCTGGCGTCCTCTCAGGATGATCTTGTCGTCGACATCGGTGATGTTCTGGACAAACTGCAGGTTGTAGCCAAAGTAGCCAGCCAGGATTCTCCGCAGGACATCAATGGTGACATAGTTCCGCGCGTGTCCAAGATGGGCATCGTCGTACACTGTGGGGCCGCAGCTGTACCATTTCACGAGCTTACCCTCGGGATCAATGGGGACAAAGTCGTTTTTCGACCTTGTCAGAGAGTTCCACACCTTGAGCTTTGCTGGTTCTGTCGACGTGGGCTCCTTCCATGGCGGCTGCGTGCGCGCTGGGGTGGCCATGGCGGCTCTGGAGACGAGCTGCAGGGGTGTGGGCTTGAAGTGGTGGCTGGAGTGCAGGAGCGGGGAGCTAGCGGGAGTGAGGAATGTGCGGGACAAGGACCGGAACGCAAAGACCATCAAGCAGACGAGACGAGACGGTACGGCAAGAACGGAACGACAGGACGAACGACAGGACGGCCGACAGTACGAACGACAAGACGAACGACAAGACGAACGACAGGACGAACGACAGGATGAACGACAGGACGAACGCGGAGGGAAACAGCAAAGTGGAGTCTAATGGCGATTGGGTGACTCAGGGTGCTGCGTCGTCGAGTCGCTCCGTGAAGCCGCGGTGTCCTTGGCGTTCCCCGCCAATTGCAGGGCCGAAAGCTCCCCGCAAAAATTATTCCTCGCGCTTCACACAAACACTGCGTTCGCGACGTTGACCCAGATTCTGCGACGTTGGCCTAGATTCTGCGACGTTGACCCAGATTCCGCAACGTTGACCCAGATTCCGCAACGTTGACCCAGATTCCGCAGACGTTGGCCCAGATTCCGCAGACGTCATGGCGCCTGTTGTCTCCCCCTTCCTCGACCCGGGGACACACTCTGCGGCGCACGGCCTGGGGATGGTCCAGTTGCGGCGCGACCACCTCATCCCCGTTGTGCTCGCACCGAACGGCGACTCGGACTACGCAGAGGGAAAGGTCGAGAACACGCGCTTCGGGTCGTTCCCGCACAGCACGCTCGTCGACCAGCCGTGGGGCACGCAAGTGCTCGCATCCGTCGTCGACACGGGCTCACGCGGGCGAACAAAGAAGCGCAAGAGAGATGGCGGAGACGAGACACCGACCACGGACGCGCCCGAGACGAAGACGAAGACGAATACGGAGACGAAGACGAAGATGAATACGGAGACGAAGACGAAGATGAATACGGAGACGAAGACGAATACGAAGACGAATACGAAGACGAACAAGGACGTGGTCAAGGCCGCGACGGCAAGCAGCGGATTCGCGCACCTGATCCCCCCGACGCCCGAGACGTGGACGCTCTCGCTCCCGCACCGCACGCAGGTCGTCTACACGCCCGACTACAGCTACATCCTGCAGCGCCTGCGCGTGCGTCCGGGCGACCACCTGATCGAAGCCGGCGCCGGCAGCGGCTCCTTCACTCATGCGGCGGCGCGCTGCGTCTACAACGGTGCGCCGGGCATGGATGTCGCCAACGCAGTTGATGGAGTTGATGGAGTTGATGGAGTTGATGGAGTTGATGCAGTTGATGCAGTTGATGGAGTTGATGTAGCTGATGCAGCTGATACAGTTGATGCAGCTGATACAGCTGATGCAGCTGATGCAGCCGACGCCGCCGCGCCCAAGACGCCCACACGCACCCGCCGCGGCGGCGTGTACTCGTTCGAATACCACGAGCCGCGCGCGCAGCAGCTCGCCCTCGAGCTTGCCGAGCACGGCCTCGACCCCGTCGTCACCGTCACGCATCGCGACGTGTACGGGACCGGCTTCGGTCTGGCCGACGGCACGAGCCCAGACGCCGACGCCGTGTTCCTCGACCTGCCCGCGCCCTGGCAAGCGCTGCCACATCTCACGCGCACCACGACATCGTCGCCCCTCAACCCGCGAAAAGCAGTGCGCATCTGCACCTTCTCGCCCTGCATCGAGCAGGTCACCAAGACCGTCGCCGCCCTGCGCGCCCACGGCTGGCTCGAGATCGACATGGTCGAGATGCAAGCCAAGCGGCTCGAGGTGCGGCGCGAGCGCACAGGCCTGGCCGAGGAAGGACTACGGGGGGGCAACGCGAGCGCGGCCAGTGTCGCCGAGGCCGTGCAGCGCCTGCGCGACGTCGAGGGCCGCGCTGCCGTGTTCCATGGCCTGCAGCGCGCGAAGCAGGAGGACCTTTTGCGGCGCGCTGAGGCGCGGAAGCGCGGGCTGGACGCCGACGGGGGGGGTGCAGACGCAGATGCGGATGCCGTGCGCGGGTACAACGCCCAGGGCCTGCCGCCGAGCAGACACGATCGTCTGGACCGCGTGAAGCGGGAGGCGGCGACGCGGCCGCTGTTCAAGGAGGGCCGGCTGGTGCACAGGACCGAGCCGGATCTGAAGACGCACACGTCGTATCTCGTCTTCGCCGTGCTGCCGCGGCAGTGGACGGCCGACGACGAGGCGAGGGCGCGTAGGAAGTACGGCGCGGGGGTGCGGTAGACGAGCGCTAGGACGAACAAGATGAGATACCCAAATGGTGGTTTGAGATACCCAAATGGTGGTTTGAGATACCCAAATGGTGGTTTGAGACACGGCCGCTGCTTCGAATGAGATTGAGTTGCTAGAACGTACATGGCCTTCCCGCAGCCACCCACCCCAGGCCATTAGATCGCCTCGCACGAAATCACCCCCACACCGCATCCCTCGCGCGATGACTCCCCTCCCTGCCCGGCGGCGTGGAAATAAGATGCGTCCACGCCTCTTGCCCGTCGACGAACAGTCTGTAATTGACATGACTCTGTTCGCCATGCGCCGGCGTGCTAATCTCCACAGCGCCAAACTTGCTCCCGCCGTCGGGCAGATACTTGATCGTCACATCCGCATCGTCCATCTCCCTGTACGTCCTAACAGGGAGGTAAAACATACTCAGCGGACTAGTGCTGAACTCATGCACCGTCGCGCTAGCAGGCCAGCGACCGTCGGCGGGCGGCGGAAACGCAGTGGCGGCGAACTCGTGCCGGTCGCCTGACAGCACCACGACGCCCACGCCGTGCGTCGACGAGTGCGCCCACGCTGCTTCCAGCACCCGCTGTCGCTCAAACAGGTGCCCGCCCCACGTGTCCTCCGATCCGAACTGCCAGTTCTTCGTAAACGGCGTGCCCGTCACAATCATCTTCCAGTGCACGCCGCGCGGCGGCTCTTTGTCGATCCACGCCAGCAGGTCCGCGAGCTGGGTGGCGCCGAGCATCGTCTTGCGGGGGTCGTTGGGGTCTTTGCTTGCGGGGCTGCGGTAGCGCCGCGTGTCAAGGAGGAAGAACTCGGCCGGTCCCTGCGTGAAGGAGAAGTAGGTTGCGCCCTTGCGGTGAGCGGGTGGGTTGGCGGCAGCGTTGTAGTGAGTAAAGGCGTCGTACGCAGGGACAGCCACCCCAGTCATGTTGCCGTTCCAGTCGTTCTGGATCTCGTGGTCGTCGATGACATGAATCCAGGGCAGGTTGTCGCTGACTGCAGGCCAGGAGGGGCTCGAGTACACCTGGCGGTATTCGCGCCTGTACGTCTCTGCATCCTTGCCCTGTCTGTGCGGCACGTCGATGTAGATGAAGTCGCCGAGGAAGAGCATGAAATATGGCTTTAGTTCGTGGATCCAGCTGGCGAGGTGCTTCATGCCTGGGAATTCAAGCGGGTGCTGGACCGGCGTATATGGCACCCGAGGCTTGATGCAGCTCGAGTGGACAAATGTATACTTGTCACCCTAAATGAATCAGTGTCGTCCTGCATGACAGCATGGCAACGAACCTTGAATGCCGAGATGCGACCAGGGCGCGGCGGTGTGGTGAAGGTCCCCGTCTTGTTGCCACTCGAGGTGTTGATGACGTACTCGTACGGCGTGTCGGCGCGCAGATGATCGATCTCAATGACAGACGTGAAGTCGGTCTCGTTTGTGAGCCAGTACCCAGGCTGGGACGCCTTCAGCGTCTTCTCCATCCACGAGCGACTCAGCTCGTCGATGGAGCGGTAGAGCACCTTGACGTCGTGCGCGTATGGCTCTCGGACCAAGACCCTCGCGCTGTGGTCTGACACGTATCCGATGCGCCCAAACGACGCGTTGTGGCAGTCGTGCAGGAGCGTTGGCCGATAGATGACGTCGAGCGTCATGGCCAGCAGCACCATGTTGATGCCGAATGTGATCCAGCTCCACATCGCCGACGAGGGACTCGGCAGGCCGGTCAGGAGGGTCTTCAGTATCGCCGGCTGCCTCTCCTCGTACTTGATCGTTTCGCGCACATCGAGTTCCTCCAAGGGCCCGTCATCGGCGCCCTCGATCAGCTCGGCTTCGGCGCTCGCGTCGCGTTCAATCGTGTCTTTGACGATGATGTCGAGCTCGTCCGATATCACCTTGTACTCGGCCGTGTCCTGGAAGCTCGTGAAGAAGGCGGGAATGTAGACGGCAGTCAGCGCAGCGGCCAGCGGCGGAACGACTGTGGTGGGAATCTAGCATCAAGGTCAGCAAACCGCGCGGGTGACAAAGCAGCTTGTTGCACACTCACCCATCGCAAGAAGATCCAGATGCTCACTCGCAGAAGCAGCGAGCTGGTGATGGTGAGGATGTCGCTGGCGGATGCCATGGCTGCTAACCAGATATCGTCGCTTGGCCGTACCGGCGTTGGTGTTTGGCGGAATGTGCTCCTGCCTGTGAAGGCCGCTTCCGGCCTCTCGCGGCAGGGCGCGCGTGACAATGACGTCGATCACGCTAGCGGGCCGCCGCGGAGACGCGTTGAACTTCACCTCGACCTTCTTGAGGCTGACGACGAGAGATGGCCAAGACCCTGCGCGGACCACGTTGCAGCCGTGCTGCTACGTTCGAGGTCACCCGAAGAGTGTTGAACAATAGTCAGATATTGGTGCAGGTGAAGCAAGAACTATGAGCACAGTCAGCTGCTCCTTGATTTCAACAACGTCAAGGCACCAGCAAACTCAAACGACTCAATGATGGAAGATCTGATAGACGTGATCCAGCCAGAAACCTTGAATTAAGTTGACCACCCGTCGCCTCTAAGCCTCGAACAAAGAGCACCCTACAAGCTGAGCCCAAAATCCCAAACCTGCACCTTCCTCGTCCCAAACGGCCCTCCCTGCCTCACAAACAGACTGAGAACATTGAACTTCTTCAGCCGCTCCTCGTCTACCAGCGGCTCACCGGCCATGTTCGTAATCTCGCCCAGCTTCTTCCAGTCCGTCCAGCCACCCGCCGCCGTCGCACCCCAGAGCTGCACCGTGCTCTTCGGCGCATCGGGCAAGACGGCAATGACGCTATCGCCCGCGGCGACGATCTTGCCGCGGTACGCGAGGTAGGGCGGTGTCGAAAGGCCCGACACTTTGATAGCCGTCTTGCTGAAATTTCCGTCGGCGGTGCGCAGGTAGTGGTAGAAGGTGCTGGTGCCTGTGCTGTTGTCGCGCATGAGGGCGTGGAACCTGCCCTTGTCGTCTGCGCACTGCGCTTCCTGGTTGATGATCTGGCTGTTCTGAGGGATGCTGTAGATCTTGATGCCCGCCGTGGAGGGCGTGATGGGCACCGCGACGGTCTGGCCGTTGGTCTGCTTCCACGTGCGGCCTGCGTCTTCGGAGAGGGCGAAGTAGAAGTCGTGGTTTGTGCTGGCATCGGGCGTCTCGCGGACGGTCCAGGAAACGTAGAGTTTGTTCAGCGCGTTGGTGAAGCCGTTGATGTATGCGTTGTTGTCCTGCCCTTGCAGATACTTGCCCACGTTGGACCAGAGTCCGGAGGTGGACGAGTACCGGTGGATCCAGGAGTCGCCCGCCCCAGATACGCCGATGCGGAATTCCATCAACAGGTCGCCGTTGTCGATGCGCTCGAAGCGCGGGTATGTGAGGGGTGTCCACGGACCAGTGCTGCCGGGGAGGGAGTGCTGCACAGCGCCGAAGGCTGATGCAGTCCATTCGGAGGGGATGGTTTTGGCGATGCCCGTGTTGCTTACGCGGTAGTTGATGGGCACGTCGTGGTGGTCGAAGGAAAGGTGAATCTTGCCGTCTCCACTAATTCCCATGGAGATGGTGTTGTGCTCGTCAAGCGTCTGCTGGAGGTAGTCGGTGAAGGCGAAGTATTGCCATGCTCCGATTGAAGGTGAAATCTGCCGACGGCCAAGGTTCACATAGTGCTTGCCATAGCCGGTGGCTGTCGCGTAGAACGCAACATATTGATAGTTGCCAAATGTCGTCAACGCGTTTTGTTGGAAGGATAGACCGTTCAGCCTTACCGAGCCTTCGACATCGTTACTGATGTTGTAAGAGTTAGTCGACGTAACGGAGATGGCCGAGGCGACTGAAGAAATAAGCGCCACAGAGGCCAGGAAGGAGGAGAGGAACTTCATTGTCGCTAATCTGGCCCTGACAATTCCCTCGTGTGAACTTGACGTTTATATACTCTACCAAGTCGCTGTATATTAACCCGGATGGCATGCTAAGCACACGGCAGTCCGGAATTTGCGGGGAAACTTAGCATCACTATAATTGCAAATTGAGCCCCGTGACGAGCGGACCATGGTCCAAGTTCTCTTTGGGTTACGAGTGGCCAGATGTAGCTTTCCTATATGGTGTCTCGGCGGATGCGACTATTTTGTGGTAGTCGCGGCTTCTCGTACGGACCTGCGCCGGATTTTCGGGCCAGCAATGGTGCGGAGAGGAGAACCTGGGGTATGGAGAAATCGTTTGCGCAGCTTGGGAAGCCGCAAGGCCCCCGAGCGGACTTTGCATACGAACCCCTGAGCAGCTCAAAGCTTGAAGCCACGAGGGCGACAGCATTATCGCCGTAGCCCTGCCTGCTCGACGTCACCTCTTGCGACAGCACTAGCAAACTTTTACGGGTTCTTAGCGCGGAATCCTTGAGTAGAACATTTTCTGTATACCATCTTCTCATGGAAAAGCGAAAAACGAACGTGAGCTGCTTCTTACGGCTGTTGAGTAAATGGTGTTGATGAGAGAATGCATCGAGAGGTCGCTGGGCGGAGAACAGCGCCATGAACAGCGCCATGGACCCGCCAACCGAGCGCCATCCGCCTCCGAGATTCTCGGAACGTCCTCTTCCTCCAACAACCAGGACAGCGACTTCGTATCTCTCCCCCCCACTTCTTATATCACAAGAAGGAACGATTCTCTCGCAGTGCCGTCCGTAGCCTTAACGATGCCGACGAAACATAACCGAATGGAATGTCGCGACACCTGAACAGGCAGGTAGCGGCTGAGTCTCCTCACTTGGCACTTGGCGCGCCATTCAATGGTCGTGAAGCAGTCTTGGAGTGACGTGCCGGCATCGGAAGTTTATCGTCGACTGTATCGCGGAGATGTATAACCAAGAGATGATAAAGAGTCGTGGTCGCACAAAGGCAATGGCCCACGTGCCAAGCAACAAGTCGTAGAACAAGATGGCGACTCTTTCGGTTTTGTTTTTCGCAGCGACGGCATTGGCACAGGGCACAAAGTACGGCGGAAACCATGTTGTGACCCAGTTCGACTCGCAGATTGTGGAGCAGGGAGCATTCCCGGCGCCTAATGTCACGCTGTACAGTCCTGCGTTCCTACCGAATGCATCTTTTGCTCCTGGGTGGACTGAGGGCACTAAGGGCGCGACAAGCGAGGCAGATCTGGGTACGTTCGACTATAAAGCATCGTAGAGGTAGGCGGCTAAATGGACATCAGATGCCTTCCTGCAGAGCTTTGCGCAGAAGAACGCTGCCTGGGCGACATACAGAAATGCCGATTTCTTGAGCGAAGAGGGCAAGTTCTTCCCGTACGTTCGTCTTGCGACCGATACGAACTCGACGAGCAAAGTCCGAGTCTGGATCCAAGGCTCTGTGCATGGAAACGAACCTGCTGGCGATGAAGCGACTCTCGCGCTGCTCGGCGCGATGGATGCAAACCCCACATGGGCTGCTGGTTTCCTCGAGAAGCTCGAGATCATTGTCCTGCCTCGCTACAACCCTGACGGCAACGCGTACTTCCAACGTACTTTGGCGACCAACTTCGACCCTAACCGCGACCACGTTAAGCTCGTTCGTCAACAGACCCGTGATATCAAGCAATGGTTTAGTGCCTTCTCTCCACACATCGCTATCGACATGCACGAGTACGGCGCACGCTCCAGGTACGCTGGGAACTACAGCAACGCTGCAGACGGCATGTACAGCGCTGCGAAGAACTTGAACATCCACCCGGCGATCCGTAAACTTGCCGAGACCGCCTTTGCACCTGCGATTGGCGCCTCGCTGGATTCAAAGGGGCTGCGCGGTGAGCCCTACGTTACCGCGTCTCGGTCGGCGAACCCGGTTCGCTTCGATGAAGCCGGTACTGATGCGAAAATTGGCCGCAACGCCATGGGTCTGACGCAGTCGGTCACTTTCCTGTTCGAGACACGCGGTATTGGAATTGCGAATCAGTCTTTCAAACGTCGAACTCTTGGTGGACTGCAGATGATCCTTGGTGTGCTCGAGACAGCCCGCGATCAGGCCGAGGAGGTGTACAGCACGATCGAGGGAGCCATTGAGGAGGTGATTGCGAGCCAGGAACCGATCGTGGTCACTGATTACACGACATACTCCAACCGTACGTGGACCATGGTCGACACTCGCAATGGCGAGGTCGTGCAGCTCCCTGTTGAGTTCGCGTCAACGACACCTGTCACGCCGAACAGAACAGTCACAAGACCCGAGGGCTACGTCATCCCTCGTGCGTGGTCTGATCTCGCTGAGCGACTCCGAGTATCTGGTCTCGAGGTCGAGACGCTGCTGGAAGGCTTCAAAGGCGAAGTCGAAGTATACAACATCACATCTTCGACCCTCGCGAGCTCTTACTACGAGGGTGCGATCCTCAACACCGTCACGACCGACACGTTGCGTCAGAACGTAACACTCCCGTCAGGTAGCTTCTTCGTGAAGAGCGCACAGAAGAATGCTGGTTTGGCCTTCGTTGCGCTTGAGCCGGAGAACATCGATTCGTACGTGAGCTTTGGCATCGTGCCTCTGGGAGTCGGCGACTTGTTCCCCGTGTTCAGGAAGCTCTGAAGTAGGCCTGCGTAGTCTGGACAAATGTCCGACCGTATGTGGATGCAGTACATTTCGTGTAGTCTGCAACTGTCAGCAATGTTACATCCTTGGAAAACTATTGTACAGGAACCGCTGTGATGCCTTGGGTATGCAGACCTGCTTTAGTATGCACTGACCGTGCGCCAAAAATGCTCGCCCCGATTTCCATCGGCATTTCCTTTTGCCAACCCTGTGCGCCTCTTGTAACAACGCCCTTTAACGAACACACCACAAGCGTTCTTCTAGAACATGAAGACCTCGTAAACAGCTTTGGTGTCGTGTAAAAATTGACCGCTTTCGCGAATAACATCTCTTTTAGGTTAGTTTGGCGAGCGGTCACGTGTGGCTAAGTCAGCCAGGAACACCTTGCTGCACCTTTATTATGCGCCGTGTAAGACCGCGACCCAATCTGCAATGCGGCGAAAATGTGTTCCCGTTTAAAGGCCCGTATATGTGAGCCTCCTCGCAATACATCCTGCTGTCTAGTAGAAAACGTGACGGAAGGTCGAAGCGTGCGCTGCAAAGGCCGCAACCGGAAATTTGTGGTAGACAATAAGACCGTTTGACTGCACTGAAATACACTGATCATTCTCTCCAATGTCGTCTAGATTTTCCTTACTTGTGCGGTTTCCTTTGTCGACATTCTTTCTTGATTATCGAATCCGGTTCCAGCTTTGCCTTTTCTGCATCTGATGCTAAGCCAACTACCTCTGGAACTCCTTCGTCGTATATGCACGGAACTGTCACCTGAAGCTGCTCTGCACTTTGCTCATAGCTGCCGACAGACATACCACTCTTGTGACGACTGGATCGTATGGCGCAGTATTGTGAAGAGCGTGCGCGTCCGTACCGAACCACCTGCAGCTGTGCTTGAACGAGGGTGTAAAGGGATAGAACATACAATGGCAAACGCTGGTACCGTTCAGCCTGGCGCTGGACATCCAAGTATAACCGCTATCGAACAGTATATGCCACAACTTATAGTGTTGGGATGTAAGCTTCATCGTTCACGTAGGTAATTGCATGCTGACGTTAATGCACAGATACGATGGCAACGCCGCTGGATCTCCGTACCATGTACGATCAGTGTAGAGCCTTGGTCAGTAGACAAGAGTATCCATCATCGCTGATCCGAGCAAAGACCGATGAAAGTAAATGGTTCGAGTTCATGACAGACCCAACAAGCCGATTTGCTCCGAGAGAATGGCTGTCTGCGCAGACCGCCAGCTTGTGCTTTGCTATTGGAGCATTGTCTGATGTGAACCACGCTTATCAGTCAGAGGAGCCATATGCACGCTTGGAAGACGTCCAGTGGTTCAATTCAAACGCAACCCAACAAGATTGTGCAGACACGCTGGTAATGCAGCATGCATTGGCGAATACAGCAGTCGGTTGCTTTTCTCTGGAGCTTCGGGCGGCCCTTGGTGGCGAGAGAACGATCGGCGAGGACTTCGAAGGTACCGCCAGTCCACCGACAGCTTCCAGCATCCCGTTGGCAGCTCAAATGGTATCGAGCTTGCTATCTTCGCCCGGCAACTTCAAGGACTCCTCACCGAGTTGCTTGATGGCCACCGTTGACCCTGTCTTCTTCACGAGCCATGCATGGACCGGGTATCTGACCACACGAGGCGACTGGCGAAGCGTGTACCACGGGATCGGTGGGCACAACCTCAGGGATCTGCCCTTAACAAATGGACTCGACCATGCGGGCAGTGCCAGTTTTCCAATTGCCCTCGATCACACCGTGAGATTCCGTGTTGTCGACACTTTGGCCAATGGCGACTTTGTGCTGCAATCCAACTACTTCCACACCCGGGATGACATGTACACTATGACGGTACTGGTGGAGAAACGGACCGGCCGGTTGTCGATATGCATGTTACGTCCAGACGACGCGCCTCCACGAGCGATACAAGCCTACCCAAGAAACGCCCTCAATACACCTTTCGGAATTGTATACGGTATCGAGCCTGGTAGTTGGCTGTGGCTTTGGAAGACCGAATGGTCTGTTGGAAGTTCGAGGGGTCGCTGAAGTGGAAAGACGAATATTGAATAAAAAGACGGTTCGGCAGTTCGCCGACAGGTAGCATGCCGATACGTAAGGTATCTGAGACACTGGAGGCAACAAGGGTCCGGAAAAGCCACGGATTAGTGAGCGCACTCACCGGGGTAGTGATTCCCAGAGAGTGGGCGAGGGCTCTCAAATGCTGCCTCTGCACCCATTGAGTACAAATGGCTGGCGCGAGGCCAAACGGCAATGCTGCACGCATCGGCGGTTTTGGTCGTTGCAGGAGAACTGGCTGGCTGTATCAACCCGTGGGCACTTCGCTCGAAGCCATGCTTGCACTGTCTCGTGGAGCTAGCAATTGCACTCAGCGCGGCCTATGACATCGTCCACAGATGTGCGATGTTGTCAATTGAGAATGCCAATCCCAGAGCTTTGGCTCACGGATCGCGGGCTTGCCAATCTCATGTAGTGCATCTGTTGTGTGCCACGGCGGGACGTGCATCAGAATGCAGCGAATGACGCATGATCGCTAGAGAGGCGAAATGAGAAAACACAGAATCCATTTCCGCAGACCTGAATGCTTGCTTCTTGCCGTGTGTCCAACGACATCAAGTAACGGCTCAAGTGTTGGACGTGTCTCAGTTGCACTGAATAGTACGATGCATAGTCTTGTTGATCTGTAAGCGTCGTGACGAAGAGACGGAAATGTACAGCCGAGGCGACGCGCTAAGTCCCGTAGTCACGTGTATGGCTCTCCGCTTTTGGCGGTGCTGCTTTCATCAGCCCAACTAGCAGCTCATCATCAAATGAGAGGGCCATTCAGCTGACTCCAATTCGAGATCCTGCAGCTTGTGCAACGATTGCGCTAGCTATATGGACCCCGTGGACCACCCCGCAGGTAATCTACCTAGTCTGCAAGCTGTTCCGGCTGCATGCCTCGCCGTGGGCAAGGTTCACCGTACATTGATCGATTCCACAGGAATGATGAGTTCAGACACACAATGCCATCGTGACCGCGGCACGTGTCAGTGTTCTCTAGATCAACGTATTGTGACGCAAAGAGCGCCACAAGTAGTACTCGAGGAATGATCCTGACAGGTTACCTCCCCAACTCGTACCTCCCGCCGAAGCGCATGGTATTGGACGATTCGAGCTCGTCGCCAGTGGAGAGCGCTTGCAATCCAGCGGTGTTCATGACTACCAACAAGCTGGGCCTGAAAGGGCAATCGGGACCGAAAGGTAAAACGAGCTCAACAAACAACGATTTGCGGCAGGTGATGCAGTCGAGCATGAGCACGCTTGGAGCCTGAAGTTACGGTGAGCGACCCGAGATTTGAGAATGCAGGGCTCTGCTCAACAGATGCTGCACTTGGTAAACCCGGTTTTCGATGGGATGACGTTCGTGAAGGGCGACAAGGGGGGGGCGGGATGCCGTGTTTGGCCACTTGAGCAAGCTCAGAAAGTCTCTGCTGATTGGGATTGCGGGAGGGAAATGTTTGCTGAACCCTGAATTAGTACCCTCAAGCGTACCACGGGACAGCCGCTGCGGTGAAGTCGACTCGTTTCTGATAGCAAGCAGTGAGAGTGCAGTATGGCCGCTGCTAGCCTTTGAGACGACTGGACGCAGGACAAGCGAGTTTGCAACCTCGAATTATTGACAGGGAGCACAGCACGTTTATCTCCTTTTCGTTGCACGACCGACGGGGGCGCTTGGCGCTAAACTAGGATAACTTGCATGTGGCACAGAGGAGGAGCCTCTCACGTGGTGAGTCCAGGTCGTGGAGGTTGCTCGGCCCGCGAGACCTTAGCGTTGATAAGCCCTTGGTTCCGCCTTTTGTTTCTGAATACCGCCAAACCTTGATTGCCATTGTTCCTCTGTTTCCCATGCACGGCGGCCCTTCTTCTTCCTCCATCAACATACAGTAGGCCCGTCACCATGCCTCTCGACCCCAAGGACGAGCCGTTTCCCACGAAACAGCTCATCATTATCGGTAGGTGCTGCTGCTCGGCGCGATGATGTCATCGTAAACTGGGGATTTTCTGACCACCGGTCAGGAATATGCCGATTCTCCGAGCCTCTCGCGTTCAATTCCATCCTCGCGTACTCATACGTGATGGTCCAGGACTTGGGTATCCATGAACGCGATGCCTCCTTCTACTCCGGACTACTCGTCTCCGCCTACGCCATCGCTGAGGCCATCACTGCACCGCTATGGGGATCCATCTCCGACGTTTACGGCAGGAAGCCGGTCGCGCTGATTGGCCTCGCCGGTGTCGCGATGTCTAGTATTGTTTTCGGTATGGCAGGCACCTTCTGGGTTGCGCTGCTTGCGCGATTCGTCGGTGGTGCTCTGAACGGAAACGTTGCCATTATGCAGACAATGGTTGCTGAGATGGTCAAGAACCCAGCTCACGAGCGTAAGACACCTTCACAAGATCTTCGCAGATGATGCTAATAATCGTCTAAGCTCGCGCATATGCAACGCAACCATTTGTCTGGACCTTGGGAGGCATCATCGGCTCTGCCATGGGGGGCTTCCTTGCTCAACCGGCGGTCTTCTACCCCAACGCTTTCGCCAAGGATGGTCTCTTCGGGAGGTACCCATACCTTCTGCCCAACCTCGTCGCCGCAATCGGTATCGTCATGGCTATTGTTCAGGGCGTACTCTTCCTGCAGGAGACATTAGTTCGTGAGGAGCCCGACCAGAACGGCGGTATCATATACGGCGACAACATCAATGAGAGGAGTCGCCTACTTCCGGCCCAGGAGCCCCACCAGGTTCCAGGACGCGTTCGTGGCTCTATGGCTGGCTCGATGCGCGGCCCTCGTGGTTCCATTGTCAGCTTGACAAGGGACCGCCTCGGGTCCATGTCAGTCGCTGGCAGCATTCGCCACATTCGCAAGCGCGCCTCTTTCTTGGAGGAGGGTATGCCGGCAGCATTCGACCAGAGGTTCGATATCCGTCGCTCATCTTTCGGTACCATGCACTCGATCAGGGTCACTCCTCACACCGTTCTGCCTACCCGTGGAGCCCCTGCCAAGCCTCGCAACACCTTCAACAAGACTGTTGTCATGATGATCGTTGCGATGTCTATCTTCGCATTCCACCAGATGGCGTTTATCAGCATCCTCCCTGTCTACATCCTAGATGAGCCTGCTACCCGAGGTGTGGACTTCCGTGGCGGTCTTGGCATGTCCCTCCACGACGTGGGTGCATTCCTAGCCATCAACGGTTTCATCGCCTTGTTCGTACAAGGATTCATTTTCCCCATCTTCGTCGAGCATGTTGGCGTGTGGAAGTCGTTCTTCTACATGGTCTTGTTTTACCCCATTTGCTACGTCATCATCCCATTCATCAGCGCCCTTCCTGATGAGTTCATTTCTCCCGGAGTCTACTTTACTCTGCTTCTGCAAGCATTCTTCAGTATCATTGTTTTCCCCTGCTCTCTCATCTTGATGAAGAACGCTGTCCCTTCACCCCTGGTTCTTGGCCGTGTCAACGGTCTGGCCATGTCCGCCTGCTGTCTTGCCAGAACCATTGCTTGTCCTCTTGTTGGCGCTATCTACTCTATCGGTGGCAGCGCTACTGCTTGGTTCGGTCTTACGCTTATGGCTGTGTTCGGAGTTTTCCAGCTCATCTGGGTTCCCGAGGAGGACGTTGGCCCGGTCGAGATCAACAATGGTCTCAAGAAGGTCGTTCACGGCGACGACGAGCACGAGGACGCAATCGACGACATCTCGGTCATCGGATCCGTACGGTAGTCTTCTTCAAAAGCTAGCGATTTTACGCCGGTTCTCCAAAATCGAGGACTGTAATGTCCTCTATTTCTGCATCATTATTCGGCGTTGGAGGCACTTCTCAAGGCTTCACGAGGATTTGATCATGACCAAGCATTCGGTCATGTGAGCATTTCTTGCATAGCGAATCGAAAAGCTTATGGCATTTGCATTAATGTATCGCAATAGATTTGCAAGTACACAAAATTGCCATCTTTTCCACCACTACACGTTTGAACAACACCATACTGTCATAAACTGCCTCCGTCTTCATCCCATGAATCCGCTCCTCACCAGCAATCTTTCGGTAAGCGCAGCGATCGCAGCTGGGTCGTTGCAGAACAACTTCGCTACACTCTCCAACTGCATCCTGGGAATCTCTGGAAGTGCATACACCAAGGTGATCCAGCCAAGGCCAGAGATAATGGTAAAGACCTGTGTCAATGTTAGCATCGTCTCAAACTCTAGCCCAGGCGAATGCCACTGACCAAGAAGAAACGCGATTCGACATTTGGAAAAGCATAGAGAGTCATCTAGAGGTAAACAAGATCTGCCGAAGCAAGGACCAAGTTCGCCAGGGCCACATCATTTTGATCGAGGGCGATTCGAGAATGCTTCACTGTAGAAGGCCTTGCGCCGAACTACAGAGAACGGCGCACACAGTCGTCTCTTTCTCACCGAGGCGTTTGCACTATCTCGAAATGGCGCCGAGGACAGAAAGCGAAGGATACTACATACACGTGTGACGCTCTCTACTCCCAATCTCCACGGCCCCAACATTATTCAAAATCTGAATCAGGAGCCATCCCGTTTTTCCTATTTGCGTCCCTTCTAAGGGATAGCAGCGACAGTTCCTGACCCCGCTGTATCAACGCGCTTCATAAACCACCACACGTGTCTTGGAGTGTGAAAGTCGATGTTGAAACTCGACATATCGTTCAACAGCCACTCTCGCTAACGAAAATCTTGAAACAGTGCTTTGGCGTGTGTGTCATCCAGCGACTGTTTTAACGTGATGAGTCTACTCGCCGGTCTTTAGCCACTTAACACCTCATCGGTCAGCGACTGTATCACCGGCTACGGGGTATTCGTTTTGCGTCGGAAATGCGCTCTGGCTGGCCGTGTCCGGTGTGAGAGTGTTGGAGAAAAGAATTGCGTGTTATGTTCTTGTCTGGATGATTTGTCGAATCAAATCAAAGCTAATGGCTGCCTAAGGGTGAGGGTTGGAGGCGGCGGTGTGTGTCGCGCGATAGTTATTGACATCCCGCTGAGACTTGATGTTCGATAAGCATCTGAGAACTTTGAGCATACATTGTGATCTGGTCGGGTGCCCCGTGACAGAACATAGGGGTAGTTTATGTTGTGTTTAAAAAGTTCTGCACTTGCGATGCTGACCACTGATTGCGCGCTCAGCTTTATGTTACATTGTACAAACTCATCATACAAGTCTTACATCGTACACCTATCCCACACATCGAATCTATGCCTGACACTTCTGCACCTGCTCTCGGATGTAAGCGGGGTACTGGCTCTTGAGCTCCAGGCCGTCCCTCATCTGCAGCTTAGGAAGAGCCTGCACGCTCTCATCCAGCACCTGCTTGGCTCTGCTCTGGTACTCGGCAGCCTCTGCTGCAAGCGGCATGTCCGCGCCCAGCACAACCTTTGATGTCTTCAGCGCATTCCAGATGACCATTGACTCGAACAATCCCTGGCAGTACTGGTTGAGGCTTTCGGTCTGTGTCTTCTTGCCCTTAAAGTCCGCTTCTGTCTTTTTAGCGAGAGCGGATACACGGTCGATCGAGTCCTCAGCTTGGATCGCTGATGGTTCGTGGGTCTTTGGTAGTGCGGCGGTGTTGTTCTGCTTGAGGGCGTTGACGAGGCGGTTGGCGAGGTTCTTCACAACCTCGACATCGCCTTCGTGCTTCTGCGCAACGATAGCGGCCAGCTCTGTAGGTATGGCGATGACAAAGGGCGCACTCCTCCAGTCGGTTGGAAACTGCTTGACGCCCTTCAGAGACGATACGGCGTGGTGCTCCTCTTCCTCCATCAGCTCAACGACCTGTCGCGCATACCGCAGCGCCTTGACAGTCTCCTCCATTTCCCAGTCAGAGTCTGCGGCCCGGTCGTGTGCGCCCTTCAAGGTTCTGAACGCAACGGAATAGTTGCTCAATCGCACTCCCGTGGCCTTGACTCGTTGCAGCGCCTTCAGAACAATATTTTGGTGTCCGTTCTCGTTCAGTTTCCGTACTACAAGCTCCTGCCATTGGGGTTTGACGGCAATACCGGCGCTGTGGAAGCCCTCCAGTACACGAACTAGATTCTCCCAATCTGCTGCTGTTTCGCTCTGGTTGATCACTTCCTGCAGGCTGTCCCATCGGCCCGGTCGCGAGTTGCGGTCGATGAATTCGAGGGGAAGGGTCACGTCGCCTACGGTGACCTCGACAGGTTCGGTCTCGAGCTTTGCGCGCCCCTTCTCCTTGTAGACGAGCTTTTGCTGTTCTCGTGTCAAGTGTTCGGGGAGGAGGACCTTCGAGTTGATCTTGGCGAGTGTAGCTGAGAGTTCGGTGGAGGAGGGCTCAAGGAAGACAGGAAGGCCGCCTACGAGGATGTCAATATGGGGCACAGCGATAGTTGTATGGCTTATGCGCACCCTTTGACCGTGCCACACTCCGCGAGAAAGCGCGGCGCGAGCCATTGGCATAGACAGCGACGCCATTCGAATTGCGCAGTGCCGACTGGCAGCTCCGACGTATTGAGTACATGGTGATGTATGGTTGGTCGCACGCCTGTCCGCTCTCAGATGCGAGGCTCCAGGCTCAAAAGTCTTGCTGACTAACATCTTCTCCGAACACCACCAGCCACAGCGGGAAGCCACGATGAAGCCACACCCCTCTACTGTTAGCGCAGCGTCCACGCTATCGTCGTTGAGATGTCTGCAAAACGATACAGCTGGTATCTCCCATACTTAGAGTCGCCGAGCAGCAAAAGCAGAACCAATACCAAAATGGACAACGAACAAGCCACATTTTGGCTCTCGCAGTTCATTGGCAAGAATCTGCGGATTCATGCCTCTGACGGGCGCGTCTTTGGCGGGCAGATGAAGTGCACTGACAAGGTGAGTCTGCAAGACTGAGGGTACATACAAGGTACTAACGACTGCAGGACCGCAACATCATCTTGTCTCTTGCGTATGAGTATCGTGCGCCTTCTGCTGAAGCCATTCGCAAGGCAGTTGAAGAGTCAGGGAACCCGTCTGCAAAGGTGACTTGGAGCAGTCGCTACGTGGGGTTGATCGTTGTGCCAGGCCAGCATGTCAAGAAGATTGAGTTCGAAGAGAGCACATTGCCAGGTCAAAAGAGCGGGGTCATTCTTTGAGAATATGGTAGGGTCAAAGGTGCGCTTTGCAAAGCCAACGCACACGTGACACGACCCTTTTTACATCCCAGTGTGCCCTTGCATACGACAACGGCCGTTCAAAAAATCGTCGCCTTAGGGACTCGGTTCTACCAACGCCGCCTCATCTCGTCAATACATTCGTTGTCTGCGCACTATCTACTCTAACCAGCACAGCTCTCAGCCGAGACCGCCTGCAGCTACTGGACTGAGATTCACGCTTTCCAGATCCACGCCCTGACTGCTCAGCTCCACAGTTTCAGCGAGACATCATTCACCCTGGCAACCGAACGCACGCCGACACGGGGACCAGCTTGGAACGCACCTCTCCGAACATGACCTGCAGGCTCCTCGAACTGCCAGCAGAGCCCCTAATAAGGATCTGGCGCTACGCCCTCACGAGTCAATCCGGGTATCTACAGTTTAACGGCACCAAGCACCGTTTCGATGCATCAGGCATCGGTGCAGGACTGCTGCTTTCATGCCGCTCGATATCCTTGGAAACGCTACACTTGCTGCTGCAACTGAACACCACGCCTATCGATCTGAGCATTATTAGATACGTCGACTTCTCGGTGCAATGGGCGAGACTGGAGGACTTGGCTGCGAAAAATAACATCATCTTGCGTGCGAAGACGATTCGGCCAGCTGGAGGCAATCGTTCTACGACGCATGAATGTGGACTATAAAAGTCTCCTTGATGTGTCAAGGATGAATCTTGACTGCGCACCTGGCAGACCAGCTGCCTTTTGCAATATGAGTCTAGTGACGAATCTCGCTCTCTTGAATCTATGCACCTTCCCGTTGCCGTCCGAGCCACACACGATACTGCCTGCGTGCACTGGAGGTCCTCCTAAACTCCACGGCGATGCTTGCCATCGAGCCTTCGCATCAGGAGCGAGATTATGGCATGCAACAATCCGGGTGTGAGTGTAAATACCGCTCTAACGAAAGGCGCAGGACGACCTTGCGTCGATCGAAAGAGACGAATAAGTCTACGACAGAATACGACAAGTACCCCAGTCACCCGACAGGAGTCTCGTTTGGTACGTTTAAGTCTAGGGCCTGCAACGGGAAGCGACCCAGGCTAACCGCAATATGGTCCGACGTAGCTTGATGTAGAGTAGCAAAGTCTTGCCATGGAGACAAATTGTACCGCCCTTAAGAAGAAGCATAATTCTCAGAAGCTGAAGACCCGAGGGTGATTTGGATGGCAGAGACGACCGAGCCAGGCATCCGCGACTACAGAAGCCATCGAAAGATAGCGAAAGCAAGAAAGGGAAGCAGCGTAATGACCATCTAGCATCGGTAGAGAGAACATACGTCTGCGAATTCGAAGTTAGTTGAGCGAGCCAACAAGAGTCGCCATAAGATTGCCTCGCGAGCGGTAGAACGTCCACAAGAGCTCTAAACCTAAGCCGTTACGCAGAAGCCTAAGTATATATTGATTTCCCAGTCATGCTTTCCTGTTTGGCATCTGGCTGCGCTGGCCGGGACTTGTCGTCATGATTCGTCTCTGCAACGCGGCTGCCAAAAGGTGTCCAGTGAGTTACCCTGTTGTTATTCATGGAATTGATGTTTGTACTGAATCGTTAAGGGATCAACGGACTAGAGAAGTATTACTATGCTTATGCATGTAACAACACAATTCGCGATGAAGGAGCACACGCGACTTAGCTTCTTTGCCTGCCGCGGCCGCGGCCTGCCCCTTCCACACAAACAAGCTTTCTAACACCAAATAAACCTGCATCTATTTCTGCACTCGAAATCGCATTCCCTTGTGATACTACGCTCACGATCGTCGTCAATCTTTGTAACCAACTGCGGCCCACGCGCGCGACTGATCCAATGTGTACAGTCGGAACAAGCATGCTCTGAGCTCGGCCCCAACGCATTGACTGCATTCTTCGCATGCTCAGCTTCTCGATGCAGGACGAAGGCGATCAGTCTGGTGACGCCACCAGGTGGAGCCAGAGACGCAAAAGTGCCTCTTGATGTTCCTGCGATTGGTGGAGTCATCCGCGCCTGCCCTTGTCAGGCGCAGGATACCCTGTTCGGTCAGCTTCAGCCTCCACAGGAAGCGAGCCCCTCATCTCGTCCTTTTGAATTTCAACGGTCATTCAGAATCGTTAATTACGTTGCTCTTACTATTTGATGCACGTGCTCTATACCTAGTCACACACACAGTCTTATGATGGGCTCGATCAACCCTTGGTTCTGGTCTGGTGTTTCCCTGGAGAGCGTCCAGCGAGAGTGCAAGAGGAATGGAGATAGTTACAAGGCGGGCTACCAAGATGGAATTCAGGGTTACTGGATCACGGTATCGAAAGTCAAGGACCCCAACGCGGATGGAAAACTCACAAAACCGACATTAAGGCACGATCACCGTATCCGATCTAATTCACCTTTGCCACCGATCGAAATCCCTACACCGCGGCAGGTCAGGGATCAAGTGCCGGGAGAAACGACAAGCGTCAAACAGAAAACTGAATCAAGCAACATCACCCGACGGGCCTCGTCCAGGAGGCTTTCTGCCGTTCTTTTAGCGCAGCTTGAGTCCTCTTCCGCGGATGACTCCACTTCAATATGGGAAGGTACAACCGCAGGTGCCCGCTTCGAGTACATCGAAGGAGACATACTCGGTAAAGGCAGCTTCGGTGAGGTGCGCAAAGTCTCTGTCAAAGGCCATATAGGAAGCGTAGCGAGGAAGTCTATGTTCTTACAAAGTCGAAACAAGCGTCGCGCTCAGGATGAGAAGAACAGGATAAAGCGTGAAGTTGAGAACTTGCAGCGCGCAAGGCACAAGCATGTCGTCAATATTCTTGACTGCTATTCGGAGAGGGAGAAAAATCTCACGACCTACTTCCTGATAATGTCACCTGTCGGCAATCAAGACCTTGAAACTCTGCTCGACAAGTTTCCCGGGATGTCACCATCAGACCAAAACCAGTATAGGAGTAGGGTCTCCCAATGGTTCTCATGCCTAGCCTCCGCCCTTGCGTACATGCACAAGGAAGGTGTGCGCCACGAAGATATCAAGCCAAGTAATATCATACACCGCGGAGATACCGTCTACTTCACCGACTTCAGTTCTTCGAGAGTATTTAAGCCGGACTTTGAGACCTCCACAACTAGCACCGTGCAGGCGACGCGCCGGTTCGCTGCCCCAGAAGTCCTTGACATATATGACGAGGAAATCCACATACGAACTGGCAACGCAGAAAAGATTACTAAGGACGGTAGGACCACGTACGAAGTACGTCATGGAAATACGTCAGATGTCTTTTCTCTAGCCTTGGTGTTCGCCGAAATGACATCGGTTTTCAACAAGAGCGTTGCTGCGATGCACGCCTTTGTTCTTGTCCTGGAGAATACCAAACGACAACCTTTGTACCACGAGGTCATTGACAGGTTAAAGAAGTGGTTCACTGAAGAATTGAAATCGGAAAGAGGCCGCAAGCTCTGGCAGTGTTGTTTGCAAGCAATGTTGAAGACGAAGAGAAGATCAAGACCACAAGCGTTGGACGTCGTGCACGCCTTACAGCGTGAGAAGCCAGTCGGCAAGTTCAAAGATGATGGTTGTCAGGCATTGTTACCTCCCGCTCCAAAGCTGAAAACTGAATCGTCTCGACCAAAGAAGCGAGAAGATACCGCTATGAGAACCACGGACACTGCTGCGACGAGGAAGAGAAGTGACCAGGCAGGCGTAAAAATCGAAGGGGCTCATGAGACAGAACCACGTAAAGCTAAAACCGGCAAATCGGAAAAGAAGGCAAGCGGTGTTGATGCACCGAGAAAGACACAAGTGGAGAAGGGTTCGACAACCAAGAAGAGAGATGGCGAAGACGTGAAGGTATCCAAATCTTTAGATCAACAGAGGAAGGTCGTGCAGGCCACACCCGGGTAGATGTACAATGGGTGTGTAGTACTTGTCTCCCTCCAATTGATGTCGATCTGAGTTTGAAGACAACTCGGTACCTTACGCTTTGCAATGCACTGAGTCACGGAACGGTCCTCTCGGCTTTTACGAAGTACACCCCTCCACCCCGCATCGCACCTTGCGCGTCACGGATTAGTTCCCGCATCTTCATCTACATCCATCTGTACACCCAACACCATCTTCTGGCTCAATAAAAAAATCCGCATGCACACTCCACGATGCCAACAAACGCGGTCAGGAATCTGCACGGCAAAACCGTGCTGATCACGGGCGCGTCCTCCGGTATCGGCCGCTCCTGCGCCTTCGAGTTCGCGCGCACATCACCCCATTCCATCAACCTCATCCTCACAGCACGGCGCGTGGATAGATTGCACGATATCTCTCAACAGATCATCTCAGAGCTAGGCAGTGGCGTCAAAATCTACGTAGTGCAACTCGACGTCAGCAAGCCCTCTGAAGTGTCACAACTATTTCGCGATCTGCCAGAAGACTTCAAAGAAGTCGATGTTCTCGTCAACAATGCGGGATTCATGAGCGGGTATGAGCGTGCGCCAGATATCCCAAATCAAGTCATTGAGGATGTGTGGGCGACGAATGTCACGGGGTTGATTCAAATGACGCAGGAGTTTCTCAGGATTGCGAAGAAGAGACCGGAGGGTGGGAGGGGAGACGTCATCATGCTGGGGAGTATTGCGGGGAGGGAGGCATATCCCAGCGGCTCGGTGAGTGGAAACACGGCTCCGAAATGGGCTTATGAGGCTGTTCGAAAGGGAGATCTGGCAAGCTGATTATGTGATGTGTAGATCTACTGTGCGAGTAAAGCGGCTGTGAGAGCTTTCACCGAGGCGCTGAGGAGAGAGTTGATAGATACCAAGATTCGGGTTATTACTGTTGACCCAGGGCAAGTCTTCACGGTAAGGACATCCAATTGTGAGTTTATCGACGATGAGTGCATGTACTGATGAGCATGCAGGAGTTCACTATAATACGAAACAGAGGTGACGAAGCATCTGCAGAAAAAGTTTACGAGTAAGTCGCCGGCCTATACTATATGTGCATTGGCCTGATCCGCAACAGGGGCTGCAGTCCATTGACTCCTGAAGATGTCGCCGAAGTCATCGTCTTTGCGGCCAGTAGAAGGGAAAATGTCGTGGTGGCGGACTCTATTCTATATCCGAATCATCAGGTCAGTTCCTTCGAGAAAGTGAACGAACAAATTATACTGACTTTATCAGGCATCGTGGCAGGATATACATCGCAGAGAGCAGAAGCCACACAATTAAGAGCATGGTCTATTGGGGACTCACACTGAATCATATTGCGTGGCCATGAGTTTGAGTTTCGGGGTTGACGCGTTCCAGTTCTCGCTGAGCCAGCATCTCCTGCCGTTCCATCGGGAAACCTTTTCTTGCCATGCCAATAGGGTAGCTGGGAACCATGTCTTCTTGCACTTCTCCTCTTACACCCCTTCCCAAGGTCCTACGATCAGCGACAACGACTTTTTTGTTTCCAAATTCGTCCCACCCCAAAGCTCTTTGAGCAATCTACCAGCCAGCTTGCTTCTTGCTGACTCGGTTCATAGCTCTAGGAACACAGACACACTCGAATTCATCCCTGCTAGAGTTTCTAAATTTGATTAAGGGCATCTAATGGATATCTTTCGGGTTTATGAGAGGCTGACTCTTCACATTCAACATGTGTTCGAGACACTTGTTGTAAAAACCATCGTGAAGTAACTTGTGGGACCGATAATTGTTGAGTACACGCCGCCTGAACCGAAAGCAACAAATGCTGCAGTAGTCTGGTACTTCCTCGAGCTCATAAAGTCCGAAACTGAAGACACAAGTGAGCATCTCAGAGTAGACAGAACCGAGGGAGATGATGTCTGCAGTCCGAGCTGGTAGGTCAGACTTTTCCAGACAAAAGACATGTCCACAGTCCACTAGTAGTGTCAAAAAACCCTTCGCACGGCAGACTACCTTGGTAGCAACCGAAGTCAGTAATGAAGATATGAGGCCCGCGGCATGAGGATTTGACAGAGTCATTGTGTCTGTGCATAATACCATGCTCATGCGGATAGGCGAGCGCAGAGAAAGAAAGGAGTGGTTGGCGCGCGCTTTGGAGACATCGGCTGGTGTACGACGTAGGACCTCAAAGCTTCGGCCTACCTCGCCTTGGTAGTTCGATCTCATTCATGTGGATCTTGATTCCCATCATCTCTGGTGACTCGATGAGGCCAAGCTTGAGGACTCGCTTCGGGCCTTCGCCGACACGTTGGTCGTGTAGGCTCACATAATAGGGTGAGATAACGATGGTAATCGAAGTCGCAGGTAAATTCAAAGGGGAGGAGACTGCATTGCTGAAATTTCTCAGTTAGTCGTCCCTAACTAATACCTCTCAGTCTTTGCTGAGCATCCCGAGTCTCTGACGCCAGGACTTGGAGACGCATCCCGACGCAAGTCTGTTCGCTGAACCGTCATTTTTGAGCCGTTTGTAGTTCTAAGTATTTGGATTGCTGTAGTAGGTTTCTTTGCCTAAAGAGATCCTATCTGCGGTGGTATCAATGAGTACATTGCGCATGAAAACCTATGTGACAATCTGACTTAACCTGCTAGCCGCTTATTTTTGTAAGAAAGATTTATGAAAGACTTGGGGAACGAATCTGAATTTCTACCCTCCGAGACAAAATTGTCCTGTGGCTACAAGACGGGAAAAATCTCATTTGTTGTCACTTCGAACGTCTTCTTTTCGACACTTTGGTGTCGTGCCACAGATCATGCAAGTCATGAGCCATGGTGACAAAAGTGCCGATCACAGACGCAGCCATGAATATGAACATGACAGGATGCTGAATGGCAACAAAAGTTATCGTCCACGCAACCATGGCATTGATCGGCCAGTAGAACTGCCAAAGGACCTCCCATATACTTCTGAAGGTGTACCCAAAGCGGTCTGCAGCAGTCGTCGACAAGATTTGCTCCCAATTCTTCCGGATAGTTTCGGTATCAGGGCCCGTCAAGAGATTATCTCGAAGACTAATCCGGTTCCTGAAGAAAGCATGGAGATCTTTTGATTTCGCGTCGTACGGATTTTCTTTGTTCATGAAAGCCACCCACCTCGCCACATATGCTTGTGCAGGTTCTTTGTTGATCTCGAACCATTCGCCGTGTTTTTTATTACATACTGCGCATTTGTAAGGCCGACAAAGATCGGAGATGTATGTGTGGATGAGGATCTCGGTCCGAAAATAATTTTCGACTTCCACACTTCCTACAAGCTCCAGCTGAAGTCCACAGGAGAGATTGAGCTGACCCATCCGCTTAAGTGTTTCCTTGGTTCTCCCGATCTTATGAAGATGAGGTCTTTTCGGGTCAGAGAATATGTAGACACACCCTCTCTGATCCTTTGGGGTGAGCTTTTGTCCAAGCTTCTTTTTAAGTCTGTCATGAAGTTGTACGCTCCCTGAGTGAAGATCGGAGGGTGGCTCTCCCTCCGGATAGATCCCATCTTCCAAGTCAATCATCATGCCGTTGAGCATTGTCGCTCGACTAGTTGATGTGTTTACTGACTCTGCTCCTGCCGACCTTTTCTCGTTCTCACTATAGAGAGATCTGCATGGTTTTTCCTTGGAGGCGACAACCTTTATTGGCTTCTCATTTGTTGCATTCTCTCTGGATTGAACGATACGCTCGGGCGTAGGCTTAGCCCTCTTACTAAGGGGAATTTGCAAGCCGACGGGAGTTTTTGGATGGTCGTAACTCAGCATCACCACCGATTCTGACTTTGGAGCAAGTGGTCGGCTCTGCTCTCCAATGTATTGAGGCTCGTGTCGTATCGATATTGGGGTCTTGCGCTTGCGTGGGGTTAAACTATCGATTGTAGCAGGTGAGCGTAAGCGAGGAGAAGGGTTATCTGCAGTTCCGTGGCCTGTAGAGGGTGGAGATGGCAGCGCTTTGGGGGAACGAGGTTGGGATGAAGCCATAGTGCTGTGGATGCTCGAAGTTGGACACTGGTATAGTCAGGAAATGCCGCGATTGGAATTACATGAATTATGTATTCCTTACCAGAGTGGCTATGCTCACCACATGTGAACTAAATAGTGTTTCAGCAAACGAGGCTGAGCAGCGAGCTGGAGTATCGCAGTGCTGCAAACCGGCCCGTTCTGAAGACAGCCACATAGCCAAGTAAAATGAATCTGCACTCAACTGGTCATCTCTGACCAGTAAATGATCTGGAAAGTCCACGACTTGCTGTCTGAGAAAGCTTGTCATGTACGAGTGATGCTCCACCAACGCTATACGTATCTTGCGTTCCTTGGTACTAGTTGGTTGTGTAATCCTCATGAGCTGGGAACGGAATGTGAGAAGAGCGCAAGTGTTTCAATCAACGCCACAAGTGACAGATTTGATCCTTTGGGATGCCGGTGTATGGTCCTATCTATAGGGTGATGCCATTGGGTGGTGCGCACGGTGATGCTCGAGCCTACTGGACGAGCTGTAGCACACTACCAACAAGCGAGACCTCATCTTAATCACCTAACCGAGCCTGCGCATAGGTAAAGGCTTTTGCATTTTTCCGGCAGGCCAATGCTTTGCGATCGGTTCTCGCGCTGATCCACGAAGGCACCGCTTGCTTCTTTTCTCGAACTGCTGCGTATTGGCCAGCCACTCCTATGGTGAAGTTGTTCTCCAGATTTACCAATCCGCAATGGAGGCGACGAACCTTTGGCCTGAGCTAATGCGAATGACGTGCGATCATGATCCAACCCTTCCAAGGTTGTTTCAGGCTGCTATACTGTCATACTGTTGGCATGACTGGGGTCGAGCGCGCCGTGCCGCAAACCCGCGAATGCAAATCAATCGCGTCCAATCAGTTCCAGAGCACCTCCCAATCGGGATTTATTGGAAGGAACATTGCAACATCCTTAGGCTTGGTAATCGAAAGCCTGGTCCCAGCCCCTGCATAATGTTCATGCTCTACACGCTGCACAAGCTCGAAAACGTCGAGATGGCAGCTGCTGCGGGTCGGTATCTACGCTTAATGCTGAAAAACAATGATGAGCCAAAAAGATTTCTTACTTAAGTAAAGCTAACGGGTCTTCATGTACCTCGGGATACAAAAGGGCCTTGTAAACGTGCCTAAGCTTCTAAAAGCTTGCATGATCTGCCAGATTTCCACGGCGTTTACCATCTGCTGGTATGCGGGGTAGGAGATGCACATAAAAGCTGAGGTCGAACCTCTTCCGGAGACCTTACTTCTTGTTCTACTGTGTCTACAGGCCTACTGCTAACGTGCTACGGAGATGACCCCAGGAAGGCAGCGATGGACCTGTCGTTGGAAAGAGCACAATTGACTGAATTGTGCCCAGGCGTCTCGCACTGGTCGCAGTATTGAGTGACCTCGAAATCTGACTTCGCCTTGGCCTTTATCTGAATCGCGGCTGCTCGCAGTATGTCCTGGATGACACCGTCTAAGACTGTGTTGAGCAGATATCCCCTAGAAGGCGCAAACTGATGCCAATTACTATTGAGAGCCGAGAGAAGAGCCACAAAGAGGGTCACCGTAGTATCGTTGTTCGTATTGTGCAGAAACCGAGACCCCGCTGAGCCCCGACCAAAATAAGGTCAACGATGTCCGCCTTGTGGATGTCGGTACCGTAGTTTTTTTTTTGACGAGCTTGATAATCAGCTGCAGCTATAAGTTAGATTGACATAAATGCCGGTGCTTACTGCAATCTACGGCTATATCCTGTATCTGTAGATTTTAGTACTACGTCCAGTTGACAATGTCGTGTAAAACAAGGTAATGATCTTGGACCACAGTCTCCTTTCATTTGATTAAATCATTTGATTGAGCTTGAAGTCCTGACGTAGAAGCTAGGTCTACGGTCAAGATATACCAGCAAGCAGACAAATGCCCATAATAAGAGATCAGTGTCCCTGCGTTCGATTTAAGGTCGCCTGCAGTCTTAGGCTTGAGCTACAAACAAGATGGTTGTGAGAATCCGGATCTAGTGTGCAACCACCCAGTCGATTCTTGTCGGGTTCCTAGCAGCGATTCTAGATCAACCTGCAGGTCAAATGAAACAATGTGCACCACACACCCGTGAGACCTTGCGCACTTTCCTCTCCAACTCTATCGAACAGTGCACCTGCTCAGTTCTCCTCCTTCTTCTCCTCCCCCTTAGCGGATCGCTCCTCCCACTTCTTACGCCTGCTCTCCCTAAATTCCGCTATGGCCATCATCTCCTCGCACGCTGCACCGATGATTTCATCCTCGCGATCGATCGCCTCGTCGTCGAACTTGTCGAGGACCTCGTCGATTTCTTTCTTGGACATGCCTTTCCTGACGCACTTGTAGTACTTCTGGCGACGCTCAATCTGCCACTCGACATCCAGGCGAGCTTGAATCGTGCGAATAGCCGGACTGTTCCTGATGTACTTTGGTATTTCGCCAGCCATGGTCGGTCTGTTAATATCTGTTTGGCACAAAAAAAATGGAGATTTCTACCGTTGCTTTAGGAGGTTTGTAGATGTGCTGATGATGTTTACGGGAAACTGTAGCAGGGTACCTATTTATCTATCCCAGAATAATGCGCTGTAATAAATGGTACGTCTCCAAGATACGTGTATGCAATAACTCAGCGGTGGCGATTAAGGTAATACCTCGCCAGCACAGTAAATCCGGTGCTGTCGAAGCGAGTCGGACATCGCGTCTTCATTCGTTGGGCGCGAGGTCTCGTTGTCATCTCCGCACTCGTACTCCAACGCCTGCGTCAATCGTGCCAGCACATTCTCGTCGTCATCTCCGCAATCGTACTCAAACGTCTGCGTCAATCGCGCCAGCGCATTCGTGCAATCGTGCATTCCATACAGCGACCTAGCCCAGTGTGAATTATGGAATGCGGGAGCATCGCCAAATGTCATTCTATTCAAAAATAAATCGATGCGAGCATCGAAAGACTGCTTTCTTAAAGCGGGCGCGACCCTCATCTGACAACGGCTTGACAGCCGGTGGCCACATGTACATGCGGGATCTACCTTCTTAGTACCAGTATTTATCTACGCTGGAGACCTGTAGCACCAAACACGTGGATCCACCGATATCTCTTGACGGCGGGATGATGGTGGTCATAAAGGAAGAAATATACAAGCGGCAGCACGCATATATTGCAAGACCTGTGAGGGTGAGGAGAATAGTGGAGGTCGTGAAATGCAGAGACAGTGTGCGCAGGCCATCGATATAGTACGTGGAGTGGAAGCGGAAAAAATAAAAAAGTCGTGGATGCATATCACAGGGCTAAGCTATGATATTGACGGTTAGTAGCAGTGCGGATGTTGGGGGTTTGGAGGAGACTTGAAGCAAATTTCCGTATCTTTTCACTGTTCGTGTTTCTCTCAGTGGAAGCGGGCAGGACTCTGTGATGAGTGTAGAAATTGGAGGATAACGTAGCTCTGAAAATTCACGGTCTTTTACAGGAGTCGATTGGTGGCGATGTGGTGGATGTTGGAGCAGCGTGCCGTACTTTTCTGTTGCGCCAGATCGCTGATTATCAGAGCGGACACGTAATGTCAGTCTTGATTTAGAAGCCCCTTTCGAGGAGTGCCTGGCAGTTCTTGTCCCGGTGATTGTCGCGTTGCGAAGCAAAGTGGTGCAGGGCTGGAAAGCACAAGATTTCACTGCAAGGTCGACGACGATTAGACAGAAATATGTACAGCAGCCACATTCGTGGCAACATAGAGTGGTAGAGAGAGTCCTGATAGTATGCGCTGTCGTCAAGGAACAGTAGTCGGGCCATCACGCCTCGCTGCGGCTCAGGAGGGGCGTCAATGGTCGACGATGTGGGAAGCTAGATCAGGAAGATAGTAGTCTTCTCTCGGTTCCACGGGCAAGGATGGCCGCGGAGAGCCGCCTCCTCTTCTGAAAACTCCTCTTTGTCTGATGTCGATTCATACGCACGTTCACCTGAGTCCTTTGGACGTGAATCTGCCTTGGATGTATCGTAATCGGTCCAGGTGTCGTACGTACCCACTCTTCTCCAGTATCCTGGCCCATGCAGCACCGGAGTAATGATTAATCCAGACGCGTGATGGTCCCATGTCCTGCCGGAGGTGTAGCTCCGTCGTCTAGAGCAGATCTGCAGAGCCTACAGATTGCCGTGGATGACTGGGATGGTGCCCGGATACCATCTGCCACGTATAAACGGATACCACTCATGTACTGACCATCCAGGTGAAGCGATGAAGTACTCTAGTGAAGGGATGTAGTACTTTGGGTTCTTGACTGCAAGGGTGCAGTCTCTTCCTCCGCGGCTCCCGAAATCGATCATACAAGCCTCGATCTGAATGGAATGCTCAGATAGATCTCGAGCAGTAATTCTCGCGTCATCTGGCGCAGATGGCTCTTGCAGGACGATTCTCGCGTCAGGGATACTGCAGGAATCTTCCCAGTAGACTCCCGCTTTGGTGTTTAGCCAGCTCCAGGAGGGTTCCCCAAGCTCTACGGTCTCTAGACCTCTCTCGGGGCCGCTTGCGAGCCACAGAAGATCTTTGCTGAGTAGATGAGTGCGCAGGCCTTGCACAATTGTCCACCCTTGCGCCTTCTCAACCTCAGTGGTCAGGCCTTGGAACGCTGGCCACTTGTCTTTCCAAACGTTAGTTTGCAAGCCGAATATTCCCGTATGATGCCATGCCATGACTTATTGACTGTCTCTTTCGTTCGTGTTTCTGTCGAGCAGCTTTGAGAATGAGCAACGTCGCATGTTAATATCGTGCGCAGTAGGACCTTTGCAGGCTTCGGTACGTCGACATGCCCATGACACCATTTCAGAACCAAAATAAGCGTCCTTGATGATAAACATCTTTTCTGCACTGCCCAGGCCCTATCAGACAGCGGCTGATAAGCGTACAGCCGTAGGCCATGTTTCCCCTCATATAGAGGACAGGCTGTAAAAACGAGAGCATCTCTTTCAAAAAACAGCCCGTCATTGCCATGTCGAGTGCCAGTGGCGGCGACTGTGCACGTGGAATGTCGATAGATGTCGCCCACGTGGAATGTCGATAGATGTCGCCCACGTGTAATGTCGATAGATGTCGCCCACGTGGAATGTCGATAGATGTCGCCCACGTGGAATGTCGATAGATGTCGCCCATCCTTGCTGCCCCATATTTCCAATCTTGATCCGAGTCTTGTAGGATGCACAGAGAATCTATCCAGACGTGACGATAACCTAGCGAATTTGTAGTTTGCAAAGTCTCTCGAAACGTTTTGGACAGGTCTTGCAGTGGTATACCATTCTGAAACACGCTGAGCATCTTCTGTGGGAGGGATACTGGCTTGGCTTTGACGTCTTCCCAGCAATGCGAAAGTGTCAGGTATGGTGTGTGAAGCGGTAAGCCGCCTCCGAGGACCAGACGGGCAAATTGCAATGTGCCATCCTGTGTGACGAATTGCAATGTGCCATCCTTTGTGACGAATTGCAATGTGCCATCCTTTGTGACGATCTCGATCAGCCTTGATGGCAAAAACTTGGTTACGACAGAACACACTCCTTCATCTTCAGATTGACATTCGAAAATGCGCAAAGACTGTGTGAGCATATCGCGGCACGGGGCACACCATGACGCAAACCCCGGTGTATCGCTTTCGGAGCGATGACGAGTCTGGATCTGTCTCGACAACCATGCAGAGTAGCCACGGGGTGGGGATTGGCCATGTATAGGTTTCAATCGGGAAAGGGCCTCATCCGTCTCAGGTTGCTCGAATGTCGGTATTCCTGCTTCTGTACACGGAACATCGAGAGAGGAAGGAACGATGTGAGAAGGTTCGGTATTCGTGTCAGCACCAACCAACACCAACAACAACACCTCAGCACTGCAGGGGCAACAGGCAGACAGCCTCCACACCCAGTAGGAAGCCGCCTGCGGGATGCGGAGATCGGGATGCGGAGATCAAGGCTGCCCCGGCCTGCTCGCAAGCGCACCAGCTGCTTCTCGTGCAAGCGAAAATGGCAGCATCCCTGAATGGCAAACCGTAGCTGGCGAACAGACAGACGGACGGGCAGGCAGGGACATGGACATGGACATGGACATGGACATGAAGATGGACACAGACAGGCAGACAGACAGACAGGCAGACAGGCAGACAGACGGACAGACAGACAGACAGACAGACAGACAGACAGACAGACAGACAGACAGACAGACAGACAGACACGGACAGGGACATGGACAGGGACGTGGACATGAAGATGGACACAGACAGACACGACAAGGCCATAAGAATAACTACACCGTCATGCATCTACGTACCGAGACCCAAAAGTGAAAACGCCATTGTCGCTAATAGTCATCAAAACACACTCATCAAAACACAGTCGTCATACACTCCCCACGCAAAGGGTCAACGATCAAAACTCCCCCCCCCCACCACCACCAAGGGCAGCAGCACCCCACACCCCCACAAGCCCCCAGACCCCCACCCTCCAGCCGCGCCACAAGCCATGCACACCCTGCCCGCGCCTCGTCCTGACGGGTCTCTGAAACCCGGCCTTTTTACTCGAGGCAGCAGCAGGAGGAGCGGGCGTGACACCCCCCTCCTCGCGCACAATGTACCACGCCGTGCCAAGCACGCCGCGGAACGGCCCGGGTGTCACGACGGTGTGGAAGCGGCGCAGACTCGTGTCCTCGAGCGGCCTGCGCAGGATCGGCGGCGCGGGGGTGAAATAGTCCCCTTGACCCCCCGCGGGCTGCTGGCGGTACTCGGCGGCCAGACGGCGGTTCTCGTTGTCGTGCAGGACCGCGACCTGGCCGCGGCGGAGTATTGTTTCGAGCGGGAGGCGCGCGAACAGCTCCACCGTCGACGAGAGCAGGGCGGCGACGCTGTAGGTCGAGGGTGTGAGGAGGGGGTCGACTGCGAGCGTCGAGCGGAGGAGGAGCGGGGTTGACGAGGAGATTAGCGTGGGGATGGCGGCGTGCAGCACGGTTGCTGGGAGGAGAGCAGACGGCACCGTCATCGATGGCAGCAGCGCGAGGCAGGGGTAGATGGAGCGCGGCGCTGAGGCGACGGGGGTCACGATCAGCCGGGTGCGGATCAGATCCAGCGGCGCGAGCACTGTGGCTGCCATGGCTGTGGCGGCGACGGCGACGGCGAGCGACATGAGTGGCGACGGGCTATCGAGTATATCGAGCCGGGACGTCATGGCCGCGGCGCCCGCGGCGCCCGGGTCGGGGATGTTGAGCAGCGCCGACAGGGCGCTGCGGAACCAGCTCTCGGTCGTCTTGAGCAGGAAGTTGTAGATGAATGTGCAGTTGGTGCCCTTCCACACGCCCCACGCCGACTCCTTCTGCCACAGCTGTGCCACCACGTCCAGCAGCGCGTCGGGCCGCCTGAGGTCCAGTCTGCGCGCAGGCGGCGGCGGAGGGCGCGTGGGCGTCGCCGAGCGCGAGCGGCTGCGCGTCTTCTTCTGGAGTCGCTTGCGCGGCGAGCGCGATCTCGACGGCGAGTGTGACGCGGGCGCAGCCGAGGTGAAGTAGTCCAGCGCGTCGTCGTCCGACTCGTCCGACTCGTCCGACTCGTCCGACTCGTACTCGTCCGACGGGTGGCCGCCGAGTCGCGCGCTGGCAAAGCTGGCCGCGCGCGGGCCGTCGCCCCCGCGCGCCTCGTGCACCTGCAGCAGCGTCTTCGCGACGTCAAAGGGCTGGGCCAGCAAGACGCTCGTGTAGTTCCACAGCGCCTGGTCGAGCAGCTTCTTGGCGTGCGACGCGACGGTCGGCGCGGCGCCGGGGAAGTAGCTGTCGTAGTCGAGGTCCGACAGCATGTCGCGCGCCTGGCTGCCGAGCGACATGTTGGGCGGCGACGAGCTGCGCGCACTGCCAGCAAGCAGCGGCGCGCTGCTGCTCGCGGCACCGCGGGCCTGCGGCGCGAGGTCGGGCGCCAGGCCTATCGACGGCGGCACGTAGTACGGGCGCAGCGGATTCGGGGCATCGCGCGACAGGGGCAGCACATCGGCCATGTGGGCGGTCGGGCGGCGAAGAGGGGCTCGGATGCGTGTCTGCGGCGGAGGTGGTGTGCTGGACGACTGTATCGCTGAATGTCCAAGACCGCCGCGGGTGAGCGCCGCGGGTGAGCTGAAGAGATGCGCAGTCCATGCGTCATCCGCGCCGACGTATCACAACGCCGCCGATGCATCACTGCGCCGTCGTTGTCGCGCTGCAGCTTTTCCACTCCCACGCCCTCGACCCTGCATTTCCTTGATTCGGCCTGCACCATGGCGTCCAGGAGCCGCTTCGGCACCGCGCTGCGCTGCAGCGAAAAGTCCCTGACGCGCTGCAGCGAAAAGCCCCTGACGCGCTGCTGGGAAAAGTCCCTGACGCGCTCCAGCGCGCGCAGCCCACGATGCTTCTCGAGCCAAGCCCGCCGCTGGCCGTCACCGAGCAGGCCGGCACGGACGCCGGGGCTGCAGCAGCCATGGCGCACTGCGAGGGCGCTCTCGTCGAGTCCCGCGGCTCGCCACGCGCACCTCGACAAGCCGCAGCCAGGCGAGGAGTGCGCAGCTCGAACCCCCCACGCCCGCTCCGCTCTGGCTAACGCCGCACAGACTGCACGTCAGCTTCGTCGACAAGGACGGCCATGCGCACACGTTCCAGGTCAGCGCGGGCGACAACCTGCTCGACATTGCCCAGGCCAACGACCTCGAGATGGAGGGCGCGTGCGGCGGCTCCTGCGCGTGCTCGACCTGCCACGTCATCGTCGCCGACGAGGCCAAGTACGAGGCCATGGACGAGCCCGACGACGACGAGAACGATATGCTGGATCTTGCATTCGGGCTGACGGAGACGTCGCGTCTGGGATGTCAGGTGAAGATGAGCAAGGCGCTGGATGGGCTGGTGGTCAAGCTGCCTAGCATGACGAGGAATCTGCAGGCGAGTGACTTCAAGTAGATGAAGACTGACTGGCAGTCCATGTAGCATACGGAACATGTAAAATACGCATAACCTTGTGTGGTATCACGTCTGGTCACTTGTCACGTCTGGTCACTTCTGATATCTTGTCGCTTCTCACGTCTTGTCACCTCTGATATCTTATCACTTCTCACGTCTTGTCACTTGTCATGTCTTGTCACCTCTCACGTCTTGTCACCTCTGATATCTTATCACTTCTCACGTCTTCTCACCTCTCACATCTTCTCACCTCTCACGTCTTGTCACTTGTCACGTCTTATCACTTCTCATGTCTTGTCACTTGTCACGTCTTGTGTAACTGCCTGGTGCAGTGTCAGATGGAGGCTGGGATCAACAATTGTATTGCTATCTGTTGTCGTGTTGTGATGTTTGTGTACGGAGCTCTCAGCTCTGAGGTAAGTGCACTTGCCCACTGGGCGGTACCTTCTACAACAAGATATCATGTGACTTCACCCACGTGGTTACATCTTGTCACCTCTGATATCTTATCACTTCTCACGTCTTGTCACTTCTCACGTCTTGTCACTTCTCACGTCTTGTCACTTGTCACATCTTCTCACCTCTCACGTCTTGTCACTTCTCACATCTTATCACCTCTCACACCTTCTCACCTCTCACGTCTCATCACTTTTCACATTACAAGTACGCACAAGGTCGTCTAATAGTTTCAGCTATGCCTCCACAGACGGCTCCTTCCCCTCCTTCCCCCCCGTGATCATGTCCAGGAAGCCCTGCTTGCTCATCTCCTTGACCTTGTCCTCGCGCTTCGCAATCCCCACCACGTTCCCCTCGCGCGCCTGCTGCTCCGCCATCTCGCCCTTGACCTGCGCCGCCCGCACCGCGTTGAACAGCTTGATCACGCCCTTTTGTGCCGTGCGCCGCAGCTCCTTCTCCTTGGCCGTCACCGCCGCCGTGCTGACCGTGTCCTGCAGCCCCAGCACGTCCTTGACCCGTCCCTTTTCGCGCAGCGCCCGCTTCTCAGCGAGGATCTGCCGCCGCGCTTTCTCGTTCAGCTTGCTGTCTGCGAGCTCCCGGTTGGCTGTCTGCGCATCCTTGGAGCGCGACAGGATGGGCTCCGACCGTTTCGTCGAGGTCAGCTTGGTGTTGAGGATGCGCGAGATGGATGTCGCGAATGCGTCGGGGTCGTTGCGCTTCTTGACTTTGCGCGCCGCTGCCGTCGATGTTTCCGAGGCGTCCGAGTCCGAGTCTTCAATGTCGAACTCGTCTGCCTCTTCCTCCTCTTCCTCTTCCTCTCCCTCCTCTTCCTCGTCACCGCTCGGCGAAGACTCGTGCGCTGCATCGGCTGGAGACTCGTGCGCTGCATCGGCTGGCGCAACCTTCGCCGGCATCGTCATTTTATGCTTGGGCTGTACTTTCAACGCCGACTTCAGCGGCTTCGGCTTCGGCTCGACTGCATTCGCACCGGACGGCTCAAACGGCTCCTCCGCCTCCTGCTGCCTCGGCGCCTTGTAGTTCTTGGGCGCATCGGTCGCGACGTTCTCATCGCCAGACTCGTCTGAGCTGTGGTAGTACTTCTGCCGCTTGACCTTCTTCTTCTCCTTCTTCGGCTGGCCCTTGCGCATCTCCGCCTCCGTCCGTCGGCGTTTAAGTGATGTGTTTACCATTGTGGTTGTGGGTGTTTGCTGTTGTGATGTTGGACGGCGAGCTCGCGTCCAAACTTTTTTTCCACCAGACGTCGGCGGTCAGGGTTCAATTCGCCGACGCCAAGCAGGGCTCAGTTCACCGACGCCAAGCAGGTCTCAGTTCACCGACGCCAAGCAGGACTCAGTTCACCCACGCCAAGCAGGACCCACCCTGCACGCTTCCCCACCGAACATCAACATCGCCGCACCTCCACCACCGCCGCATCTCAAGCTCTCCACCACACACCGCAGCCATGGTGCTCCAAGATCTCGGGCGGCGCATCAATGCCGCCGTCTCGGACCTCACCCGCTCGCCGAACCTCGACGAGAAGGCCTTCGAGGCCATGCTCAAGGAACTCTCCAACGCTCTCGTCGAGGCCGACGTCAACGTCAAGCTGGTCATGAACCTGCGCCAGTCGGTCAAGCGCACCATCGACTTCAAGAACCTCGCCCCCGCCGTCAACAAGAAGCGCCTCATCCAGAAGACCGTCTACGACGAGCTCGTCAAGCTCGTCGACCCGCACGCCGAGCCCTTCAAGCCTAAGAAGGGCAAGCAGAATGTCATCATGTTCGTCGGTCTGCAGGGTTCCGGAAAAACAACGTCGTGCACAAAGCTGGCGCGCTGGTACCAGGCGCGCGGCTTCAAGGCCTGTTTGGTCTGCGCAGACACCTTCCGCGCCGGTGCCTTCGACCAGCTGAAGCAGAACGCGACCAAGGCGAAGATCCCCTACTACGGCAGCCACACCGAGACGGACCCAGTGGTCGTCGCAGCCGAGGGCGTGGAAAAGTTCAAGAAGGAGCGCTTCGAGATCATCATCGTGGACACGTCCGGACGCCACAGCCAGGAGCAGGACCTCTTCGACGAGATGGTGCAGATCCAGAACGCCGTGCGTCCCGACCAGACCATCATGGTCCTCGACGCCACAATCGGCCAGCAGGCCGAAGCCCAGGCCCGCGCCTTCAAGGACGCCGCAGACTTTGGTGCCATCATCATCACCAAGACCGACGGCGCCGCCGCAGGCGGAGGCGCCATCTCCGCCGTCGCCGCGACCCACACGCCCATTGTCTTCCTCGGAAACGGAGAGCACATGCTCGACCTCGAGCGCTTCAGCCCGCAGCCCTTTGTCTCCAAGCTGCTCGGCATGGGCGACGTCGCCGGCCTCGTCGAGCACGTGCAGTCGCTCAAGCTCGACCAGAAAGACACCATTAAGCACATGGTCGAGGGCAAGTTCACCATCCGCGACCTGCGCGACCAGCTCTCCAACGTCATGAAGATGGGCCCGCTGAGCAAGATGGCGGGCATGATCCCGGGTCTCAGCAACATGATGGGCGGCATGGACGACGAGGAGGGCAGCCTGAAGCTGAAGCGAATGATCTACATCTGCGACTCCATGACGGAGAAGGAGCTCGAGTCCGACGGCAAGATGCTGGTCGAGCAGCCCACGCGCATGACCCGCATCGCGCGCGGCTCCGGGACGAGCGTCCGCGAGGTCGAAGAGCTGCTCACGCAGCACCGGATGATGGCCGGGATGGCAAAGCGGGTAGGACGAGATGATGGCCATTGTGATTTGTACTTTACTGACAATTTTTCCAGATGGGCGGCATGCAGAAGGGTATGCAAAAGGCGCAAGGCGCCATGGGCGGGCTCAACCAGAAATCACAGATGGCCGCCATGCAGCGGCGGATGCAGTCCATGGGCGGCGCGGGTCGCGGGGCCCCTGGTGGGATGCCGGACATGGTACTTGGACGCGTCTTACTCTCCGGACTCGGCTAACCAGCACAGAGCGCGATGATGAAGATGCTTGGCGGCGGTGGTGCAGGCGCAGGCGCAGGCGGAATGCCAGGTACGCTTTCCGCGCCTTTCTACGGTCCAAGCTAACGTGTCTAGATATGTCCGCGCTGCAGTCCATGATGGGCGGGCTCGGCGGCGGCGCAGGAGGGATGCCAGGTCCGTCACCCCCTCACGTAGCAGTCACTAGCTAACAGCCACAGACATGGGCGCGATGATGAACATGATGAAGGGAATGGGAATGGGTGGCGCGGGTCGAGGAAAGCGGTAGTCTTAACGCTGCTCTGACAGAACACGTGAAGCGAGACGGCATTTCGTACGCTCTGATGCATATCCAAAGCGTTTGAGTTGAGCGCCTTAAGCTTGAGGACCATACGCTACCGGCTACAGCACAACGTCCTTGACACGAGAATCTATGTGGAGGAGCATCTGCTGAGGTTGAAGCAGAGCATATTGGCACAGTCCAAGATAAACGAGAGATACCCAGGTCCGACGCCTGCCAGTTGCTCCTGAATGCGATTCAAAATCACGGGTCCATACCATACAAGCATCTGTTCTCATTTTCGACACATCGTGGCGAAGTTGTCGGCATGCCAATTGGACGCTGAGATCATTGCTGAGGGCATAATGGGAAGGACCGGATCGTACTGCCCAGCAATCAGTGCATGCTCGAGAATGCGATAGCATACCTTTGTCAAAAGTTTGAGAATATTGGTCGTCGCCATAGTAAAGTTTGCGCACAAAGGAAGAGCGAGTGACGATCTTGGTTAGAAAGTATGTTGCGAATGTTGGTGGTAGCAAACAGTAGGTTTGCCACGTGACGAACGGGCAGTGACAAAGTGGGAAGCAGCAAGGCAAACGCGGTGTCGAGCGCAGAAGTGGAGAGAAATCTGCACTTCATCCTCGCAGACTGCCCCTGATTACAATAGACAATAAACGTCTAGTGAGGCGCTGCGAGCAGGGCGGAGTGCGCGCACGTGTCATCTCGTTGTTGCGCGATGGTCATGTGGGGGGGGGACCTGGAAGGAACACCCACTTCAGCCGCTCTCCACCTTCATTAGCAGCAAAATTTTCTCAACCTCACATCTCTCTCCCTCTTCGGGACACGTAATTTCCTTTTCATTACTCACACTACGGCCCATTTATCAATCGCTTCCGGCGCTCCTTCTGTAACGGTTGAGGAGAAGCAGATCACGTGTTGTTGGCGGTGGTCTGGTGCTGCTTCCTCATGTTGTGGAGCACCTCTTACCTCAGCTGCATCACAAACACGTCGTCAAACCAGACTTCGCAGCGAGGCTTGGAGAGAAAAGATACAAGCAGAACAACAACAGACAAGAACACAATACACTCGTTATATACATTTGCCTTTGATACCGCAACAGAACTACTCTCGCCATCTCGTCCCCTCAGCTTCCGCCCCACACCGCATCTTAAATGAATGTACAACAGCCGCCACAGTACCCCTCTACATTCTTGGACAAGCCTCCGCTTCCCCATCACGCTCGCCCGGTTTTCAGTCTCGCCTGCGTCGCTCCAGGGTATCCAATTGAGTGCCTTGGAGCAGTCAGCACGCAGATGACGGCAACAACTCCTCACGGATATTGGTTGCAGTGGTGTCGCAGTTTCAGCCGTCGCGTGATAGTTTCATATCTGTTTTCTGGAGGTATATCTGAGGTCGATGGCCTAGCTAGGAAAGCGAGCTTGAGGATGCGTAGATGAAGACTCCGCGGTATATCTAGGAGCGTCTTATTGTCCTTGAGTAGCAAAGACGGCGTTGTTGGGCATGACGAAACTTGTTGGGCTGTTTGGGGGGTGCTGGTCGAACGAACGTGGCAGGCTTACCGCGAACACGTCAGAGCGGTGCCCGAGTCAGACGGCGGAGTCTCGTTTGTTGCCGTTTATACGTCTGCGTCTGAAATGAATGCCGACGAGGATTGGCATGTTTGACTGATGGTAGATGCGTAGCAGTCGTTACTTGGACATTGCTCTCTTTCCGGCGGCACCATCTCTTCCATAACGCATGGCCCAGAGTTGCAACTCGCTTGCGAGCAGCTGAGGGCTAGGACTCTGGAGATGAAGCCAAAATCACAACACGGGGGATATCATGATTGCCACGTGGACTGATAGCCCTTGTGGTCAAAGAAACTGCACGGCTGGATATGGATCTGGCGCAATATAGTGTATTGATGAAACAGCTCTCCCATTATTAGCAAAGCACAGGCCTTGAATTATTCGCATCGTCTTGCATCTCTAATTAAGATCATGTCGAATTACATCCCTTCACTTTGCAAACCTCGCTGTCATGTGCTAGTTGGCTCTTTTCCTTAAACAACAATCCCCACTTGATAAAAATAATCGGCACTGCAGCAAGCATCGTCAGACCGGCCGCCAGTATCAGTCCAGTGACTAGCGCACCCAAGCGACCATACATGACCGGAGCCAATAGAGGCAGCAGCGCGGCGCCCATGTAGCGCGTTGATGCATGGCCCGCCAAAGCGCTAGCAGCGTGGGCCTTGTAAGTCATCGCTAGGTAGTCAGCGACGTAGAGGAATATGAGCATGTTGCCGACGCCCAGAGGTATGCCTGCTAGAATTGCAACGACTGGCGAGTTTGGAGGCGCTGCGGAGACCGCGAAGAGAAGCTGTCCCATAGGGAGTAAGATACCACCCGCGAGGATGATCAGTAGTGTAGGGTCGACCGAAGTGGTGGCTTGAGTGTTAAGTCGTCTTGTAACCCGCCGGATTGCTGGTTCTGCTATCACGGTAAGACAGCTGCCCAGACCGATGGAAAGGAACGGTAGGCCTGTGAAGGTGTCAGCATGGTACACTGGCTCGGCTACCATCGGATTCACGTACTTGCCGTGGCAGGGCTCCAGCCGCGTATTTGAGTGAACACAATCGGGTAGCCCACGATGCATAGATATAAGATCGCGTAAACGGAACCGACATATAGGTCCCAAAAGGTACTGCTAGCGAGTCAGTTCATGATTTCAAGCCTGACTGCAGAGACGAAGGATCGATTGCTTACCAAATCGGCTCTGTGAAGATCATAAGTATTGGCTGACGCAAAGAGGCCCTCAGGCGATCCCCAATTGGAAGACTTGCACCGGACATGGCTCGTGTCCAGAACCTCCCATCTACGGTCTTGAGAAGCTCGCACCGCGTCCTCAATATAGCATTACCATTGGTTTCTTTGACCACTGTCATCAGAGCACAAGCAATGAAAGCGAGGATAACGAGCCACCAGCTTATCCATCTCCAGCCGGCGTATTGAAAGATGATGCCTGCAAAGATGGGTCCAATAACTGGCTACGACTCTGGTCAGCTCTGCGCGATCTTGTGTCGACTTGTTACGTACCCCATTGACCGCTCCTAGGATCCATATTGATAGATAGCGGGTCCTCGTCTCATCGTCGCAAATATCACTCAATGTACCTGGGGCTCCAGACATAACCACCGAGCCAACAAACGCAGCGAAAAACCGTGTTACGAGTATAGTTTCGAAATTCCGTGCCATCGCGCTGGGTACTAGAAAGATAGAGAACAACAATAGCGAGACGATATACACTGGTCGTCGCCCATAGATTTCACTTAATGGAGCCAGAACAAGGGGGCCGAAGGCTAGGCCGAAGAGATAGGTGGTAACGCCGAGAATCGGTATTGTCCTGTTCTTGATTCCAAATGTGTCCATCATGCCAGGTATACCTGGTGAGTAGGCAGTCGAGGTCATAATGCTAATCAAAAGTCAGCCGTGCTGTTGAGCTGTACTATACGGAGCTGCATCAGGGTGATGTAGAAGCGTACTCACACTACCAGTGTTGCGAAAGAGATAGATGCCAAGACCGTGCCTCTGTACCACGCTGGCCAGTTGCGAGGCATATCGGATCCATCTTCAGCCCATGTCACCTCAAAGTTGGGATCCCTATCAAGTACCAGCGGGTCCACAAGACTCGAGATGGGCATTGGAGGCATCGGAAAACAAGCGCCAGCGAAGGGCTCGCTCAGGCGGTGGATATCATGGCTTGCGATCGTTGTGAGAGAATTCTTCCACTGCTCGCTCGTACCGTCAGACATAATGTTGTCGAGTGGTTCCAGCCATGAGCATCGATTCAAGAGCACCTCCTCGCTTGCACCCTGAAGTATCCTCGGCTGTTGTTGGTAGGGGAGACGATCGGTGATCGAATCCGTTGAATACTCCGAGCTCTGCCTGGCGCTGGGCAGGACAAACGATGTCCTTGAGGAAGCTCGACGACTGTACGTTCGCAGTGGGTACGCTAGAGGAGAGATCGACATGATGAAATACTCGATAGAATTAAAAGAGAAGAGCTGCTGGATATTTATATCCGCCTTTTCTGAATCGAGGACTGAATTTCGGCCATAGTTGGGGGGGTTTCCAAAGGTTGGCGAGAGGCGGCGGCGCAAGCTTCATTTCGGGCAGAGCTTACTCAGGTGAACGATGCGGTTTGTTTTCGTTGCTGCGCCCTGTTATTGCTGTCTCAAGTATGGAATAGAGTAAAATTTTCTCGCTGGTGGGTGAGGCAAGAAGTTGGACTGACAGTTCAGCAGAGAGTAGGTAACGTTGTACAAGATGTAAGGGTAGCAGAGGCGCAGTGAGGTTGACCCGAAATACGTGAGCTGAGCCTGAAGATCCCTGCTAAGCGTTGCGAGGGCTTGGTTCAGCTCCGGGTTAGGTGAGATGTCTAATTCGATTCCCGCGGAATCAGCCCCCGAGTCTGGTATATGGGTTTATGCGGGCCAGCATTGCTCATGTTCCACGTCTCCGCGTGGGGTATCTCGGAGCTATACGGCGTAGGCCTTGGAGTCAGCTTGCAAGTTGGGACCGAGTCAGATGCCTGATATACGAGCTGGGATTTCGAGGAGTGCATTATCGGTATTCCGTGTCCCAAGTGTCTGAATGACAAGTCTGTGGCTAAGCGAGGTGGGGAGGGCATGGCTCACGCAGGCGCACTCACTTGCTGGAATGTCGCAATACTGCAGCAATCAGAGGGGTTTTGATCTGTCCATGTTTAGGAAGTGCAAAGTGATGATAATCGAGATGCAGAGTGGAGCGTTCAGTAGCCAGAAAGTGCAGCTCCAAAAACAACAGTGACGTTATGGCACCGTGTCGTTAGCACGCACCGTTAAATCGACACGCTGCGACATCACTGCTCACGTCAAGCAGGTAGCTCCTACAACTTTCGTTTAGTGAAAATACTATCTCTCGCAGTCTAGCACGTGTCTTGCAAAGATGGCAGCAAATTGATCTATATTTCTACTTTCAAATCGAAATAAGCAGACTAAGCATTCTAGAGCCAAGTTAGCAAATAGCACCGTATCTCTGGTTCCGAACTCCCGAAATGCGATAAGACCTAAAACAAGTCTCTGACCTCGAGCACAGAGAGCTACCTACCTAGGTAGCTCCGAAGATTACAATTGCGTTGCTTGAATGGCCACCCGACTAGGATAGTAGCTTTCTGCCCATAGCAGTGGTTTCATTAAGCCGGGCGACAAGCATATTTTCAAGGACCTTTAAATGCGCAGCATCACTCTCTGACTCCTGAAATGACTTTCCAGCAGTCATCATGGTCCGTTCTGGCGCCGGCTGTGCAAGATATGGCATCACACGGGCTCTGTGAGCCGATCGGAACACCTGAATGGCGACGTTAGTAATTTATGGTTTGATATGCTCAGGAAACGTACCTTAAGATGCTGGATGATCTTGCCAAACTCTTCCGATATGTCCTTTTCGTTGCTCTTGTGGAGTTTCTCGAAGAAAGCGTGATTTCTGAATGCCGCGATTAGGGATCGTTGATTGCGTGGCACGTATCTGCGCAAGTTCTGCTCGTTCATGTAGCTCTTCATGCCTATGAAGGCGTCGATGACCATGAAACATAGGTTGTGGCTTCCGGATACACCGTCAAACTCGACAAATTCGCCATCAATCATTCGTCCTGCGCCCCAGGCCTGAAAGCTTTGGCAGTAGCCGAGCCATACGCCCTTGGCCACGCGAGCTTCAACAAGGTTCTGGTAGAAGACCTTGAGAAGCTCGCGCAACTGGACGTTGATCTGCCGCATGTGTATCAGACAGTCGAACTTGTTGCCCTGCTCGAAGGCAATGACTGCTGCGACCATGTCGCGATACATTGGGTACCCCTATTTAGTCAGCGTCTTGCGCGCCCCCGTCATTCAAGTGTCACATACCATGACCTCAACGTCGTAAAACATGCGAAAGAACGCATCCTCGGTCGAGGTAACGAGTTGCGAGATGTCCACGTTGATTTTGTAAGCCCGCTCACCGCTCTCATTGTAGTTGTGCAGGACGTTGGATGTGTTGCTCCCACTATCCGACTCAGCGCCGAATTGACGCTGGAGGTAAGCCCATGGTATGTCAATTTGTGCAGGAAAATCGATGATCTTCTCGTCCTGAGCCACCTTCACAAGAGGAATTATAGCCCACCGATACGCGTGACGTAGGACACCGATGCAGCAATAGAAGCCATTGTATGCTTGACGAGAACATCGGCTCCAGTCTCCGGCTTCGATCGACGAGAGGAGTTGCTGGATACGTCGTAGATCAATGCGCTCGTTCAGCTTCTTCGTCATGAGGTTTCGGAACTGATCGCGGAGCTCCACGTCAATGCCGTCGTCGAATGACGGGCTCTTTGACGATAGGAATGGAATGGTCTCCAGATAAATGTCGTGAAACGGCTGGAGTTCGCTCGGCCAGTCGCCGTGGGTTGCTTTTGGTGGCCAGCTCCCGGCCCCATCTTTCTCAACTAGGATGGACAAAGCCTGCTCAGTCTCATGGCTAGATTTGGGAGCTGTAGCATGCCTCAAGGTCGCCTTATTGCTGGCTATATTGTTGACATCCATGGCCTGCCATAGCTTGTAGATTGCAGCGGCTACTGAAAGCAGCAGAGCAGAAACGAAAAACATGATGTCAGGTCAAGTCAAAAGAATTGAAAATTACGAGGAACTGAAGAAAGAATTGTGGTCTGGTCGAATGTACCCGGGTACTTTTCGATCGGAAATTGTTGTGACTGATTGACCTTTACAGGGGAGAAAGATGCGAGTAAGACGTGATCAGGTTTATCTGTCGAGCTGTTTGTCGAGGCAGTCGGCTTATATCTACTTTCTTATCTATCTTCGGGCACAAGTTGTTTTTGTCACTTTGTCAGACATACAGATACGCGGACATACAGCAGATCTCAAAGCCCCGAGTGCTATGCAAGACGTTCCTGAGCCGCATGGACGGCTCATTGTGCTTACTCAGACAAGTACCAACGCATCATGACAGGTTACTCCTGATCCAAAAATTCACGACGTTACATTGTCATGTTGGCGGTGTAGAAGTGTTGCGGTGAACTGAAGATAGCTGCAAGCAACAAATGACTTGTCTGACGAGGCTGTGTGGAGCTCAAAGTACACCACAGCCACTTCTCACCGCCGCAATCGGCGGATTGGGGACATCGGAAGCTGCAGAAAAGGATACAAATGTGCTAAAATAGATTTGAATTAACAGAATCTATGACAAGTACCTTGTGCGACAGATCAGAGTTCCTGCCTCCGAAGACATGATTTTCGAGGGGGACTCGACCACTTTTGCGCCAGAATATCACCCTCTCCGCGGTGCAAATAAGTTCAAGTCAGCTCTCTGACTGATGTCTCACCTATTTGCTGGTGCGCTGTAGATAGCTCTTCAGCCGCTGCCCTTGAGGCTAACGTGGTGACGCTGTTACACAAACCTCCGCCACTCGGCGCCCAGTAGGGCTGCGCTTCACTTCCGCATCTTTGAAATCAGTTATGAGTACAAACAAGACTCAAGAGTATCAATAGACGAGTCCCACCGAATTTGAAAGTAGATCTTGAATGGCCTTGGGCGGGCAAAAGGCCTCAGCAGTTCACTAACTGTGGCAGAATCTGGCTCAAGGGTCAAGAATGCTAACAAATACTTTGATAGTGTATTCGGTGTACCGTAGCTTTTCAAACAGATCTACAGACTTGTACAGAGAATGCACGTTACCAAAAACAAAATTTAAATGACAGACTTCAAACTCGAGCAATGTTCGGGCACCCTAAAACGGCATGAAATACCACCAATCTATCCATATTCGAAGACCATCTCCATCAGCTACGAGAACGCTGGCGGGAGCGAAAACGGCGCAACATTGGTACCAGTGATCTTGGGCTCCAGAAGGTTGATCACGTTGTTGAAGGAAGCTTCGTGGAGCTTAGCCCAGTCTGTGCGAGTCACGAATTAGTGCTATGCATCCAAATCTGCGGGCATGATTTGATATACCGTTAACGACCCCACGAGAGCAAAGATAGGTAGCCCATCCGATCATCGTCTCATCACCAAACACATAGTCCCCAGTGATGGTGATCCAGTATCCGCCCCATGGGTTCCCAGTAGTATTTCCGACTGCTTCCAGATACTCCAAAACTTGAACGAAAGAGCCGTCTAGCAGTACATCCTGTTTGGTGAGCTGACAGTGTGCAGAGTTAGCCTCGACTACGTTGGCTGGAACAACTATAAAGAATTGATACTCACAATTTCAGTGAAGTTGAACGTCCCTTGCAGCGTCTTGTATGTGGATGTTCGCTGCGACCTACCAGGAGCGTTATTTGGGCCCTTGGTCGCATGTGGAAGTGATCCTCGCCACGCAGGCTTGTGAACTACAGACTGTAGTCAATTTCCTTACTAAGATGACCTCACAGTACTGTAAAGAGCTTACAATCGTTCATCAGAGCCCTGACGTCCGAAATAGGTGCTCCGACTACAGCCCACGTCACAGACTGGGAGTAATCCGTGCCAGGAGGACACAAACAGTTTGCGCCAGAGTCTGTGGAGCAGGATACGCCCGCAGAGTAGTTGCCATGCATTGGGGCACCAAAGCCGACACTAAACATTATTGCGACGCCGAGTAAAGTTTTGATGGTAGCCATCGTACAAAGGATTCAGAAGAACCTGATGCTGAGCAGCAAGTGAAAGTATTCGTAATGAGCAGAGTCGAACAAGGGATTTGGTCTCATAAAAAAAGGTTGAGATCAGAACGCAGCAATCTTATGTTAAACAATAAACAACAGAGACAAGGTCCCAGTTGTGTTGTACCGCCATCGCAGCTGTAGTGTAGATCAGGCACCTGGAACTTGCGTATCGCAAAATAGATTCAAGTACTGAACAGCCCGGAGCTAGAGAATCTAATGTACTCAGCCTCTTGGAAGCGGGAAATTTGCTAAAGTCTGTCGACGGGGCTGAGCTGAGGCTGATCACGTAAGCTTCGTCTGTTACACAGACTTGCTACTTCTTTAGCTCCGCAGGTTATTTGATTTGTGTAATGTCTGACAAAAAGTGGCTGTAATTAGCCACAGCCGAGGCACCTAAGATCCCGGAGATTGCTTGGTGTTCTTGAAATGACTTCGTATCGGAGAACGACAAGGATTGGGGAGCCTCAGCATTGTGGCTTCACCGACCTCAGGCATGTCGCAGTTTAATACTGATCTGAATTTAGCCAAAGCTCAATAGTAATATAGGCAATATATGAATGGGGCCTAAATTTGGAACAGATATTTGTCGTAGTGAGCATACTGATTGGGCTGTTCTCCGAGCAGGAGATCAAGCAGATCTAGGTTAAACAGATGATCATGGATGTAATTAATTGCAGACTATGCCTAATTAGACAGGGCTGCAGGTAAAATACCCAGTCTTCACACAGGGTTAATCTCCAGAGCTCTCTGGTCACACTTTCTTGATCAAGCCTACGTATTATAAGTATCTCCCAGCTTCTAGAATACTGCAATTCTCCAGGATTTGCCAATTGTCTCTTCTTGGTCATATCATTCTTTGAACTCAATAGCTGCAGGATCTACCTTCAGACTCTCCAGTGCTTCAGCATCTATCAATCACAATGAAAGTTCAACCACTTTCGGTTTGGCTTCTAAGCGGTCTGAGCATCTCTGTAGCTCTCCCTCACGCTGTAAACACTACCTTTGATCCTCAAAAAGCAGCTTCTCGCCAATTGTCCATCTGGCAGAACGACATGAGTGTACAGGTCGCCCAAAGCCTCCTCGAGCGCCAAGCAACGCACTACGACGCCACAATCTCTTCTAGCTGCACGACAGACAAGATTATCCATCGCCAAGAGTGGTGAGTAGCTCTAAAAGTATTAAAGTATTGCAAGAGACTGTGCTGACCTCGTGAACAGGGGATCTATGCCCAAGAGCGACAGAAAAAGATACATCGATGCAGTCAAGTGTCTCATGAGACTGCCCTCTTTAAGTTCGCCAGATGATGTGCCGGGTGCAAGGAGTCGCTACGATGATTTCGTCGCTGTGCACATCGTATACTCGCCAATCATTCATCACAGCGGTCTGTTCCTTCCGTGGCATCGCTACTACACATGGCTGTACGAGAAGGCTCTCCGTGAAGAGTGTGGGTACAAGGCTGGGCAGCCTTATTGGGACTGGACGCGTCACTGGGACGACCTAACCAAGTCACCTGTCTTCGATGGCTCCCCATACTCAATGGGAAGTAATGGCGAAGCTATCCCGCATGGACCGGTCAATGATACAGCGCTGGGGTCAACACGCCTCCTAAAACCCGGCACAGGTGGTGGCTGCATCAATTCAGGTCCATTCGCCAATCTAACCATCAATCTGGGACCATATGCTCTTTTGCCGATGGGTCCTGACAATGGTTTGGGCTACAATCCGCGTTGTCTGCATCGCGACTTTTCGGCTGAGTGGAATAACAACACCAAACCCACCGATATTGTCGACGTCATAAACCGCTCAGACGATGTCGCATCTTTCGATAAGGAATTTGAAGCGCTGAAGGGTCCTCACGCTGGTGGTCACTTTGGAGTTGGTGGAATGATGGCGGACCAGCACGCAAGTCCGAGTGATCCGATATTTTGGCTGCACCACGGCATGATCGACCGTGTGTGGAATCTATGGCAGAGCCGTGATAGAATTGGTCGAACGAATCAGACTGGAAGAACAGTGACCGCGCAGAACAGTAAGCCTCCTATTTGTGCTCCTGCTTCAAAAGGACATGGACTAACCCGGGATGACGACAGATCCTCCAAGCGCCGATGCTACACTAGAAACAATAATGCCGTTTGGGATCCTAAGCATGCCGCAGCGACTTGGCGACCTTGTCTCGACAATTGACGGGCCCTTTTGTTATCAATATGTATAAAATTCGAGTATGAGATGGTTTTATGGATATCAACGAGGAAAGCAAGTTTCTGTCGCTTGGAAATTGTACATGAACATCGGCATCTTTGTGCTAGGTGGTGGAGTCTTTGATGTGAACTTAATTTCTGATTCTCAACGCTCACCTTGCTCGCGATCACGCGAGATCTTCATTATATCATCCTCGAATACGTGTCACTTGAAATTGAAATTCGAAAGTCATTGCAGCATATGTAACATTCGCAAGTCAAATGTCAACCCCAAGACCTGAATCTGACCATACGTGGTAAAGAACGCAGTGGCGGGAAACGATTACAAATGGACCAAAGGGTCGTGACTGAGTAGGGTGATGTCGGCAGAAGAGTTGTATGAGGCTGAAAGAGAGTGGAAGAAGAGGATAAAGGTCAAAATCCCGACACCCGCAAACATTGCTTGCTGAATCACGCGCAACGTCATGCGAGCAGTCATTATGAACAGATAGATGTCGTAGTGCAGAGAGGAGTTCAGATTCCGAGGGAACTAGACCACGCGTAACATTTTGTCAGTACTGCCTGTAATGGCTTCGCTACTCACCCTTCATCACGACATACGAAATCTCATACTAGAGTACGTCTTGCGTAACGACATTTGTAGCAGTCAGAAAGGAGGCAAAATGTACATACATTAGTACCCCAAGGTAGGCCTGCTAACTGCCCGAGACAACAATTGTCCAAGGAAGACCTCGGTCGTTTACCGCGCCAAGACCGTCAAAATCACATCTTGTTAAATGTATTGCGAAGTCATAATCATGGAAAGTCTGTTGACGAAACGTGGGTGCCGTGCCGCCTTAGGGGTCGACCAAAAGTCCGACAGACAACCTATGAGCCAACCTTGAGGATAGATAAATATCAGATAGTTAGTCGAGTACAAAAACAAATCGCTGGTTGCAGGAACAAGGTCACAGTGGGATTTGATGGCGGCCTGAATCGCTCACGTGGCCAACACGGGATGGCCCAATCATTCTTATCACCAAAGTCTATGGCCACTCTCCTCGCTATCCGCCGGAGACTCCACGACTTCGTAATCGACGAGGTAATGCTCTACAAATTGAACAATCAACTCATGATCCTCAGCGTCGCTGAAGCACCTAAGTGCCTACCTTTGGGCTGACCTGCCACCAACTCTTAATAGAGGTCAGAGAGAGGAAATTTTGCTATCGCCGCAATGTAGACATGCATAAGCACTTGAGGCTTGACATGGAGTCAAAATTTTTGATGAGATAGTGGGCATTGGACACAAGAAGATGAAGCCAGAGACTCTGGAAGATTAAGTTCGGCAAATGTGGGAGATAAATACTTAGCTACGGAGGAGAACAGACGGCTGAAGCTGCGGCTCGAAGCAACGAATTTAGATAGTCTGGACTATAGGTCTAACGACTGGGAAATCGGGATTGTTCACGGGAAGCAGTCATGTGTAGGCAAATTGTACAAACCATGTTACTCCAACCGCAATAGAACCAGGTAGAGCCGTCATCACTAAAGGCCTATACAATCTGCCGAGACTATGTAGTATCTGTTCAGAGTTATACGATCCGTATTGGTGTCTTCTACAGGAACCTCAAAGGACTCGAAAACGAAGGCCTGGATCGTTATTCCATTATTTGTCTTGTTGGTAGTACTCTAAGCCGTTAGCTTGACGGAATGAATCGAAGGTAACGAGAGAGATGCACTTCGATGGTGCAGGATGCTTACGCGGAGCACTATGTGAGATCGGATGATTACTGGGGTGGTGTGCATGGCGGCGGTCCAGGAGGAAAGATGGCTGAGTTTGACAAGCCGATTACAAACTTTAGTGCTTCTACAAGTAAGAGAAAACAGGTATAATCAGCGAGGTGGAAGTAAGCGTACCATGGTGTAGATGAGCTTAAATCATCCCTGTGTCTACAAAGAACCTATTTGCTGTAGGTGCCATTTCGAGACTTAAGATAACCCTAATTTCTGAGAAGTCCCATGACCCACCTGCTCGGTTTCCCGCGCGAGATACAGGACCGGATCCTCCGCTATGTCGTAATCCATTCAAATGGTCGACTGTGTGGCGGAGCTGTTAACATCCAGCTCATATGTTACTAACTTCGTGCAGAGGCTAAACTGGTCGTTGTCGCTTTCCTGTGGGAACTGTATTGGTTTGAGATGATTCACGTGTTCTAGCAGGCCTTGCGCAGAGATGGACTCCGATGGAAGGTGTAGAGGCGGTTGTTGTAGACCTATAAGGCTCAACATTCGTGCAATTTTCGTCGAAGACCGCGAGACAACTGCCATGTAGTTCATGTACTCAGTGAAAGTTGTTTTTACCTCCAGAATGAGTTTGACTTCGTTGCTGACCCTCCCGCTAGGGATTCGAGACTGCGTTCTCGAGCATGCCGCTCTCCCTACCACCGCTGGAGGCTCGATTGTTGCCTCGTCCAGGTGCCTGAAATAGGTGTCGAGAGTTGCGTGTCGAAGTAGTTGCGGCAAAGAAATAGCTTCGAAAGCATGGACATCGGGATTTCATTCGTAACTTTACGGGCAAGCCCCTCGCTCGCAAGAATGAGGTCTTCAGCCAGAAAAAGATAGGTGATGAATCTGAGCTGGTCCGCGACAAGTGACGGCCGATATGTTCGTTACCTATCTTGAGAGTGCAATCATGGTTGCAGAATCAGCCTTTCCGTCCAGAACGCCGGCCTTCTGGAGGATGTTGACCGTCTTATCAACCACACTCGGGTCGACACCTCGCACGTCCTCCGCAAATTGCACTGTCTTGAGCCACTCTCTCGCATCCCCCTCTGAGTAGTCGAGCTCGGTACTGATATACTTGACTGCCTCGTCTTGATTCTCCTCAAAGTGCTTCACGCCCTTGTTGATCTTCAACAGAGCATCTTCCAGTTCCTCCTTCAAAGGCTGCGTAGCCGCATTTGCCCCATGGCTCCAGTTCTGGGAATTCAGCAATGCGTTGGCAGCAACAATCTTCCAACTCGACCAAGGCGTGTAGATCTCTCCAATACGCTTGATAGAGCCGCTATCATAATACCGTTTCGACGTGAAGTGCTCCCACATGAAGAAGTCTGCCGTCTTGTCGTTGACACCATCCCTCAGGTTCGAGAACGTATTCAGCACCTCGACTGGGAAGGGTGTCTCGCCCTTCTGCAACCAGCCCTGCTGATCGGCCAGGACGAAGCTCATCACGTAACTTCCACTGCCTATCCGGCTGACGCCGACCTTCTTGCCCCTCAAGTCCTCAATACTCTTGACGTCTTCCCGTCGTGTTCCGCTAGAGATGGCCCAGCAAAGCGGTGTCTCAACATATGTGCCCACGATCCTGAATCCAGCGTCTTTCTTCACTGCCTGTGCCTTGCCTATCGCGGCAATCCATCCTTCGGTCAACCCAACACCGACGTCGATCTCGTTGTTCTGTAGGGCGGTGACCATGTGCCCTGTACCGGACGGGAAGGGAAGGAGCTGTGAATCGAGGCCGTAGTGCTTCTTGGCGAACTCGAGTGGTGCGGAAAAGTGCTCGGGCACAAAGCCTATCCGTAATGGCGCCATTGCTGCGGTGTGAGTGGAGAAGGCGTGTGTTGCGAGAGTCGGTGACGGAAAACGGGCGGCGCGCAATTTGCGAAGCATTGGAATTCGTCACGTCGGTATCATTCAAAAAAAGCTGGAGGCCAGTCCGTAGTCTCGGTTTCGGTCGTGTTTCGAAGAAGGTCAATTGGAGCCCGTCGGACGCAACGGTGATGTCACGGCTAAACTTGCCGAAAAGGGAAAAGGAACACTGGCCAGCCCCGCACTCGCCGAGTCCAACCCCCGCCGAACATCGCTCATTCATGCCACTTCGCTTGGCGTTGACGTCGACAGCGTCGATTCTTATTGTTGACTTCTCAGTTTCAGATTCCTTGGGATCGGTTAGCTTTGAGTTCTGAGACACGACGTGCGCTTCACAGGGACTGGGTCAAGTAACGACATCGATATTTGCCACTGAATCATGGGGGATTTTGAGGGTTCATCATCAGAAATGTTGTCGTTAAGGGCGAAGAGCATCGCAGTCATCGGCGCAGGCCCTTCTGGATTGGTTGCTGCAAAGTAGGCTGTTTCTCTATCACTCTAATCTCAAGAGCTGAGGATATAGATATCTGCGCGCAGAGAAGGCCTTCTCCAAGATCGTCGTGTTTGAACAGCGTCCGAGAGACGGCGGCATATGGAACTACACGGCCGAAGAAAGAGCTGAGGATCTATTCACGGTCCCTCAGACGGATCCATCCGGAAGAAACCAAGATGCAGTCTGGAGACAAGCACTGAAAAACGGACATACCATTAATTACACCAATGGTGCAACCTTCGTCTCCCCGATGTACGAAAGGCTCGAGACAAATATTCCGAGAGGTTTAATGGGCTTCAAGGATCTAGATTGGCCACAAGATAGTCAGCTTTTCCCAAAGCATCAAACTGTGCTCAAGTACATCGAGGATTATGGCAGAGATGTCCAAGATACGGTGCGCTATAGCATTCAGGTAACAAGCGTCACTCCAAACAACGACCACCCCTCCACTTCCTGGTCTGTGACATCTCGAAATTTGGCGACATCTATCCACACGACAGAGACCTACGATGCTGTCGTAGTGGCCAATGGGCATTTCATCACACCTTACATCCCCGACATACAGAATATCGCCGACTGGAACACAGCTCACTTCGGCTTGATATCTCACTCAAAGTATTATCGCAAGCCAGAGGAGTTCGCTGGAAAGAGAGTAATCGTAGTCGGCAACTCAGCGTCTGGCGCCGACATATCCAACCAAATCGCCGACTACTGCACTCTGCCACTTCTTTGGTCGAGCAAATCAAAAAACCTGTTCGCCAGCGCAACACCGACAGATCCGCGTCGCCGCGAACTTCCACCTATCAAGCGGTTCAATCCTGGTACGCGTGGTGTCGAATTCGAAGACGGCACAGTCGAGAATGATATTGATGCCATTGTCTTCGCTACAGGCTACTTCTACAGTCTACCTTTCCTGGAGGACGTCACTCCAAAACTGATCACAGATGGCAGCCACGTCAACCACACCTACAAGCACCTCTTCTACGCGCCGAAACCCACACTCTCCTTCATCGCGCTCCCACAAAGAGTTATCCCCTTCCCAACCGCGGAAGCGCAAGCCGCTGTTGTTGCACGCGTATACTCTGGCCGCTTATCCCTCCCGTCACTTTCTGAAATGGGGCAGTGGGAAGCGGACCGAGCAGCCGAAACCGGCTCCAGACGAGCCTTTCACCTACTCCCATTTCCAAAAGACGGGCAGAACATCAATGAGCTCTCTCAATGGGCGCTGAGCGCACCTCGCAAGGAGGGCCTGGAAAATGATGGCCAGGGTATGATTCCGCCCGTCTGGGGCGAGTGTGAGTTCTGGTGTCGCGAGAACTTTCCTGCCATACGGCAGGCGTTTGGCAGGTTAGGCGAGAAGAGGTTCACGACGCAGACACTAGAGGAAGTTGGCTTCAGTTATGAGGAGTTTAGGAGGAAGAAGGCGCAGGAGGATGGGAGGCTCATTTAAGCTTGATTAGGTTATCAGACTCCAAGGCACTGCCGGTCTTCAGGCTCTCAATCGCGCGGATGATCAGATTATGCTCATCTGCATTCATCGGGATGTGACGCTTGACTGCTGCGAACCACTCCGGGCTGCTGAATCAGTGTATGACGATCGCCGAGCACAGCGCGATTAGGTCAGTGGGTAGTGTAGGCTCCTGTGTCGAAATGAGGACACGTGCGCCGTAGTGCCTCTGCAGGCGAATGGTCGTGAGGAGGGTGTCTTTCAAGGCCTTCGCCCCAGTGTTGGGCAGCATATACTAGATGTGTCAGCTGGGCGCGATGATAACTGAGCGTAAAGTAAGCAATACTGTGGGGGCATTCAATATTTCAATTTTAGACCGCCCTCATTTACCTTGTGTGCTTCATCCAGTGCGACTATCCTTACTGCCGTCCCAGACTGCAGATACTTCTGCAACCCAATTCTGAATAGAATGCAAGCCGTGTTTACATTGACAAAGCGACAGCTCATGTCCATGATGGTGATTTCTCCTTCTGTGAAGTGGATTTCTGGGCAAATTTTGTGAAGATCTAAGAACGATTCCAAAAGACCGAGACGCATCTGCAGCATGTTCACCTGGGTTGGGTTGAAACGACATTCCCTCAATTTATCTCGAAAGGCGAAATAATTGAAAGGCCCGCCATCTGTCGCCATCTGGCCGAGGATCTGAGTCACAGTAGCCATGCAGAGAGGCTACCCACCGGCCTCACTTACATTCATTAAGGTCAGCATCATGTCGATGTCTAGACTGGAGGCCTTCAGCATGAATTGTGACACGGTGACGTTCGGAATCCGTGAGTTAAGCCCAGCCATTGCTACATAGTTCGAAGGTGACACGAGTACGTTAATTTTCTTGACGTGCAGCTACAGATACCATGCATAGGGCCCCATCTCAGATCTGCTGTAACTGCGTGAGCAGCGTCGGTCGGAGACTGTGATCAACGATTGTATTGCTATCTGTTGTCGTGTTGTGTGACGTCGTGTTACACAAGCTCTCAGCTCTCAGGTAAGTGCACTTGCTCACCGGGCAGTGCCTGCTACAATAGGATATCATGTCATCTGAGCCACGTGGTTACATCTGTCATCTTCAGATCGGTAATGATTTGGACTGGCTGTGTTCACCCTTCAGGCTACGCGTAGAGGAAACAGGGTTTGACCCAGACGGTCTGGTGACTGTTGTAACACGGGGTCACCGAGATCGGCTAATGGCTGTGTAATGTCCAGTGTTGTCTATTGTATGTCCATAACTAAAGTGGGGCTGCTGCTGATTACATACCTAAGCTTGCCACCCAATGAAAATGTGGCGCAAAACCGCGCTCAACACGCGTCTGGACCTGCGCATTCGCGCATCGACGAGGCTAGTGAAGAATGTAATGAGGGAAAAATTCTGAGCGTGCACTTAGTAAGCGCCTGCAGGCAAACAAAGCCCATTGGACAATGTGATGTCCCGTCGGGGAAGTCCGCCTTTATAGTAAGTATCCACATCGACATGACTCGAGGCATTGACCCCAATGAAAACCCCGAAATTGGGAATGCCGCCATCGAAGAAATCGAATGTTGAGAGAGTTGTCAGTCAGCGAGGCTATTATGTGACCACTTGACAACTTAAATCCGCCTACAATCAATAGGACACCTCAAGATACATTGGAAGCTTTCCAGCACTGAGCAAAATTTCTTCACCGCACTATGTCGCTATCAATGCCCACAGACGCCGTTGTGCCCAGACCCAACGCTCACATAGACGTCGACGTCAAGTGTCGCACCGTACTGAACTATGCACACAACAATCAAGAAGAGTCGCTTCGCTATGACGGCAACGATGAGGATGAATCTGACTACCCCGAGGGTGGTGCGACGGCTTGGTTGGTGGTACTGGGTGCCTGGTGTGCTATGATGTACGTATTGGATGGTATCTTACTGGGCCTAGAATAATTCTAACGAATACAGACCGTCGATGGGGTTACTTAATACAGTGGGTGTGCTTCAAGCTTGGGTCTCTGAACATCAATTGCACGGTTACTCCGAATCAAACATCGGTTGGATCTTCAGTGCATACGCCTTCTTCTTATACATTGGCGGTGCGCAGGTCGGTAAGTCAACATTCATCAAGACTATCGGCTCAGACCTAGTGCTAATATCTTGACATTAGGCCCTATTTTCGATGCCCACGACATCAGAGTCCTTATCGTGCCTGGCAGCATCGGCATTGTGGCAGCCGTCATGTGTATGAGCGTCTCTACCGGTCAGTTACCTCGTCTCAATGCCACCGTTTTGTTCTTCCAGCTAAATGCCGTCTAGAATACTACCAACTGCTACTGTCTTTTGGTGCTCTTGGAGGATCTTCAGCATGCCTCTTATTCACCCCTGCAGTGTCCGCTGTTGGTCATTGGTTCTGCAAGCGGAGAGCTCTTGCTATTGGCATTGCCTGCACAGCTGGCGGAGTCGGAGGCGTCGTCTTCCCGCTTCTGATCCTCTATCTTGCACCTATCATCGGCTTCCCTTGGACTGTGCGCACCATTGGCTTTATATGCCTCTTCATGTGCATCATCGCTTGCCTGCTCCTTAGGAAACGATTGCCTCACAACAAGCACGCCGGTGTGTCTATTGATTTTCAAGGTCTCAAGGACCCTAAGTACGCGCTCACTACGCTTGCTGTGTTCTTGGTAGAGTTCGCTGTCTTTGTTCCGTACTCCTTTATCTCACTGTACGCTATACGTGCAGGTATCGAGCAGCAGAAGGCCTATCTAATCAGTGCTCTGCTCAATGTCGGAGCTATTCCCGGACGTGCGCTGCCTGGCTACATCGCGGACCGCTTTGGTGTGTTCAATACCATGCTCGCCACGTCTTTGACGTGTGCCACTCTTATCTTTGCATTATGGCTTACGGCTGCACGAAACGAGGCCGCTATTACGGCATTTGCCATTGTCTTCGGTTTCTGGTCTGGTACTGGTATTTCCTTGACGCCTGTCTGTGTTGGTGCAGTTTGCAAGATTGAGGACTACGGCAAGAGGAACGGCACCACGTTTTCGATTGCCAGTTTTGCTGCATTGATTGGCATCCCTGCTGCTGGTGCCGTTCTGGAGGTAAACGGAGGAAACTACACAGGGTTGATTATTTTCGCTGGCACGCTTTATCTCGCTGCATTTGCAGTTTTTCTGATCACCAGGATTGTGGGTTGGGGCCGAGACTGGAGGACAATGTGCTAGAGTCGCTAGTCGATGAAGCAGCTCCAACAGTCCTATCCACTAACGGGATGGTCACGGGAAAGCGAGTACCCTCTTCACTGCATTGTGTCAGACCTTGGACTCAGGTAGAAGTGCAATTAGAAATGGCCTGCTTGGCCAAGTTGAGAATGCCCACAGACACTTCGTCTCGACATTGGCACTTTCGGCATCTCAATACCGGCCAGTCTATGATGCCATCACAACGGCCACCCGTACGCTGAGCGTCGAGATAAGATCCGGCGAATATTCCCATCTTATTAAATGTAGCTTCAGATTCTAGGATTGAAGTATCCTTGCCGAACCAGTCATGTTCTTGCTCGACTGAGTCTTGGAGTGTCATGCGTGTCTTGCCAGTCTAGGTCTGTCACCGCCCTTGCCCGCTTCTCAACGCTAACGTGGAGTTTCATTGCCAATAGTCTCTGCACTTACCGGCATAATATGTGCCCTATCCCAAATCCACACGTGTGATGTATCGCATTCATCAGAATGGGTTGATTTATCTTCAATGGCTGAAGTCGGCTTCCTTCATTCGAATTCGCCCTGCTTGTGTGGTAGAGAGACCCTTCAGTTGCTTCTACTCGCAATATGAGACGTACCAGCTGACAGATAACGCAGAATTCTATGCTAGCTTGACGTACCGAGTATACGGGCAGGTGAGATTGTAGATACGTTCGAACGTGGAGAGAAAGATGGCAGCACAACATCTGCAGAATCTGCTGGAGGTTAGAATAGAAGTCTTCAGCTTCTCCGCCGACAACCCATTCGATATCCATTCTATGCATGATTTGCATCTACATTCTGTTTAATGTACGTACTCATCCATGTTCTGAAGGGCGTTGTCTTTCCCGACGGGGAACCCCGCCGATGCGGATTGGGATCTGTGGGACGGAGAACTTTGAGACAACCGCCTCTGCACTTTTGCATGCCCTAGGCAACGCACGTATGACGAAGTATGCACCATGATTCCTTCGCGCAGACCCATACACTTCAACGACAAGACCGGCACTGCTCAAGTTGATGCAGATCCCTCTATTGTTCACCAGTTTCACCAACAGCTCCCTAACTACGCACGAACACCGCTCATCTCCTTGGACGACGTCGCAAAGACGCTTGGAGTCAAGCATGTCTTTGTGAAAGATGAAAGTAATCGCTTTGGTCTTCCGGCATTTAAGATCCTCGGAGCATCATGGGGATCATGTCGCGCCATCATAGCTAAGACTGGAATTCCCACCAACTCACCTCTCGAGAAGATCAAGCAAGCTGCCCAGAAAGAAGAAATCGTGCTCTTTACTGCAAGTGCAGGCAATCATGGCCGAGCTCTTGCTGCAATGGCGCGGATGCTGGGCATCCGAGCTTGGATCTACGTACCCCGCACTGTCAACGATGAAGCCATCCGTCTCATCTCTTCGGAAGGCGCGAAGGTCACTGTCTCAGGAAGAGACTACGATGGCGCGATGAGAGAAGCCTGGGAAGAAGCGAGCAGAACTCAAGAAGGATTGTTCGTCCAGGACACCGCTTTTGAAGGATACGAGGACATCCCAAAATGGATCGTGGAGGGCTACTCAACCCTGTTGTCCGAGATAGAGGAGCAATTGTTGGAGAAAAAACTGAAGGCCAACCTTTTGGTCACACCTGTTGGTGTTGGCTCTCTAGCGCACGCCGTTGTGCGCCACTGTAAATCCAGCGATCGTAACTGCGCAGTCATGTCAGTGGAGCCTGACACAGCAGCTTGTTTGTACCAAAGTTTGGTAGCTGGCAAGTCAATACCAGTGCTTACTGGAAAGACCATAATGGAAGGCTTGAACTGCGGCAAACTTTCGTCGACCGTGTTCGAGGATCTGCAGCAGGGCGTTGACGCAAGCGTGACCATCTCAGACTTTGAGTCGCACCAAGCTCTCCAGTACCTTTCAAGCAAGTCTGTCGACAGCGGTCCTTGCGGTGGTGCGGCACTTGCTGCATTGTGGCGGCTTGCAGACTCTCCCAAAGGTCCAACGTGGCTCACTGAGGATGCTGTAGTCGTAATCCTTAGCACCGAAGGACTACGCGATTACGAACGACCTCTCCATGTGTCGAGCGAAGACACAGTCGAAATAACTTAGATCCTGGCTATATTCAGCTTATCAAATTCTGGCCTGTAGGAGGCTGGCGTGTGATGCTGGTCCGCTCCACCAATCTGGCATTTCATCGATCGCCCAAAGGCGAGGGCTATCATTTCAAGAAGTAGTGGAAGAGCGCCTCAAACATCTGTGTAACGGTTGTGAGGAGAAGCAGATCACGTGTTGTTGGCGGCGGTCTGGTGCTGCTTCCTCATGTTGTTGAGCACCTCTTACCTCAGCTGCATCATAAACACGTCATGCAAAACAGACCCCGCAGCCAGCATTCGACAGGCCACATACAAGCAGAACAGAACAGAACATCAGAATACACTCGTTTTACATTTGCACTTAATACCGCAACACTACATATGCGCCGGGCCATGAGAAATTGCTGCGTATTTTGTTTCGCTAGATCATTTATTTCCTCCAGAGTAAGTCTAGGTCTACTCACAAGTCCTATCTGAAGTTTGGCGCGGGCAGATACCAGTACCAGTAACAGTTTGCAGGAGACTTGTTTAATGATGGCTAAGTTAGACCGAGATCAGGACCGTCAATTTGGCCATTCCAAACTCCCCATGCCGCTCATTGCACTCCAGTCAACATTGCCCCACTCCATCTCTAATAAATCTGAATTCAGTTCTGCCAAACTCGGATCGAAGTAGTTGACCCGTTCTTGCCCAGACAGCGACTGGCTGCTGAGAGCGAGCTGCTGCGCATCGCTGCGTGGAAGCATAGCCACACCTGCATACGCGGGAGCGATCGTACCGTCTGCATTCGCGTTCAGTGATGACAGCTGTCCCAATTTTCTCTTGATATCAATGATCATCCTCGTACCTTCGGCATGATCTTGTCCGAACAGCGCAGCATGCCTTGCAGCCCAAGCTTGCAACACCGTGGAGGCAAACATCTTGAATAGTAAATTAGTGCTCGCCTCCATATCTATGAAGCGCACGGCGTAGTTCGCATTCATGATTTCCCACGCTTTGTCGGCTTGCGGTCCGGCTGGTCGAGAGCGCAGGTCTTGGACGACGCGCACGTACGCTGGAAATGGGAAGTGGAATTGGATGAGCCATGAGTAGCCTCTGGTTAGCGGCGATGTGTTAAGCGCTGTGTCACATTCGAGCATGCGAAGGGCGTAAGACATAATCTTGTCGCGCTGTTCCGTGGGTTGGCTGTCTGGCGACTTCGAGTGCTGGGAGCAGTGGAGGAAAAACCGGTACTTAGCAAGGTAGTTCCGCGCCCACCATATCGTGATGTAGTGTAGCGGATTCTCCGGGTTGCAGTGCCGAAGGTATTGATTCTCGATGATATGCTCAAGGCCATTCATGTTGTCGTCATTTGGATCGAATCGATGCTGCGTCGCCTTGGCAATGTGTCTGAGCATTGGGTTGATGAAGTCGAGGTGCCAGGCGTTGTGTCTGATGAAGTTCCCGATTGCGCCGCGCACAACGGCGAACAGGGCTTCAGTCAATGCGTCCTGATCCGCTGGCGTAGCGGTCATCTCCGGTCTCAGATCAAAGTCGTTGACGTTTAAAGGTATCTTACAATCCCATAGTGGTATCAGCTGCGTTGTTTTGTAGTCGGTCATTTCAGATATGCGGCTATCGTATACAACCATCGCCCACCAAAGTCGACGACGCATCTCAGCTTCAAATATGCCGTGCTTAGTATTGGCGGCTTCGTTGCAGATGTTCATCCGAGATGCAATTCGGAAGGCGATGGCAAACATTGGAAATAAGGTGTGGGGATTTGTGTCAGGTCTTAGGGAGATCTGGCTCAAGTCAGTAGTGCAGTTTACAGGTTAGTACTTTCCACTTACCAAGTACAAGAAGTATGCTGTCAAACAATCTCGGTCTCTAGAACGCAGAAACCCACAATTGATGAGGGCTTGGCGACAGGCATCTTGATACCTACCCAGAAGCTTCGCCTTGGCTTCTCCAAACGTGTCGCGGCACTCTCCCTCGGCTAGCGTGATAAGTGCGGCACAGTAGATGCTGAACATGAGTGCCTCGAGCTCGTTACTGATGCCCGTGGGGTCGGCCGCAGCATCAAGGATCCGCGCCTGTAAGGTTGGGCCATGTGTGACCTTGATCAACGGGTTGACGTTCTCCGAGTAGATTTGCCAAAGCTTGAATATGTGTATGTGACTCGGATGTAAAGTCGACAAAGCTACAGTGATCTTGGTGTCGCCGAACAGATGATTGTGATCGCTCTCGTAAACGCGTCCCCAGACCTTAACGATGACTGGTTCCGAGAGATCGTCAAAAGTAGCTTGGCCGAAGTTGTTATCAACATTTGCTTTTCCGGTCACGTCTAGTGAATTCGGTGCCCTTTGATGCATTGCATCCCAAAAGTTTTTGATCTCGCCTGTGCTTTGGTCTTCGCTCTGGGCATCGACATTTGCAACACTGTCAAGATGTTTTTGACTTGTTGATGATTCTGGCTCGACCCAACTTTCAGCAGTCAGATCCTCTGTATCCATACCATCTGCGTTATTGATCGCGATGTTGTTTTTCCTCAACAGTTCTTCATACTGTCGTAGCCTCTGCGTCAGTTCTTGCTCGGTTGGCCTCTTCCGTCGCCGCGGCATCTGCTGAGCAGGCACGCATTGTACTTTCGCCTTGAGACAGTGGTTGCATGGGAACTTGCGATCGCATTTGACTTTGCGCTGTTGGCAAAGTACGCAGGCAAGGATGCGCAGCGGCTTCGGCGGGCGATGACTGGTGCCTGAGGGAGTCACCCGTCGTTGATCCATCATCTGAGCCGGATCGAGTAAGTCTGGTCACAAGACGGCAGGAACAATACGTCGTTGGTTAGATTCTCTCCTTGCTATTGGCGCCGACTACAGTGCTGTACTGTTGCGGCAATGGATCGTATCAGACGCCACTATCGTAAGCTGCTGGACGACGCGCCGGTCTTCATGCGTCGAAGGATGACGAAGGACACCGGTATGCTGCGCGAACACAGACAGTCGGAGAGACACTGACTTTTCAAGTAAACACTTTGATGAATGGGAGACGTCAACGGCCGATGCACGCGTCCCTCTACGAAGTACGAAAAGCGCGTCAGGCCGGTTTCTGCGCATCTCAGAACACATTCTCAGAATTTGCAATGTCCCGCTACCGGTACAGTACCGGTACCGGTAGGTACCACCGTGTCCGTGCACGGAATGCGCGGATTCACCGAATGCGCGCGATCGGCCCTACTAGCCCAAGCAAATATGAGGCTGTAGAGCCACCCACAATCGATCGATATATATAATGGTAGATGGTGGAGAGTGCGGAGGAGTATCCAGGTCTCTTTACTATTGTTATCCTTTACTGCAGTCCTAATAAGAGTTTGGATTTAGACCTAGTCGTCACTGCTGTACACAGAAGTAGACGAATCAGAGCTCTCAGCTGCTTTGAAGGTCCCATAGGTGAAGCAATTGGGTACTTGGCTGCTATCGGGTGGGCAAATTCCAGTGACTCTGAAGTAGGCTGGCAAATGGGGTTGGGTCACATCATTTACTTAAACGCTTCTAGCTGCTAAAACATCGAAGCTACGGCTTAGTGATGTATTATTCGATTGAAGCGCATAGGTCAGAAGCTTAACTAAGTAATACGTTACTAAGCCTTATTCTGACTTTTAAGACCTATTTTGAAGTAACCCGATTTTTCCATCTTTTGTGTTGGGTTGGGGGTTGCAAACGCCTATTTTGAGACACATCACGGGCGGCGCTAGTGTTGCTTAGCCCATGGGTACGTCATTTTGTAGCACTGGCCCAGGTAAAGAAATTAAGTGAGCTCAGTAGTGTATTTATAGGCTGATGGAGCAGAGTAGACTACGTCTAACAGCTAGAGAGTCTGTGTTAAGCTAAGTAACGTACCCCACGGGCGAAAGAATCAACGGGCGAGAGAATCACCTTTGCCAAGCCGCCACCAAACCACTCTTCCTACACTAATGTCTTTACAACAACACTATTTAGACGCGTTAAAAGAAGCTCAGATACAGCTTGCGCTCCAGGCTCTTAAACAAGACGCGACACTCTCTCAGCAACGTGCTGCAGCTATCTACAGAGTTCCTTAAGCTACACTAAGCAAGCAACGCGCAGGATAACCTTCACGCGCTAATTCTATAGCCAACTCGCAGAAGCTAGACAACAACAAGGAGAAGGTAATTATTAAACATATTCCTAAGCTAGACGTGCAAGGATTTTCCCCTTAGCTCTTAGATGTAGCTACTATAGCTAATTCTTTGCGCGCTAAGCGCAACCTAGGCCCTATTAGCGCAAACTAGCCTAGTATGTTTGTTAAGCAATACCTAGAGCTTAAAGTTAAGTTTAATTGCAAGTACAACTACAAGAGAGCCCTCTGTGAAGATCCTGAGGTTCTGCAGGGCTAGTTTAGCCTAGTAGCTAACACTAAAGCCAAGTATAGCATCTAGGATAAAGACACGTACAACTTTAACAAGACAGGCTTTATAATAGGCTAGATCTCCTAAGGAGTAGTTGTTATAGCTTTAGAATAACAAGGTTAGCTAAAGGTAGTCCAGCTAGGTAACTAGGAGTAGGCTACAGCTATAGTAGGCATTAATGCTAAAGGATAGGCCATTCCTGCCTTCCTTATCTTTAAGGCCTACCACTACCTCTCTGCCTAGTATAAAGAAGAGGATCTGCCTTAAGACTAGGTTATTAGAGTCTCTAATAATAGCTAGACTACTAACAAGCTTAGTGTGGACTAGATAAACCACTTTAACAGGCATGCATAGGAGCGTACTATTAGCACCTACTATTTGCTTATTATTAA